GTGTTTTTTTTTTTTTTGTTGTTGTTTTTTTTTTTTTTTTTTTTTTTTTTTTTTTTTTTTTTTTCCCCCCCCCCCCCGGGGGGGGGGCCCCCCCCCCCCCCCCCCCCCCCCAGGGAATTGTCAAGGAGGGTAGCACTGCTGACCTGGTTTCCCTGCGCAGACAGCTCGAGGGGCGATTCTGCTTTTCCTTCTGCTCTTGCTGACGCACGCGAGTCAAGACTGCCCAGACGAAGTCAAAAGCCACGTAGGCCTCTCCAACCCATGGACTGGCTACCTGCAGTTTCTGCCCGAGGTGTACCCGCTGCCTACGTTCTACTCGGATGGCGAGCTGGAGATCCTGCGAGCGACGTCGCTGCAGGCGGCCTTGGAGGCCAAACTAGATTCTCTCGAGCGAGAGTTCGAGCAGCTCCGGCAGTCGACAGGCGACATTCCGTGGTGCAGGGCAAACTGGTGGGATGGAGAGAGTGGGAAACTCACCTTCCATGATTGGAAAGTCGTTGACGCCATGTATCGCTCGCGCGCGCTGGATCTGCCCGAGTATGGGCATGCGATGGTGCCGTGCTTGGACATGGCAAACCATGCCTCTGGCGCTGAGACAAGGGCCTTGTATGAGATGGACGAGGAGCGCAACATTGTGCTCCAAGTGCGGTACGGGCAAAGTTTAAGGGCGGGCGACGAGGTCACCATTACGTGGGTGATAGTTTTCTTCTTACCACGCCTAGGCTTCAAGAAATGGAACAGAGGTAAACTAACGAAATTAATGCGCTCAGGTATGGAGACGAGAAGGGCGCGGCGGAAATGATCTTTTCGTACGGGATTCTCGAAGGCACGGTCACGAATGCACGGCAGTTGTTTCTGGAGCTTCAGATCCCGGATGATGATCCCTTGAAACCGGCGAAGATGATGGCGTGTAACGATCCACCCGGAGTTCGGGTGTTTACGAGGATGGATCCGCACGATCGGCCTAAGATGGATTGGGAAAGTGCCTTTGTGTGGTGGGTGTGCGTTAACGAGGAAGATGGGCTTGGGTTTGAGGTGCTACAGTCCAACGACGGCGGGCGCGAGGTCCAGGCAGCGTGGAAGGGCTCGGTGCTGAGGTCGTCGGCGCAGCTCCGGGCGCAGCTGGAGGAGGACCCGTTGTGGGATGTGTATCGCCTTCGGGCGGTGGTGACGATCCAGGAGCGGCTGCTGGACCAGCAGCGGCAGCTGGCGGACAGCCATGACGCGGTCGCGGAATGGGGCGAGCGAGTGGACGAAGTCACGATCCGGCAGTCAGTGTGGGACACGACGATGCGACTGCGAGGGCTGGAAGAGCAGTTTCTGGGCCAGGCAATCGATGACCTGGAGACAGAGGTAGGCAGCCAGGGTTCTTTTTTTTTTTTTAGCATTTGGCAGCAGTGGCGAAGGGAGAGAGAGAGAGAGAGAAAAGCATGCTGACTTTGGAGGCTAGAAACACGAGCTGGCGCAGCTGGCCACGGTGCAGCAATATCTGGGACGGTACGTGATTGGCGCGGATGTGACAGAGGACTTTTCCTGAAGCATACATGGCGCTGGGCGGCGGCAACTCTGATTCGGTTGCGGATAGACTTCGATTTTGACTCTCTGGAGTGACCTGAAGAGGGAGGTTATGACGCCGCGGTGTCTGGACGGGCTTCTTTTTTGTTTTTTTTTTTTGGCTTTTAGGGCAGGCGAGCAAGAGAAGCAGGGGGAGCAGGGCGCGCGGCTGCCGGCCAATGGGTGCGGGCGGGGGCGCGACTGGCGCGCATAGTTGCTGCGGAAATGGGAGAGGAAGGGTGGCTGGCTGGCGAGGGGGCGAGTGGTGGGTGGTGGGAAGCAGCCGCCAGACAGGGCTGGGCTGGCCAATGGACGGGCGGGCTGGGCGCGCGACGGTTGCGGGCGCGAGTCGTGGGCGTCATGATCGCCGTGGATAGATGACGGCTGGGCGGGGCGATCGGAGGTGGTGAGAGTGCGGAACTACATAGTTACGGAGTAGCTACGGTGGTGGTGGGCAGGCCGTGAGATGGCCATTGCTCACGACGACTGCGTAGCTGGCAGCGAGGTAGCTCTAGGTAACCTGTGTACGGAGTACCGTGATTCCCTAAGCTAGTTAACGAGTTACTCGGCACGTGCCTCCGCTGGCCCGGCGCTTCCCCTCACGGCGGCGGCCGCCCCACGCTGGGCGCTCGGCTGCGACGGCGAGCCCAGCGCGGTCGAGACTGGCGCGCACGTAAATACGGCGCCGTCCCCCGCCGGGCGGTTACTACGACAGAGTGCTGCTGTTCTTTGTGCCTAGCTGCGCACCGTCCCGCGACCCGCCCGCGCCCGCCTCTGCCGACTGCGCCCGCCCCCCGCGGCCCCCGCCGGCCGGCGCTGCCACCTCTCTGTCTCTGCCTCGCTCCTCTCCTCTCCTCTCCTCTCCTCTCCTCCCTCGACGCCCGCCCGCCATGCCCGGCATCCTGCCCATGAAGGTCATCAAGGTCGGCAACAGCGCACAGAGCCGCGTGGCCCAGGCCTGCGACCGCTGCCGCAGCAAGAAGATCCGCTGCGACGGCATCCGCCCGTGCTGCTCGCAGTGCGCCAACGTGGGCTTCGAGTGCCGCACCAGCGACAAGCTCAGCCGCCGCGCCTTTCCACGCGGCTACACCGAGTCGCTCGAGGAGCGCGTGCGCGCGCTCGAGGCCGACGTGCGCGACCTGCGCGCCCTCGTCGACGAGAAGGACGCCAGGATCGACCTGCTCTCCCGCCTGCCGCCCGCCAGTACTGCTCTCTCCAGCACTGCTGCTGCGACGCTCCCCCGCCCGCTGCCCGCCCATGACAGTCCCCGCCCCCCGCCGCCCGCCCCCGATGACCTCGTTGCCGTGCAGTACGCCGCGCCCCTGCGCCGCCCGGCCCCCAACGCGCCCTTCATGGGGCCCTCCAGCACCCGCGCCTTCGTCGGTACGTCGATACTTTTTTGGCCCCGTCCCTTGCATGTCAGCCTGCTAACCACCCTGCTGTTATTCTAGACGCCTTTGGCTCGCGGCTCGAGCGCAGCGGCCGGCCGTCCGTACACGCCGCCATCGACGCCGCGCTCGCGCCCGCCGCCTGGCACCTCTGGGCCGCGCCCGACCACGGCAAGCCCAAGATGCCGCCGCGCCTCGTGTGCGACCAGCTGCTCAACATCTTCTTCCAGGAGTGGGCGCCGCTGTACCCCGTCATCCACCGCCCCACCGTGCTCAAGGCCTACACCCGCTGCGCGACCGCCACCGATCCCCTCGAGCACGTCGACCCGCATCTGCTCGCCCAGCTGAACCTCATCTTTGGCATCGCCGCCATCTCGTCGACGGTACGTCGGCCATAATCAATTACCCTGCCTTGGACTGATCGTCTCCTAATCTCTGTCTTTTCACCAGCAGGCCCGCCTCCCGCAGGATCCCGTGTACTTCGAGCGCAACTGGACGCCGCAGCTGGAAGCCCTGGTCGACGACATCTCGCTGTCCACCCTGCAGTGCTACGTGCTCGCCCAGATCTACTACTCCATCAAATCGGACTACAAAAACCTGCTGCGCTACCGCTCCCTGGCCGTGTCGATATGTCTGCAGCTGGGCCTCCACCAGAGTCAAGCGCGGTTCTTGTTCAACCCGCTCGTGAGCGAGACCCGCAAAAGAGTCTTCTGGTGCCAGTACTCTCTCGATCGGTACGTTATATATAGAAATACCCAACATATGACCTGGAAACTGACAGCCATAGATTCACGGCCGCGCTCACCGGTCTCCCCGTGCTGATGGCCGAATCCGACATCTGCACCGAGTACCCCGCTGATATCGACGACGAGCACATGACAGATCCAAATTTCGTCCCCAACCCTTCGACCGATGCCACCGACATGTCCAGCGCTCTCGCCCTTTTCTCCGTATCGCATATCCTGGGCAAGGTCCTCGACGAGCTATACGCTTCGCCCGCCGGATGCGAGATCTCGTTGTCGACCATGCACGCGCTGGCCGAGGAATTGGATGACTGGCTGAAGAAGCTGCCTCCCCACCTGCGGCTGGAGTTTGTTCAGGATAAACCGAGTCCTGCGCCGACGAACAGCCGTTCTCCTATTTTGGTTTGTATTTCAGTCCGTGTTGACGTCGCAGGAGCTAACGATTCATTCCCAGTCTATAATATACTACTTTATCCGCACCTTGATACGCCGGCCTGTGGCTTGCTATGGAAAACCCGAGAACGCTTCGCCTTCCATGCTGTCACTTGTCGACTCCGCCAAACACACCATTCAACTACTCAAACTGCTTGACGAACGACGATTAAGCCTCTCCGTCACGATCAACCGACGCGAACTTATATTCCTGTCCGGCCTCGGGCTTTTGTGGCAGAGCATGGACTTGAGCCCGGATAGCAAGCTGGTCAAGGAAAGCCAGCGGCTGCTGAATGTAGCCGCGACGCTCCTTGAAAGCGAAACGGGCGACGCTGCCGCCACGTTTACGACGGTTGTCGAGACCCTGTCGCCGGGCATGCTTCAACGACGGCTCAGCAGCGAAAACCTGACGTCGACCGCCGGCAGCCCATCCTGCTCACCTAAGCAGCGGACGCCGTCCAAGCAGATGATCCAACCGTATGACTCACGGCTGTCCTTCTCCTCGGAATCCGACTTGTCGACGTACTCCAAAGGCAGCTCGCGGCTGAACTTCATGGCAGCGTCGCCCGAGCTGTCCCGCAGCGTGCGGTCATCCAGCTCGAACAGCGGCTGCTCCGACCCGGCGGTGGGCGTGCACGCCACCGAGCACGCCGCGGCGGCCGACGCGCTGGACAACTGCCTCCCGCTGGGCGACGAGAAGAAGCTGGCCTGCGCGGCGCCGTTCGGGGAGACCACGGCCGGCATGTCGGACTGGGAGCACGTGCTGAGCAACATGGACAGCGGCCACGCCAACATCTACAACGGCATCTACGGCGGCAGCGAGTGCGGCGAGACCCCCGCCGCCTTCGCCGCGCTGGCCCCCGCGTACCACCCACAACACCAGCAGCAGCAGCAGCAGCAGCAGCAGCAGCAACGGCCACCGCCCGCATCCATGCCGCCGTGCTCGTCGCCGTCGGCGGTGATGGCCGGCGTGCCGGCACCGCACCACGCGTGGCCGCACGGCAGTTGGCCACCCAGCGCGCCCGCCGCCGCCGCCGGTGGGGGTGGTGGTGGTGCTGGCAGTTCTGGACCGATGGCGGGCAAGGCCAGCGAGGCAGCGGCGGTGCCGACGTCGATGGGCCACCCGTACGAGGCGATGATGATCGGCCACCACCACCAGCTGGACGGCCTGGACGTGGCGGGCGCCGACCTGGCGATGACAGATCCGTGGATGCGGCAATGCGCCATGTGATTCTGGTCTAGTTGGTTTTTTTTTTTTTTTTTTTTTTTTTTTTCTACTACTACGCTTTTTATTTCTAATTATTTTGGTTTCGGAGGGAGCGGGGGAAAAAGAACATAAGAGAAAGAGACACAGAGTTTAGGGTACAAAATTGTGGAGTTTGAAGGATCTGCCACACCTGCATTATTATTATCACACGCATCATCGTCATGGCTTTGCATTTGTTTTTGCCTGGCAGGCCGGTATTGTTGGGGCTTTAGAGGGAGGGAGGGGGGTTTTGTTCGGGGCTGGCGCTTTTCTTCCGGCCGAGTTGACGTTTCCGCACTGCGGCACCACACCCACTGCTACCGTCTGGGGGTTCGGGCGGGAGCTTGGACGTGTTGCTAGCAAGACCCGGAGATGTCCAAGTCCGACGACGGCTTGGCTTTTTTTGTTCACACGTTTCGCCTTTTTCTTTTTGGTCTTCATCGCAAGGGGACAGGAATCCGCCCTTTGGGAAGCAGCAGACAAGTCCGTCTACGCATATATATTGCATTTTGCTAATACTACCTACCTACCTACCACGTAGTTAACTACTTCATGTACGCTAGCTTTTTGACCGATATAGATCTTTAATACATTACTCTACATATATCCTTCCAAGCATTCTTCCAGCCCTCGCCCAGCGCGTCGATCACGCCCCCGCCCGGCCTTCGTCCCCCCCGCGCCCGCCGCTTGGGGCCTAGCGCGGCTTACATCAGCGCTGCTCAAACCGCCAAGCCGCGCCCCTCCCCTCTCGCTGCCCTTCAAAAGCCGCCGCCCGTGACCCTCCCCCTCGCCCTGCTGCACGTTCTCTTGCTTGCCGCGTATTCCGTCGAAGCTGTCAGCAACAGACCTCCTCTCTCCATTGTATTGTGCTCTGCTTCTCCAACTGCCCTCTTCTTCTTCTTCTTCTTCTGCTGCTGCTGCTTCTTTGTCTCCTCCGTGTCGTCATTTGAACAAGTTTTTTTTCTAGCTTACCCCTCCCCCACCTGTGAGTGAGCTCGCCCGATCTCGGACTAAGCAACCATGGGCTCCTATTCGGATCTCGATCAATTAGCCATCAACACCATCCGCGTGCTGGCCGTAAGCTTCTCTCCCCTCAATTGCAATTGCTGTGTTTTCCGTCTTTTCTGCCATGCTGCTCGCTGTCGGCGTCGGGCGGTGACGGTGTGCGGGGAAGGAAGGGGGATCCTGGAACCCGCCCCCCCCCCCCCAGCTCTCTCCCAACCTCCAATTGCCTGATACTCGACGCTTTCTATCGGGATGCAGCTCATCCATACTCCCCCTTTTGCTACGCTGGTGTCGTATCTTGCTTTTTTTTGTTGCTAAGTTCCTTGTGCCTAGATCGATGCGACGTCGAAAGCCAACTCCGGCCACCCTGGTGCGCCCATGGGCCTGGCGCCCGCCGCCCATGTTCTCTTCAACAAGATGACCTTCAACCCTAAGAACCCCCAGTGGGTCAATAGAGATCGATTCGTTCTTTCGTACGTGTCATGTTAAGCTCTGCACAAAGCTTGTCTCCAAAAAAAGAATTTTTCTGCCGTGACATCCACTTCGGGGGCCGGATACACAGCTCCCATTTGGAGTTCTACGTTTTGCTGACGCGCAACGACGCCACCGCGTGTAGGAACGGCCATGGCTGCATGCTCCAATATGCTCTCTTGCATCTGTTCGGCTATGCCGTCTCGCTCGACGACTTGAAAAACTTCAGAGTCAGTATAGGTTTTTTTTTTTTTTTAAGGTTTAGCTTGAAAATTTTGCTTTTTTGGTTGCTGACCATCGGATTAGCAAATTGATAGCATCACCCCTGGCCATCCCGAAGCCCACGATACGCCCGGAATTGAAGTGACAACTGGCCCCCTGGGTCAAGGCATCGCGAATGCCGTTGGCCTCGCCATTGCCCAGAAGCACACGGCCGCCGTGTTCAACAAGCCTGGCTATGACCTCATCGACAACTTCACCTACTGCATCTTCGGCGATGGATGTGCTATGGAAGGTGTTGCCAGTGAGGCCGCCAGTCAAGCTGGGCATCTGCAATTGGGAAACCTGATCTGTTTATACGATGATAACCATATCTCGATCGGTTAGTCACGGGCCTTGGGTTTGCTTGGACTTGGAAATTAGCTGACCGCGGGTATAGATGGTGATATTAATATTGCTTTCACTGAGGATGTGTTGAAGAGATTTGAAGCATATGGATGGCACACTTTGCACGTCAAGGATGGTAACCATGATCTTGCAGGGATCGCGGCAGCTATTGAGGAGGCCAAGAAAGTCACCGACAAACCCACTGTCATCAAGGTTACAACCACCATCGGCTTCGGTTCAAAACTCCAGGGAACAGGGGGTGTTCACGGAAACCCGCTGAAGGCCGACGACGCCCAGAATGTCAAGAAGATGTTTGGCTTCGATCCTGAACAGACCTTCGCGGTCCCCCAGCAAGTTTATGATCTCTATAACAAGCACGCTGCTGAAGGTGCTGCGAAAGAGCAAGAGTGGAATGCCCTCTTCGATAAATATAAGTCTGAGTATCCTGCAGAGCATGCTGACCTTTTGCGTCGCCTCACTGGCAAGCTTCCCGAAGGCTGGGAGAAGCACTTGCCTACGTACAAACCCACTGATCCACCGATCGCCTCGCGGAAACTTTCTGAAGCTGTCATTGAAAAGATCCATAGCATTATTCCCGAGTTTGTTTCTGGTTCGGCCGATTTGACAGGCTCCAATAACACCATCTGGAAGGGTGCTGTGGATTTCCAGCCCCCTAGCCTTGGCATTGGCGACTGGTCTGGCCGCTATTTCCGCTATGGTGTCCGCGAACACGGCATGGCTGCTATCATGAATGGCATGGCTGCGTATGGCACTCTAATTCCAGCTTCTGGCACGTTTTTGAACTTCGTCTCATACGCTGCGGGAGCTGTTCGCCTTTCCGCACTGTCTCAAGTGCGTGTTCTTTACGTCGCGACCCACGACTCCATCGGTCTGGGAGAGGACGGACCGACCCACCAGCCTATTGAGACCCTGGCACACTTCCGTGCCCTGCCCAATATTATGGTCTGGCGCCCGGCTGACGGCAACGAGACAAGCGCTGCTTACTACTCCGCCTTGACTTCCAAGTCCACCCCCAGCATTCTTGCCCTGACTCGCCAGAATCTTCCCCACCTCGAAGGCTCCAGCGTGGAAAAGGCGCTCAAGGGTGGATACATGGCGCTTGAGGCCGAGAATGCAGACATCACCCTTGTCAGCACGGGCTCTGAAGTCAGTCTTTGCCTCGACGCGGCCACCTACTTGAAGCAGAATCACAACATCACCGCCCGCGTCGTGTCCATTCCTTGCTTCGAGATCTTTGACGCTCAGCCCAAGGAATACCGCCTGCAGATCCTGCCCGATGGCATCCCATCGCTCAGCGTCGAGGTCATGACCACGATGGGCTGGGAGCGATATGCCCATGAGCAATTTGGCTTGAACCGCTTCGGCGCTTCTGGCCCATACAAGGACGTATATAAGGTATGTGCATCATCACCCAAGTCCTCTCTCTCCTCTTGTTTCCTCTTCTTTTCCCCCCTGGAAGCTGACCGCGTTTCAGAAATTCGAATTCACCCCCGAAGGAATCACCAAGCGTGCTCTCGCCACCATCGACTTCTACAAGGGCCACAAGGTTCGCTCGCCAATAAACCGTGCGTTCCAGCAGATCATCTAGACTTGAGGACTCCCAAGAGTATAGACGAGTTTGGTTTGAGGGGTAGTTAGTCTATTTTCCAAGATTCTGAGCGCTGTGTCGGTTTTCTTTTTCTGTTACATGCCTTGAGATGATATTATTCCTTTTTTGTTATTATTTCCTATGACGAGAGAGCTCTTTGCCAATGAATAATAAGACACTGATAATTGAAGTTTTATTCGTTTACTTGTAGTTCTCATTAAAGAGAAACATGATCATTACCTGCTATTATATTCCACGCTAGCCTACGGGTTCATTTACAGGGCTCGATCATATCAAGAACAGATTCATTGAAAGTGGGACGAAGAGCCAAAAAAAAGTTCCTTTTTTTTTAAATCGCTATTTGAATCCCATGGCATCTGAGCATGTTTGACCTCATTATTCCAAGGACATGTCTAACATACCATCTCTTTGCTTTTTTTTTTTTTCCTTCTTTGCGTGGGGGTGGAAGGGCGGGGGGGGGAATTATTTTTCACATGGGAAGACCACCCCCCTGGGCTACGTAATAGTAATTTCCTACATATACTTCTATGCACGGGGAAAAGCCTGACCACATTAACTATGTATTCACTCGAGCGCCTTCCTGGCAAAGCTTGGCAGCACGAAGCTCGCGCGGTGGATATCCTGGTTGTAGTAGCGGCACAGCTTGTCCTCTTCGTCGCGGGTCCAGGCGCGGGCGGGCTGGCGCACGTCGCGCGAGGCATCCTTGCACGCGACCAGGAAGCCGATCTGGCCGGACGGGTACGTGGGGATGGTGGTGTAGGCGTACTCCACCACGGGGAAGACCTCCTTCATCAGCCGCTTGAGGTCGGTGATGAGCTTGATGTGCAGCCATTGGTTTTCGGCTGGTGTCCCGTAAATTAGCGTGGGCCTTTCACGGATGGGGAGTGAGAGGAAAGGAAAATGGGGGGAGGGGTGTGGTGGGAGGTGGTGGGGAGCAAGAGAGGTTTGGTACGCTGCTTTCGAGAGTCACGCACGTGAGGGGGTGAGTGAGAGGGGGGAGAAGTTGGGGAAGTCGAGGCAGAATAAGCAGAACTGGAGCATTGACGAACAACCTTGAGTACTGATAACGCCGCCCTCTCGGAGCGAGCCGTGCAGTAATTCAAAATAGGGTTTCTGGAACAGAACCTCCGCAGGCCCCTCGGGGTCAGAGCTGTCGGTGATGATGACGTCGAATTCGTTCTTTTTTTCAGCAAGGAACTTGAACCCATCGCCGACGTGGACCTTCACGTTGGGATGTTCGAATCCTATGCTCATATTGGGCAGGTATTTCTTGGAGACGCGGATGACAGCCTAGAAAAGGATATATTTAGAAAAAGAGATATTGCAAGCCGTGATGCATTCACACCTCGTCAATATCGCACAGCACAGCCTCCTCGACGGTTTCGTGCTTGACAACCTCACGCAGAACACCGCCATCGCCGCCACCAATGACAAGCACCTTTTTCGGATTGGGGTGGGAGTTCATAGCCAGATGGGTGATCATCTCTTGGTACCTGGCGGGGTAACAAGTAAGTCAGCTATCTTGTTCTTGCACACAACCACAGCAAAGAAAGGGCCAGAACATACGAAAACTCATCCCGCTCCGTGCACTGGATGACATTATCCAACACCAACACCGTGCCATGGTCGCTGCTCTCGAAAACAAGGACGTCTTGGTATTTGGACTTCTCGTGGTGCAGGATCTGGTTGACACGCAGGGTCATAGCCTGGCCAGGCCACATCTCGGAGATCTCGGAGAACCATCCATCTAAAAGCACACACGGTCAGACAGGGCCCATTGGCAGGATTGTGTAGCGTCAACGGGGAGTGGGAGCAGCGGACCTTTGATGGTGGGGTGTGTGATTTCGCTCATTGTTGCGGGGTGAGAATGAAGGAGCCGGCGGGCGGGCGTGCAAGAGGACGACGAGGTTGCGTAAAGACAGTAGCACAGGCGAGGAAGAGAAAGATGTCGTGCGCGGGAGAATATCGGCGAGTGGAAGGGCGGCTGCTGGAAATGCGAAATTTCCCCTCGTCGGCGGGTGGGGGGCGCGGTCGCTGGTTGGCTGGCGAGGGGTCGCTGGCTCGGGATTTTAGCAGGCGCTGATTGGCCAGTTAGGGGAAATTTTTGCCCAATGAGATGCCGCGGTGGGTGTAACCCACGGCACCGCGCGAGAGCAGTGAATGCCATTCTTGAGAAAGAGGAGGATAAAGCGTTGGGTGAAACGATGGCCTTGCAGAAATTGATGCACTACACTCTGGCAGAGAATAACCGTCGGAAACAAAAAAGGTGTTGACAAGGGTGAGATTCGAACTCACGCCCCATTTCTGAGAACAGGACCTTAACCTGTCGCCTTGGACCGCTCGGCCACCTTGCCTGGATTACAGGGTTGAGCCCAGTGCGGAACACAAGTCTGGTTGGTCAAGTTTAAGGGGTTCGGAGATAATGCCGACTCCTGATTGGACCGACGTGGCTGCGTAAGTAGTTTGCTTTGTTTGCACCATGACCTCCTATTCTCGTTCGCTCGACCAGCACGAAGAAACATCCCGAGGCGCTTCTTTGCCGGTGAGCGGTGAGCTAGCCTCCGTCAGCATCAGCAGCAGCAGTGGCTAGCTGTCGAATGACCGGCGGAGAATGGCAGATAAGCCTCAGCACTGATTCTTTCTAACTCCGGCCGTGGGTGCCACCCAGCTCCATACCTTCAATACTCCGAAGTTGTCGCTGTACGGGCTGCTTGGCAGTGTTAGCTATGCAACTGTAAGTCATTTTCTGTGGAAGCAGTCTTGTCTATTTTTAACTTTCCTCTGCTCATGTGGGATGAACTTTGAAGTAGCGGTGCCAGTGATGTTGATAGAACAGATCATTTCCCGCGCTCCCGTTCTGCCTCGTTCGGATGCTTAAGCACGGCTCGGATGGCCCCTCCACGCGACATCGAGACTGCTCTAGATTCTCCGCGGCAAAATGGCCAACCCGCAGCGTAGAGTGACCCTTCTCGGCTGCGTTGCTGAGCGTTTTAGCGCAGCGAGATGACCCTTGGAGGATCGCGCCAGCCATCGAGCATGCGGCGGACAGACGCATAACTAACTAACCGTAAGCACGGCTGGAGACCCTGCAGCACAGGTAAGATTAGGGTTGCAGGCACAGCGCTCCATCGCTCGTCGTGGCAGGCCCAGGGCCACGCGGTGCGCGCGTGCTTTACGCCTGCAAGCTTTGCTCTGCCCAACCTTGCGGCGGTGGCGAAATATCCGAGAGCACAGCACGACGACAAGTCACGAAACCCCTTTGCGGATCTTTTCTTCGCGGATGGATCGATGTGCCGTGTGGATGCGTGCTGGACCTACACACCTAAATAATAATAATCCGTACACAGTCTGGATTGTGCCACCCGCGGGCTGTCTCTCCACCAGCCGTCCGTTCTCCGCCCGTTGCACGTCAGGCACGGAGGGCTCCAGCAACGGCCACGCTGCCGACAGGACGCCTCCGGGGCAGCACGGCAGACATCGCGTGGGCGCCGGAGCAGCGCCATTCCGCTCTGGATGCGGGCCAAGCGAGGCATAGACGCGGGCCGCAACGCTATTCTAGCGAGCCCCGGAGCCGAGCGACCAACGGGCGGCGTGGCCGCTGCAGGCGCCCAGGGCTCAGGCATCGTATTTGAGTTCCACCGCCCGCCAGGGCCCAACCGCGTCGTGTCAGGCGAGGGCCCTGAACGCTGGTATGCGTGCAGACGGGCAGCGGGCATCCCAGCAGGCGGCACCAGACCCGGCATCCTCGCTGCAGGAAGGTTTTTTTTGGCTGGCGTTGTGCATTAGACGCCAGACAATAAGACTAACGGCAACAGACAGACGAGCAGACACACCTCGGGGCAAGATTCCCATCTCGCCTTCGCTAACGGAGAGCTAATGCCGGATACTAGCTGGCCATCCGCTCGGCAGCCCAATCCGCGCCCCAGAAACCTGTGTGCAGGCCGTGTGGACCAGCCCGCGAGGATCTCTAGTCAGCTCCGCCCGCGGGCTTGCTGGAGATCGCACAGCTGTCGCGGCACAGCTCTGGTTCCTGTTTATTAGTATTTATTCTCTGCACCTCCCCTGCTCGCGATGGGACCTCGTGGCTGCCCGTGAACCCCAGCGCGGCCGCAATCGCAACCGAGACAGGCATCCCTGGACCCCCCCGTCGTCGTCGCCGCCCCCCTCGCTACCCCCCCGATCGCTTTGCCAGCGCAAACCCGGCTGGCCGTGCCTGTTGCGCTCGTGGCCGCGCCCAATAATAATTATCCCGCCTCGCAAGCCTAGACATGCAGCAACCCCGTCGTGCAGCGGCCTGACTGACCGAGTCCATTTTTCAGCTCTTTGGGGGGGCTGTTGTTTGCTTTTGCTCCTGTTCCTCCCACGCTCACTCGCTCTGCTGCCGGTACTGTGGCTGCTGCCTGCCGACCTGATAGTGTTGTTATTGTTGTCTGCTCAATCACCAGCAGCGCACTCCAGCTTTCGCTCGTTACTTAAACTATTCCTGCATGATTTGCCCGCAATTCACTTCTATTGTCTGTCCAAACTCTCCCGCGCTCAGCTGGAGCTTGAATCGTACCTACTTCACATTCACGCAACACAGCGCTGCTGGGCTGTTTGATGCTCCTTTCTTTGGCCAATTTCTTGTCTTCTGAGCAAAGACACCATCCTTGTTGGCATCCTGTCTGCTGTGCGCGTGAGTTTTGAGGTATATATTGGTAGGTAGATCTCCCTGGAATAATGTACATACATACATAAATACCTCTTTGATGGCTCTATTAATGAAGTGGCTTAAGCTCAGATACCCGCCACCCTGGGTGTGGTAAGACTAGTTACACCCCTGCCTTCTTTCTTCTTTACTCGTCGCCTCGACTTTACCGCGCTCCGTGTGCTGTTTTGATCTGCGAGACTGAACTTCGCTGGGCTGGAGACGCTGACAGCCACCCCGGACACACGCACCCGCGTTCAATTATGGGCTGTTCCGGATCCAGAGAGCTCAGCCCAGAGGAGCGGCGGGCTGTCAAGCACAATGCGACCCTTGATAGACTGATCCGGATGGATAAGAAGACGTATGATCGTACCGTCAAGATTCTTTTACTTGGTAGGTCTAGCTACTGGCATACCATACATGCTCGTTTCCGTGGTGAGTAGACACTAAGATGTCTCGAATCCAGGTGCTGGTGAATCCGGAAAATCTACGATTATCAAACAAATGCGCATCATTCACGCCGGTGGCTTTCCTGAAGATGAGCGTCGTCAGACTCGTGCCGTGATCTACGCAAACATGATCGTGGCTTTCAAAATACTACTCGATATTATGGAGGCAGAACGAATCAGCTTTGATTCAAAAGAAACAGAGGTAAATCCCTCATGCTGTCCAGCCTGACTATTAAGTGATTGCGACTTTTTGCTAACCAGCAAAGGCCCTTGCACAATTCATAGAGGATGCAGAATCGGACGTCGAGTGTGACGAAGCCTTTACTGATCTGAACATTCGGGAAGCGATGAAGGGAATGTGGTCCGATCTAGGTGTTCAAAAAGCCGTATCAAAAGGTCATGAATTCGCTCTTAACGACAACCTAAACTAGTGAGTCTTCTTCCATAGGATTCATCTTCCGTACATTCACACTGATTTTGGCAAAGCTACTTTAACTCGCTAGATCGCATATTTACCCCTGGCTGGCTCCCTAACAACCAAGATATGCTCCATTCGAGGTTGCGCACAACCGGTATCACCGAGACCCTATTCGAACTGGGGCAAATTAACTTTCGCATGATGGACGTCGGCGGACAGCGCTCAGAGCGCAAAAAGTGGATTCACTGCTTCGAGGGCGTGCAGTGCTTGCTTTTCATGGTGGCCCTGTCGGGGTACGATCAGTGTCTAGTCGAAGATCAAAATGCGGTGCGTGCTCCCTGAACCCCCTCACCTTCACAGGAATTCGGTGCGACCGTGAGGTATCACAAAACTGACCTCGCCTAAGAACCAAATGCACGAAGCCATGATGCTCTTCGAGTCCCTGGTAAACGGCGAATGGTTCAAGCGAAAACCCGTCATTCTCTTCCTCAACAAAATCGATCTCTTCAGAGACAAACTGCCGCACTCGCCCGTTTCGAAGCACTTCCCCGACTTTAAGGGCCCCGAAGGCGACTACGAAGCTGCAGCAAAGTTCTTCGGCATCCGCTTCAAAGGCATGACACGCATGCCGGAGCGCGAAATCTACACCCACTACACTAATGCCACTGACACGACTCTTTTAAAAGCAACCATGGACTCCGTACAAGATATGATTATTCAAAAGAACCTGAACAACCTTGTTTTGTAGGCACTGTGATACCCTGAACGAAAAGAAAAGAAAACAAAAAGAAAGTTAGGCATTTACAGGTCGTTCTTTTGCATTCACATGGTATCTTCTGGCGGCCTGGCTTGTCTCATGATAACCGTTTCATTTTTCATTTTTTATTTTTTTCATTTATTCGAATTTATTCTACCTTGGTATATTCCGGGATCTGTTCTATATGAAGATTGATTGTTATGACTTGAACCCCGCGTTGCATGATGTTCCTTTCCTGTGTTGATATATTTTTTTTTATTTTCTTTTCATTTGAAGCATCATATGCATATGCGTCACTGCCGCTCTTTTTACGCCTATACACTTGTTTCTGCTCCCTTTACTGGGTCTTTTCTCTCGGGGTATGATTTTACACTGAAGACGGCCTCTTCTGCTTTTTCCTTATTGTTGCTGTTGTATTATCAGATTACCTTTGCCAAGCACATGATTGAAAGTACTATCTTCCTTGCTTTGCCTTCCAGATAAGTGCCCAGGGGGGGATATGTATGTATGTGCGTGTATTTATGAGTGTGTCTTCAGGAGGCTAGTTGCTTTTTACGTTTTGGTGGTACCGGCAGGCTTTATTCGGCATTTCTTTGCACAAATAGAAGGCGGAAATAGGGTGTGAGTTGGATGTCTTGTGATTCCATTTTCTTCAACGCTGTGCTACCACAGGCTATTAGGCCGTACTCTTACAAACAATCATGCTCCAGTTTCTGAAACAGCTCGCGGAAAATATCTTGCTCAACTGTTCGTGGATCTCCACATGTGGCGTGTCCGGCAGATAACAACAAGAAGGGGTTTCGAGACGCTCATCCCACCGGCATTTTAAAAAAAAGCTTTGTTTTGCTAGATAAGACAACGGAAGCCGACCGAGGGATTAAGGTGACGACTGGTCCTTGGCCCCCGCTCTAAAGCCTGTAGCGAGAAGGCGGATGTATGACATTACCCGTAGCTTAAGGCCGACAGAAGACAGCAGCGCAAGAATCATTTGTGGCCTCTGGGTTTGGTAGTGATGTATCATTGGATCTCTGTCGTCTAGATGCAACTGTTTGTCCCGAGCAGGTCGTCGCATCACCGAGAGTTCTTTCGCTGTTCAGGAACGGGCGGCTGCACGTGACATGTTTCTTACATAAGCTGAATCGTGCGGTGGAATTCAAGATCTGCTGATCGAAAGAACTCCCTCATCATCTCCAACAGACGCCCGCTGGCACCTCCACCCCCTCTCGCTCCCTTTTGCACTGGAGCTCTTCTTTAGAAAGGCTCCTGCTGCGCGTCGTCATGATCTCTTCTTCGATATGCCGTATGGCACGAACGCCCACGGCCACTCTTCCCGCTGTGACGCCACGCCCATCCGCCATTGTTCTCGCGAATTCCGCGAGTACCCTGTCCGCTCCACGATACCACCAGCGACGATATTCGTCTTCAAAACCCCCCGTACCCCCAAGTGATGGATCAAGAGGCATCGATGCTCCTTCGCACGCGCCCACGAAAAGCGTGAACCCATCGAAGAAGGACGATGCTGAGAAACGGCCGAAGCGCCGTGCGAAGGAAATTAAGTCAAAGATAGAACCCTCTTTAAATCTTCCTAGCGTCCCTTCTACACAGCACTTGAATCCTCAAGGTCCGTATTTTAATCTCCGCTTGTCACTTTCCAGGCGCTTCCTTTATAGCCTGGATCACGTGGCGCTTCAGTTCCTGGTAATCCCGTCTGATACTAATGAAATTTGGCGATCTCAGATATCCACGTCGCTTCGTTCTTTTCAATTTATAGACCCATGTCCGTTACTACTTCAGTACCTCCTTCGTCAAGTCCAGAATCCTTTGCATCCATTTTTTCTCCGAAAAAACAAGCGAAATCTCGACACAACGACGTCATTTATACCATTGCTTCTGCTGTGAAAGTAATCGAGAGTGCATTCCCGAAACCCCAGAATTCCTCGGAAGGAAATGACCTTCGGGCAGCTGTCACTCAGGCTTCCACGAGTAACTCAGACTCTGAAGTGACTCATCTCGACGGCGTGCCGGCGCAGGACTTAAGGCTGTCGGTTCAAGAATTTGCAAAGAGACTTAGACCATTTAATCCTCCCCCTCCGCCCGTTGCGATGGATGAGTCTCAACAGGCAAATACAATGGAGGCTGAAGTCGAAGCTGAAGCCGCAGAGACCGAGCAGAGTTATTCGAGTGTACTCACAATCCGCGAGTCTAACCACGCCGACGGCTCTAAAACCTACGAGGCGTACACTACGCCATTCGTTCGCGTGGATGAGATGGAAGCACCGTCCGCAATCGAGGCCGAAGTCATGGACGAAAAGTACGGCCCCCAGTCCGCCAGATTGCCAAGCCATCTTTCTGAGAGAATGCGAATCCGACGACTGAGATTGGAAGAATATATGGAGAGAAAAAACCGATCCATGTATGCCATCAGCGTCAAGAGGCAGCGAAAGTTGAAGATGAAAAAGCACAAATATAAAAAGCTCATGCGAAAAACGAGAACGTTGAGACGCAAGCTTGAGAAGACGTGATCTACTTGGTTGTTTGATCTTGCAAATTCCAAGGGGCATATCGGCGTGTTCTGCGTTGTTTCGTTTTGTTTTTACGTTTTTCTCTCCCTTGCTGCCTCTGCTGTGGTACTCGGTATTGCTGGTATAATCGATTGATAGCTTTTTCTTGTCTTTACTCCAGCTTCTTTTGCTCGCTACTGATGATTGTTGCCCATTAGACATGCGTACACGCCCACTTTTTGGCCGGCTGAGCGTGGTACATAGCCTTACCCCATAGTTCTATTTTGTACAGCGCCTATGTAGATGTCGCTCGGCGGCAACGCTAATTGTTCGAACTTGTTTTGTCTCCGCTCTGCTAATCTTGGAATATACATAGAAGTTCGATCCAATCAATCAATACAAATCAACAACAGAAAATATGGTACACAATCGCACCGCTCGTTCAGTTATGATTGAGGTTCTGTCTTGCTTAGGACAGAGCCACAAACACACAAGGGGAGCGTGCAGATATTTGAAACTCAATGTCAAAAATATTTCAAACGCAAGTCTAGCATACCAAAAAACGCAATTATGATATAAGTCCATATTGTAGCATACAGGGAGAGATAGGCAAAAGTAACCTGCAAAAGGACTAGAGAAGAAGGTGAAATCCAAAGGACAAAACAAACCCCAGAATACTCCTTCGAGAATAGAGTACTAGGTGAACACTTTTCAAGGGGCCCTGTCTACTCTTTCGCGAGGGGCATCAGGGCTTCGTTGCATCCTTTCTATCAACACCTGAAGATGCTCATAACATGCCATTATAAAGAGTTGGAGGTCGAAACAGGTCACGGTAATTCCATGGATATGACCAAGTTCCAGTTGTTAAACGCAGTCTTGCACCGAACTTGGAAGCGTGCGAAGGATATGCGAGCAATTTTTTCGTGAATAGCGAGCAGCATCTAGCAGCTGACTCCTTGTGTTGAGCGGGAGTTCATGAGAAGTGCGACAATAAGTCCGTACAAACCTGTTTGGGGCGCTTAGAAGGTGTGGCAAATAGTTATTGGCAGCTAGAGAGAACATACCCAAGACTTCAGCGAAAATGAGAATCAAGATCATTCCTACAAAGAGGCGTGGTTGTTGTGCTGTTCCACGGACACCGGCATCACCAACAATACCAATAGCAAAGCTAGATTAACGAGAAGTTGTCAACACGGGTCTGAATTATACAAGAGCATTAACGACGAAAGACTTACCCTGCAGCTAACCCAGCAAGACCGACTGCCAAACCTGCACCAAGTTGGATGAATCCAGTATAAAGTGCCAAATCCTGGCGCAGATCGTTTGCTATCAAGACTGATACGACCAACCCGTAGATACCGATAATACCGGCCATAACGATGGGAACAATATCTAGAAAAACGATCGCATTAGCACACAGTTAGGCCCATCGCCCAAGATATCCTAGAAAAGACGATCTTTGACGCTAAACGAATATCAATAGCCCTTACTCTTGACGATCAAATCAGGGCGCAGGACAGCGGTTGAGCAAACACCCACACCGGCCTTAGCCGTTCCATAGGCAGCACCAAAACATGTGAATATGATGGCGGAGCAACATCCTAAAGCACCAAAGAAGGGCTAGAGACCATATAGAAGTTAGTATTGGGGCAGTATCAAAGAGATTTGAAAAGATGGTCCACGGGAAGACGATCGAGCGATTGGTCGTCAATCCGAGGTGGGTTGCATATGGGTAAGGTGGATCAATGAACGAACCGCGTAAACTGGGCTAACAGGACGGGGTCAAAAATTAGCATATGTAGCGAATAAATGGTCTGTCCCAAGACTTGTGGGTCATAGTATAGATGAGCGATCGAAAGAGACATACCAGAGATCCGAAGGCATCTTGAAAGGGTTATGGAGGCAACGACTTGGGCTCGAATGACGAAGAAGATGGAGGGAGCGAGACCGTTACCGGCGTCAAGTAGATAGTCTATTAGTGTGAAGATGTTGGATACAAGTGTGGCTGGTTGGGAGGAGCGAGGGCGGCACGGAGGTTGAGCTTGTCAAGTTGCCATGATGTGAAGCTTGCGTCCTAAAGTGGACGTCACGTGGTTTGGACGCCGCCTAAACTCTGCGATCACCATCGAGACATCACCGATGTTCTACACGCTACAAGGATATTGAGTACGTCGTAATATCCATTTATTTGATGTCTAGAATTATTCTTGAACCGGGAACATCGATTTTAGTTCCTGATAGTTGAACATGTCGTTTGGATTCTGAGGCGCAGCCTCTTTCAACGGTTGCAAACGTTATGCCTTTCTCAGAAAGCGCCCCGAATTTATTTGGTAGGACAGCAAGGCAGTCAGGCGTAAAACCAGGAGGTTGCCGGTTCTCCTCGAAGCTCGTTGAGGGCGAACACTCGGCATCAGCAGGCGGGATCACGCCAAATAGATAGTTCCCAGTCTCTGTAAATACCGGATGAAGGCTATTCGCTGGTACATGAATGGGAACTCCATTATCCAAAGGCGCGACAAAAAACTGAACAGTATCTCCTGGCTTTGCAGTTTCTGACAATGGGGTTATCAGCTTCCCGTCACTGAATTCCATCAAGTTAGGGGTTTCGAAAGCCAGACCGTCCACGCTCGGCTCTGTTTGAACGCCACCTTCAAATAAGTCGTAGATACGGCGAGGTTGGCCAGAGCCGTTGTCTTCTTGGTAGCTGAATTCAGGGTCTAATGATAAGAGGCCTTGCTTCTTACCCCATCCGCCTCCTCCGCTCATTAAACGGTGAAGGCGAGCACCATTTCTGATAGAATTCGACACAGAATCAACCTTGCATTTATTCTGAGTCCAAGTTTCAGTTTTTGATCCTCTCGGTGTGACAAGAGCCCAGACTGCCAGCCTATGATTCTGTAGCTGATGTCTGTTTATATATAAAGGTAACGCTTTCTCAAGTTCTGCTGATGCTGGAGCAGATTTTGCAGTGCCATCCCCAATGGAAATTTGGCTTAAAACATTCCCCATGCTCGCCAGAACCTTCCTAGGCTCAGTAACAGGGTGCAAAGGAACAAAAGGAGCCACTTTAGATGATTTGGTTGTTGGTTCGATTCGACAGAACGCAAGATCATGCGCGTCCTCTAATTCAAGCCTATCGGTGCCATCGGATCGCCAGCGTGATGCTAACATAGTTCGCGGCACTCCTGTGATAAAAACTGTGTTCGCGACATAGATCCCTACTTCAGTAGAAACAAGTCCGGTGCAATTTTCCCCGGTAGAAGCAACGTAGGTGATAATGGGCTCGACTTGATGCATCGAGATATCTCGCCTACGCGTAGGTTTAACGATATCTGCCGATAGATGATCACGATCTATCAGAAGAACGGATATCCCTTCACTCCCAGCTTGTACGCGTTTGTCCGGAGTAGATTTTCGGGGCTGTTCTGTTTCATCCGAAGCTGGTAGCTTGTCCACAATAGCCGATATAGAAAAGACGTCCTTGACTGCGCGTCCCGTTCCTAGCGAGTTTCGGAATACATGGTTTATTACCGAAGGTAACTGGGAGCCGTGCGGCTGCGTCCACGAGGCAAACGCGGGAGTAGCGAGAAGTATGGGAACACAACGAAGTAAGTCTGGCTTCCCCGGAAGTACGGGCAGTTTTGACAGTATGGCATTCGGTTCCTATATTGTGCTATGTATCAGCTTTTATAAATCGAAATCATAGAAGGAACGTACGATAAGAGAAGGCCTAGAGGCTAACAGTGTAATAGCAACTACGGGGTTCATCCCATCTTGTGTTGTTTCACCGGCAGAAGAAACGTGCCGTTGATTCCTAAAACCGCTGTAGAATCGGACTGCTAAGGAGAATTGCAATCCATTATATCGCGCAGCAAAAATATGAACCAAACGCGGAACACACATGCTGCTCACTGCAGAGTGCAGAGAACATGGTGAATGTCCCAACATGTACGGAATGTTCGACGATATTCAAGGTACGGGCGAAACGATCAATGGTTATCGGCCTATCTCGTTACATATGTAACTAGTTACAGTAGGCATCTCAGGCTACTGCCAAGCTCATCCGACCATTCCCCCTCCAACACCATCGCATACGGAGTACATATTGCTCCTACCCCATGAAATAAAACCGCCTCTTACTGCTTAAGCGTACTTGTAGGGAATTATCACAAAAAGTGGACGTTACGGAGCACCGAAAATGAGAGCTTGTCCACAACTTTGTTACATTTCAGAATGACAAGGACTAGAAGGGAAACAAAAGGATATGATAAACCCATTCCATGCCTTTTATTTACCCATACGTAACGCCTTGCAAGAAAAAGAAATATACCAGTCAAGCAAAACCCAACGCCTGTATCAAGTGGTGCCGGGGCTTATGGGGTCCAAAATAAAATATTGGATATTCGGAAATAGTATAGAAACCCGGCCCTTAACGCAAAAGGTACATTAAAGTCGCAAGAGTAGCTTAAATCTCTTCTATATTTTCACCCGGCTATTTTCTTTCTGCACGAGCTTAGTTAGCTCCGCATATACCTTAGAGTATTCTTCTTTATTCTCGGCATCGTCCTTAGATTCCTCCTTCTTCTTCTTTCCCCCGGACTGTGGTAGAACCATGACAACGCTGGTTGGTCTCTTGGTAGCACCAGCGTTTCCTAATTCTGCTCGAGACGTTACGTATACGTATGGGATTCCGTGGTCTTCGCACAAAACGGGGATATGCGATATTACGTCCATTGGGGAAATGTCGGCTGCTAAGACAACAATGCCGATCGGTGTAGTGACAGCCACATTTGCAGCAGCCATAGGGGACTTTCTAACGGCCTTTACAACTTCTTTAACACCTCGTTTTAGAGACTTGTTCACCGCGGCTGATAAGAGAGAATAATTTAGCACAGGCATTTCATGCGATCTTAAATAAATAGCCAGATACCTTTCTTGACACTCTTTAGGACTTTCTTCGCAGCCTTGTCGTCTGCTAATGGGTTCGCAAAAGGTACAAGGGAGCCAACAGGTCGTTCCTCCTTCTGTTGATTTTCTGCTTCCATGATGACATCTTCAGTAGTGTCCAATTGGGCCAGGACCTTGTCGGTCAGATCTTTCTCAGCAACATCGGCTGTTATTGTGGTCTTCTTCCTTTCCTTATCCTTCTTGGACTTTTTATGAACACCATCTACCTCCGAGCGCTTCTTCTCTTTCTTCTCCTTCCTCTTTTCCTTGTCGCTTCGGTCTTTTGCCATCTTAAATATATAACGTAACTAGATGTTATCAAAATAGCAGATAGAAGAGTAAAAGGGCTGTTGCTGGCGCGGGTGAATACTGGACCAGACCGGAACAGTTTGCTCACATCAATTTTGAAGCTCTGCTTGGTAAAAATGAAGGAGCTAGTTCGCTTATGGCTTAGGCAGTTAGTTAGCCCTCTTTTGGCCAGCCAATCTGGCGGCGAAACCTTAATTTTAGTGATAATTTCAATTACGAGATTTTATCGGTAACAAGGCCGAGTGGTGTAGTTGGTTATCACGTTTCGTTAACACCGAAAAGGTCCTGAGTTCGAGTCTCAGCTTGGTCATTCATTCTTTTTGTATTTTTTGTACCAAGTCCATCTAATTAAGTTGTATATTCATCCTAGTATCCAGTTCAAGACACGCCTTGATTATTGATTGATGGCGTTCTAAGATATCTCGCACATTCAAGATGTTTCCCAGGGAGTTGAGAGCGTACTATGACACTATTCTACCGTTACGAAGTACGCAGAGCTTATCAGATGCTGTAAACGAGTCAAAATCTTCATGATTAGCTATTGAGACGACCACTCTCGTTCTCATAGTATGGTCATTTGATAAACGTGTTCCTTCTTACTCAATTTTTTCGAAACTTGCTTTCGGCTAAAAGTAGACGTCGGAAAGAGTGGCCACTGCGGTGCTAGTTTTGCATTTCGTTTATCAGATAGTTGGCAATTCATGTTCTCTGCGTTGGGATACTCATGACTGTCAGGGTATATTAAACAGCCAACCAAGTCCTGCAGGATCTTTTGAACCTAGATCCTAAAACAAAAATATATTTCTTTCATCTGAACTCGTCATGATAGTATAAGTAGCGTGCTGAAAAATGCCTATTAGAATGATGATGGGAGCTGGGAATCCACATCCAAATTGGAAGAGTTGAGTAGGAAACACTAAGTAGATAGACCTGCGGAGCGTTTTCTACTATATCGCTCAATTATTGAAGTTGTGTAGCATTCAGGAGCTGAGTATAAACGTAAAAATCGAGTATATGGTTGCTTTCTATACTGTACACTGCAATCCACGAAGTCTCATCCTCTTAATATTTTCTTTTCAAACTGAAAATCGCGTTGCTCCTAGGGTAAACTTATTCCTCAGATGTACCTTCAGCGAGACGGCCGGGCTTGGAGTTCAAATATTCATTTCTACGGAAGTATAATCAGCAATCCTTTGAATGGATGCAGCCAGGAGGGTTGGTCTAGCAAATACCTCTCAACAGCCCAATTCATCAGAGCATATGCAACCACAAATGGAGGGACAACATAGAGGAACTGGCCTCTGCATCGGCGCCATGTGTTGAAAATTGCATTGTGCAAGGCGCCCGCGAGTGGGCGCTGACGATTAGAGGCAACAGAGTATGTGATAATGCCTCTCTGAGGGTGAACGGAACCTGTATAACCGGAAATGGATCATAAGTAAGTTTTCGATGCCTCGGTCGCCTCGCTCGTGAAGTAGCGTTCAAACTGTGCGCCACCCCAACGGGAGAAATTCAGAGAAAGGTAGACCTACCAAAGTTACCCCATCCTCCCAGGTAACTGACAAATGTTAGCAGGTGGTCATGGTGCCATTGCGCGAAGAGGTCAATCGAAGTCCCAAACTCCCGAACTGTTTGAAAGACTGTGAGGAGTACTTACACGCCGTGCTTTGGATCTGGTGAGTGGCCACCCATGGCTGCTGTCGGATAACAGGATACTAATCGGATTCAAATAGAGCGTAGACTGGCTGTTGTGGAAGCAATTGGCGTCAATGTTTCTGAAGTCGCAAATGAAATGGATGATCCCGGATTGGTCTTTCGGGTGGTGTTGCTGACTACGCCGACAGACTCCAGAGCTAAACCGAATCGGGGCCAGGTCGACTTCCGCCCTTCATTCAAGCTTTCATCACCCATTGAAATCGCTGGACATTCGAAGCCAACGATTGCGCCTCTGGACTCCGGCTTCGATATTCGCCATGGCGACCCCTTTGACCTTTATTTATAAATATGCAGTTCCTCTCGCATTTGGGGCCTCATTTGCCCAGGCGTCGATGTACGATGTCAAAGGAGGCACGAGAGCAGTGATTTTTGACAGGCTGAGCGGTGTTCAAGATAAAGTCGTTAATGAAGGCACTCACTTCCTTATCCCATGGCTGCAGAAGAGCATTATCTACGATGTGAGAACGAAGCCCCGAAATATCTCTACGACCACGGGAAGTAAAGATCTGCAAATGGTGAGCTTGACGCTCAGAGTTCTGCACCGCCCCGAGGTTCAGCGGCTGCCAAAGATTTATCAGGTATAAAACCAATGCTTTACCGCAAAAATTTACCTTTAAAAACTTTCAGTCAATATTGACAAATCGCATAGTCTCTTGGCCAAGACTACGACGAAAGGGTACTCCCATCCATCGGAAACGAAGTGCTAAAATCTATTGTTGCCCAATTCGACGCTGCCGAACTTATCACACAGCGAGAAGCTGTCTCGAATCGGATACGCTCTGACCTTACCCGCCGTGCTCAAGAATTCAATATCGCTCTTGAGGATGTTTCTATTACCCACATGACGTTCGGCAAGGAATTCACCCGAGCCGTCGAGCAAAAACAGATTGCTCAGCAGGATGCTGAAAGAGCGCGATTTATTGTCGAAAAGGCAGAGCAAGAACGCCAGGCCAACGTTATTCGCGCTGAAGGTGAAGCTGAGAGTGCCGATATCATTAGCAAAGCGGTTGCCAAGGCAGGAGATGGCTTGATTCAGATTCGAAGAATCGAGGCAAGTCGAGAGATTGCCCAGACGCTGGCTACAAACCCCAATGTTACATATCTTCCTGGTGGTGAAGCCGGAAAGGGAGGCAAGAGCACCAGCCTCTTACTTGGTTTGAGACCCTAGGTTTCTGTGCCAGTGTTGGTTAGCGCTTGTATTAAAACTTGTTTACTTTCTCATGTCATGTCTAAAATGTATCTATCTTTCTCCACTTATCATAATGGCATAGGCAAACCAGAATCAACCATCAACTTACAGATTACTCTATATATTAGTAAAATGGGACTACAGTGGTTAGAATATGTTATGAAGGGGGCATTTGTGATAGAATTGTAGAAACACATAGGATGTTTGGGGTTTTTGTAGGAAAGTATCACTAGTTCGAACACATTATGAATGTATGGTCTATGCATCTTTCACTTTTTTAGGTGCTATAATAATGCCTCCAGAGACAAACTTTCTTCCTTTCTCTTCATCACAGTTCATTACTCAAAACTGATTTACTAACTGTTAACCGATAAAGAGAGAATAATATAATACAATATCTCTTTCAACATGGCGTCACAATCAAAGTCGACTGCGAGAGGAGATATTGGATTTGACTGGAGGAGGGCGGGGCAGAGACGTACTGATGGCGTTACATCTGCATCCAAAGGGCACTTGGATAATGAGCGAAAAGAGAAACTGCCAAAAGGAGAAAATGTTCACCATAGAAAAATGCACGAAAACCATTGGTCTTGGGATACACCTAGCCTATTGCCATATTCTTTATCAAAAAAACATAAAGGTTATAGAAATGACCTATATGAACAAGAAGCCATTGTTAACCAGAAAGGCCAGTATATGCAACAACAGGGAGCATGGAATTCTGCACTTAGCAGTAAGTCATGGCGCAATAGAGTGTCAAAGGAGCTCCAAGAAAACGGAGACGTTGGGAAAGTGATCGAAATTCGGTCTCTTGTGCCTCCACGAAAGGAGGACCTCGAATGTGCAAAAATAACCGATTGTGAATACGCAGGGTCTTACAACTGGATCAATACCAAAGAGCCCACAATTGTCATACCAGGTAAGTTGAACACCAACATATAAAAAACAATATCACTGAAAGTCGAGCTTAGGAGTACCACGGATGTGGAAATCTACCGACAAGCCGTGCCCACTCAAACAGGATTGCAGTCAATATTTCCTAGACCAAAATTCGGCACGATGGCCTGATCACCCGCTTGAGCCAGCAATTCGCTCAGTCTTTGACTTCAACCCCACGTTCAAACCAGAGGAAATCGATATCGTCACCTGCACAGAGGTTATAGGCAACATATTTGAGGTAGCTTCCTCAACCCCTCGATCATTCCGATTCGATATGGAGAAAGTAGGAAATACCTTTTTTATGGTGAAAAGAGAGCGCACATCAAATGAAAAGCTGGAGGAAATCTATGGATTTTCCGATGCCCTTCCCAAAGAAAACACAATTTGGGGACCGAATCAAAGAATTATTCGATATAAACTTGGTGGACTAAGCTTGTTGGTTCGCTTTGAGGCGGATGCATATTTGTCAAACATGATACTTGGAACAACTGAGCCGTTTGAGATCATTGGTCGCGACGCAGTTATTGACGACGGGGATACTTCAGTTCAAGCAACAGAAGCGAGAAATGAGGCCGAGAGTCCAAAGCTCATGATCCACCAAGCCGGATCCATTATTCCCCAAGAAGCTGTGTGCGATATAAAGGTCTCGTACGAGAACGGAGCTGGTGATCTTTTTAATCAGATCCAGCATCTGTGGGCATGTCAAATCAAGAACTGTGTCACAGCATATCGTTGCAAAAATAGGCAATTCGACGGCAATCCTACTGTTAAAGATCTAGGTATCCATATTGCGAGGTGGGAGAACGGAAATAAGCCGACTGTATCGCTCATGGTAGCAATTCTCAAGAGGCTAATCGCTGAAGCGAAGGAGGCAGATTTTGGAAAAGTAGAGGTCCACAGGATATGGAGTGGTCCGTTGATTACTCGGGGCCAAGCTGGACAGCCCAGAGAAGCTCTTCCAGCAGATCTCAAAGCAAGGTGGGAGGCCAATAATACAGGGCAGGAGCAAGGTGTTTCCATAGCAGATGGGTGGCAGATCATCGATCGCGAGGTTGGAAATCTTCCCTTTGAGCAATAAGAAACAGTTCGGAACCCTAGGTTCCTGGATATTGATATAGAAAATGGGGCATGCCGTTTTGATTTAGACCATATGGAAATTATACGGCATTGTTGCGTGTTTGTAGCCTGAACTTTCCTCTCAAAGTTAAGTGACAAGTAATCTTTCGCTCAGAGCCTCCGATAAATGTGAATTTGGTACCTCATATCTTCCAGCCCTATACCGTCGCCAACGTTATACGTTAAAGCGTCCTTCTCTCTCCGAAACCACCTTGAGTCGTCTGATAGAACGCATGTCCATTTCTCAGCCGCAACAGAAAGCAGAGTGTGTTCTAGAAGGAAACGCATAGGGTATTCCCTTTGAGGCTTTCCCTCCATTTTACTGGTATGCGGTGCTGCCTGAGAGGCTTTCGAAGTCGATCCTATAGATAAAGTAGAATAGCTTCCTGGACTGTCAACTATAAGCAATGTAGCCCCCGGTTCCAGGATATCAGTTAGACGGAGGAGGAAAGAAACTGTTTTAGACATTGAAGTCGAAAACAGTTCATTGAGAGTGAACATGAGAGTCACCAAAGCAGTGCGATCGCTCATTTCGTCGCAGCTAGAAGCAGGATAGGCCAGGGTCCTGATATGACTGTCAGAGAGTTCCAGTACGTCTCGTTTGTGGAACTGGACCGTAAAGTGTTTTTTCGGATGATTGCCATTTACAACCGGCAGAAGAGGAGGCTGGCACGTATTCTTAGAAGGCACAGACAAAGAAGTCATACCAGCCACTAAACGATCAACAACCGACGACCAATCCGCGATATCAACTGCAGTCACGCAAAGCTCAGGGGTATCCTGTGGGGTAGTTCCATCACCCCTTTTTTCCTCAGCTCCCCCTGAGTGCACAGATAACTCGGAAAATCGATCCAACAGCCCCTTCTCCGCGCACAGTTCCCTCCATACCGCCCCCAGCGCCAAAATCTCTGCACCTGCACCACCGCCAATACACAGAACGTCCGTCCGCGTTTTCCCAAAAAGCACATCCTTCATTCCCCAAAAGATAGTCGCATACGCGAGAGCCCTCCCGGCACTCCAGCGAAGCGCATACGCTCTCAATGCATCTTCATCTGCTTCACTGAAAGCTTTGGCAAAATCCCTCCGATAAAGATGGGCTTTGATGGTTTGGACTTTCTCTGTTAGCGAAGTCTGTGATCCTTGGTCCGCGGCTTGCACCGGGAAAAGCAGAGACGCTTTGGAGATGTTTAAGACGAGCTGCTGAAGAGGAATGGGGAGTGAAATTATGCTTGAGGCATCGCTGGACGCTATGCTTTTTGAAATACCCGACTTTCCAGTCTTTCCAATTGCAACGTTCTGGCTCTGTACCTTTTCCTTTCTCTTGTGCCTTTGCTTTGAGGGCGGCATGTTCGAAGCTTAGTAGGATGTGATGTGGAATTTTAGGCTGTCAACCCATCGAATGTCGCATTTCTACGGAGTACGGATTATCAATTATTCCATAATATTCAATCTCATGGAATCTCTCAGTTTTAATTTTCTCACAGCGAGTTATGGCTAACACTCGCTGTCTCACATACATGGTACTCTGACATACATAAATACACGACGGACTCTGACACCAGCAGTCGTTTTGCAATTTCCCAGAACGCCGAATATTGTGTGATAGTGCCAAACTCAAATGGGTCGAAAAAAATGCAAGGAGTGTACGTTCACAAAGAACAAAGATAATAAGAAAAAAACGATAAGGCTGCAAATGGGACATTCCTTCAGGTAAGAACGTGAATCCAGATCCGGAATCGAGGAACTGGGTGAAAAGTCATGAAATGAGTGGGGGCGAGATATTCGTAGTCATGGATATCTTGAATGGATCGAGGTTGCAAAGTAAGCGAACAAAGAGGGAGGAATAACGTCCGCTAATATAAAGCAGCAGGGGAAACAAATATTGCAAGGGAGCGTAAGGAATAAAATACTCAACAAGAGCTGGCTGAAGCAGCCTGGTGGAGATTGCGTCAATACCAAGACGATAGCTGCTAAGTACGTACATTATACGTTTTTATGCAGCAGGAAGACGAAAGAATGACCATCAAGTAGCCTCCTTTTGTCTTGAAAATGCACCATACCGGGCAAAGCATTTGGAGGGTAAAGGAGAAAGGAAGATAGAAAGAAGCTTGGCGGGAGGGGAGGTATCATCCGCGAAGCGCAGAAATTAAACAGGTAGCTGATTGAATGGTATTAGAACCAAGGAAAATAAACCCAATTTCAATCCACAAAACTACCTTTGACCGAATATACGCCCAACAAGAAGCCGACCCAAGAGAATTTGAAAAAGGGGGGAAGAATATTTGACGTAAACGTTCTGAGAATGGGGGAATTTTTTATGCTTGCGAATCTTGCTTTTGTTTTTCCTTGCTCTTCCAAAAGTGCATTAGGCGACTGATTCGATTGCCTTTCTTTTTTTTCTTTTCCGTCTCATCAGATGGTGCCTTTTGTTCATGGCTGAGCTTACTTTTCTCTCCTGAGGCTACGCCCACTAGTCTAGAAAGGCTAACAAGGCTCGATCGCTTGGTACTCTGAGACGAAGCCGGTCTCGGGCGATTCAAGAGAGATAAAGAAGAGCAGCGATCACCCGCCGGTCTGGGATGGAGGCCAGAAGACATCTGAGGAATCGTCCCCGTCATAGTGGATGCGCTACTAGTAAGCGAAGGAACATCTTCCACTGAGTTATGAAAACATTCACTTCCAGGCTCGCCACTGTATATGGAGTTGGAAGCTTGCTTTTCGATGACTGAAGACGGAGTTGTTAGGCGAGTGTGCTCAAACGACGTTGTTGAAGGGTCAGGAGACGGAAAAGAAGAGTCTGGGGCAAATGTGCCAAGGTTCAAAGGGATAGCCTTGGGGAAGGATTGTTGTGGAGAGGATGTAGGAGGGGTTTGTTGTTGAGTTTTCTCGCAATGGAGAGACGAAGGTGGAGATGCTGGAATTGACGCCCTATCCGATTGCAAGCCCCAGCTCCCGACATCCAAAATTTCGATGGCATCTTTCAACGATGCGTGCATCTTAGACTTGCGAGGGGTACCGGTTATTTCCATGTCTGGAGTGCACGGCGTCAAAACCATCGCAGAGCTTGGATAGCTATCAATTGTCTGAGGAGTTGTGGCATTCGAAGACAAAAGCTCATCAGCAATGTCCACGATTTGTATTCCTAGGCCCGGGTTATTATTCGAAAACTTGAGTTGAATTGTAGCAGTGGAGTTCCGTTTGATCGTAGATCCATCATTATCGAAGGAAGTTTTATCAGAGGAATGTTCTACTTGACGACGTTGGTCTTCTGGGCGAGAATCGCTATTTTCGGCGAGAAACTCGTCTTCTTCCTTTTCGTCAAACACATCTGCACTGAGTAGTGCTGCCGTGCTGTACCGATTAAGACCAAACGCGTTCCGATCAAGTGGAGGCATCTCAGGGGCGCTCTCTGCACGCCGATGGTACCGCATCTCTGGACCAACGAACTCTCCTCTTCTACCACCACTGTACATTCGCTTCGTTGCAGCAACAAAGCCACTGACTGGTCGCTCGGGGCCCATTTCTGGGGTGTTGAATGGTCCTAGAGCAGCGTCCAAATCAATAACAGGACTGAACAAGTCGACATCCCGCCCTTGGTCATAGAAGCTCTGAGGCTTCCAGGACGTATCAAGACTGAGAGTATCTTTTGTCAAGTTTGAAGCGAGCGGATGTCTTGGAGCATTAGGGTCAGTGGGTGTTCGAATTACAACTGTGTTGTCATCATCAAAATTTACGCCGTACAAAGAGCTCATAGCGGAATTTGTTCGAGTAAGTATCGGTGGCGGCGTGGGAACTCTCCTGGAGGGCGGTCTTTTGGTCGTTCTTTTCTTTCCTTTTCGGGAAAGGATGCCTGCCCAGGGACGCATTTTCTTTTGCTTTTTTGCTTGTTTTCGGCTTGACGGGGCACGGTGTAAGGCTGGGGATAAATCCTCGGGTAGGGTTGAGTTGTACAATGGGTGTCGGTGGGATGGAATACGGATGTTCGGAGGTGTAATGCTGTCACCGAGCTTATCATTCGAAAGAGCAAGAGAGGCACATGCGGTACGTGGCCTTTCAGCCACCAGGCCCTCGTTAGGTTCGCTTGATAAATAAGGGCCAAAGTCGAACTTCGCTCCAGCAGTTTTAGGGCGGATAGTGTGATCACCAGTTGGGGTCACGCTTCTGGTATTAGGCGACGGACAGCCAGATTGCAAGTTATTGGGACGTAAAGTCGACACACTACCATCCGAGGAAATTATAGAGAGTGGGCGGCGCGATTCATCAGGTTCAGTGTGCCGTCGCTTAGCATGCGGTGACGTTCCCAAATGATCATCAGAAGCGCGTGGGGTCAAAGGCGGTGTCTGTATACCTTTAGTAGGAAGTGAACGCGAGCTAAATCCGGAACAGTCGTCGCTAGTCAGGGCATGCTTCTTAGTATCCATAGGCGTGGATGGTGTGCTCCCAACGACCGGTTTGGGAGGAAATGCCTTCGCGATTGCGGTGAGGTCAACGCTGGATATTGCGGCAGATCTACGATGGGCATGTCCTCGTCTGCCGGGACCACGAGCGCTCAGCCCAGGGCCAGGATTCGGCAGAGTTGGATGAGCAGGCGCAGTCGCAACCGCTTGTGGAGGAACAGCAGCTAAGCATTCTCCAGTCATCCGGTCATTGTCTCGATGGTTGAGGCCATCAGCCTGCTCAGAGGACGTGGCGGGCGACCCCAGCTCGGGAGCCTGTGGGAACGAGAACGACGGCAAGGGGGGCGGCGCACTCTTTTGAGGAATAGGAGCCTGCGGTCGCATTTCTTGAGGAACGAAATCGAAGGGAGAACCGGGAGAAGGGTCCACTACTGAAGTTGTTGTCTGGCCGCCATAAGCGCCCACGGGAGCGCTGGACTGGGACCAATGCGCTTGAGAGGAAATAAACGACATGGACGCCATGATGGCCTAGTAAAGGGGATAAAATCGATCAAGTCCCACACCGTGGAAGACTGAAGACTGCTAATCCACGACGCCGTTGAAGACCAACAGGGATAGATTGGCAGCGAGCGGAACCTCCCACGGGTTATGTCGATATTCGAGTCATTGAAGACCTGGCGCAAGGACAAAATTTCAACCCAAAGCGAAAACGTATATCGCGTGGCAAGCTCGACGAACGGGGTGGGGGTGGTGTTCCTAGAAGGGTCAAGAATATCGAGATATGCGATGAGGCAAGCGAAGGGAGAGCGACGGCGGTGGGACAAAAGGGCGTCGTGAAGAGCAAGGTAAGGAACGGACGGCCACAAGACGGGCCAGGCGGCGAGAGGAGAGCGAGGATAGAGAGGCAGTGGAGGGAGGAGAGGGAGAGGAAGAGAGAGAAGATGGGGGCGACGGCGGAAGATGAGGTTCAGCAGGCGTGGAGGGAAGAAGGAGGAAGAGCGAGAGATTTCGCAAGATTGGGGGGTGTGGCGGGTGGAGCTGGCAGGGCCCACTTCGGCAGGGTGGAAATGAAGGGCTGCAGCGCGCTGATTGGGCGGTGCCGCAGGGTGCCTGAGGAGGTCGCGCCCAAAGCGGCCTAGCGCTCGGAGGCATTGGGCCAGTTGGTGCGGCCAAGCCTCCACGGTATCGGTACCGGGGCAAAACACGCAGGAACCCTCGGTCGCCGCCGTTGATTGGCCGCGCCCCAGCCAGCCTGTCGATCGCGCCCCAGGCCGGTACCGCCCTTACCACGCCCGCGCACCAGCGTATCGCCGCGAAGCAGCCCGAGACGCAAGCTGGCCAGCCTGTCTCTCACAGCCCGCTTCGAAACCCGCGGGGGGCGCCCTTCGAGCAGCGTCGCCTGGGTGACACGTTGGGCTCAGCCAGAAAGGCCCACTCCAACGCCTTCTGACAGCAATCCACTCGCACAAGCGCAAATCTTGCAATCAAAATCGAGGTCATGCGATCCAATGTATCCGTGACGCCGTTAATACGGCAAGGACGGTACCGAGCATAAACAAATTGTTTCCCAGGGGCGGCGCCGGCCAATCGCAGCTGGCGCCACGCTTGTTCGTGTTCGTTCCGTAATGGCGTCCTTGGCTGGCGAATCCCGTGGCACCTTTCCGTACCAGCGGACCCACCCGCCGCTCGCTCGGTGCGTATTGAACGCGCCAATCACGCGCGGCGTTGCCTGGCAGCCGAGATGAGGAGGCTGTCGTCGTCCATCCTCACGCTCACGGCCGACGCCGGGCAAGACATACATACGAAGCAACACCTGTGCCGTTCTGCCAGAGATCCTTCTGCCAGCCTTGCGGCTGAGACATTCGTGCACTCCGTCCGCCCACCTAAGGAGCGCACCGTGGCAACCGCCTGGTGGGCGCGGGATGAGGGAAGAATCCTGCTCACACATCCAACAGGACAACAGAGATCTGAGACACACAAACACTACTGCCAGTTGGTGCAACCGCAAGTAACTAACTACTACTAACTCCAGAGGCCGATGCGCTTAACAATGGCGGTGGGTAGACGCCACCTTCATGGCTATCGTTTGTTTCAACCGCTCCGCTGCAGGTGGGTGGGAGGTGGGAGGTGCGCCATGACTTCGTGGGTCTTTTTTTTCCCGCTACTGCTGCGCGACAGGTGTTGAAGCTGGTTAGACTTTGCGGATCGCATGGGGGAGGCCTACGCGGCTACTGAAGCCCGCCACCGTTCTGGGGGGTTTTTTGACATGGAACGAGCTTCCAAGGCAATCGGCGGTGTCAGATATGAGTTGGAGCTGTGTTCAGAGGGCTATTGGCTTGTATGATTATCATCGTCAGCGCTATTAAAATACTCTGCAACACAGCCCGCCAGCTAACCAGCCACCGAACAGCCTTGCAGAGCAGCTCGTCGGCGCGGGAGACGTCGAATTGATAAATCAAGCTGGGTCTTGGATTGTCCCACTGCGATTCTGCGACACCTTGGAGACGCCCTGCCTACGGAGTACCTCACGCAGCTTGCTGCGTAATAATAATAAAATAATAAAGCGATGATGATGAGATCATTTCGATTTAGCGTTCGAGTATTTGGAATGTACTCAAAGAAAGACAGGGCCCCTGGTCCTTGTCGATGCGTAGCAGATCGACGGTTCTTGTTGGCCTCAGCGTCGGCTTGCGCTCTATTCATTGATTTATTTAATTGTTTGTGACAGCATATGCCTCAGCAACGAAGCCGCGGGTAGTGACTGAGTCACAGAATGTGAGAGCCACGCGGGACAGCCAAAATGAAACGGTTTCTCTTCCAAAATCAGCGGATGGCCCGAAGCACAGGAGGTTGGCGTTCCAAGGAGTTTGCATATCTGTTCCGCCCCGGATTGCAACTCTACTTCCCCGGCGGGCAGCCGACCATTTTGCTGGGCCGTAACCATTCTTCACTGCACCATTTTAGACCCCGGCTGTCATTTATTTTAAGATTACCATCATTCGACACGGTCTGCTCCATATATTACTTATTTGACTCATGTGCCCAAGCTTCCAGAGTGTTCGTGCCTTTGATGGCGTGATCGTCGCTGTAGTAATTGCGGGATACCCCTGTCCAAGCCGCGCAATAATGGTACCTCAGTCGACGCCTACTCTCACGAGGCATGTTGTGCTACGGGTCATCTCCGCAGCCGGAGACAGACTACTGCAGGTAATCTGCCCGCGCTCCCGTTCCTGGCACGATCCTCGAATGGACACTATTTACGATGTAAGTATAATAAATAAGGTGTACTGATGCAGGGAAATTGCACGACATCGACCCAGAGTACGGAGCACCTACATTAATGTTATTAAGGACAGCTCGCAGGTGGAAAGTTATTTTTATTAAAATACACAAAAGTTAGTGGCGAAGGGCTGTCAACTGTCAAAGGTCCATATTAATATTCGATCAACTACGGAGTACTATTCTTCGTCTCGCTGAGCACAACATGGATTTCGCGTCATGGTCAGGGACCTGGAAACCAGTGGCCGGTGCTAGGCACATATGAACAGGCAAGCCTCTGCTATTATTGGCCGGCCGGAGAAGACCTCCATGAAAATTTATCTCAGGTTACGGAGTAGTGTCTTGTTCGACTTTCACTTTCCGCTTGAATGTTACCTAAGAAGCTGAGATATCGCAGCTTTTGGGGAGCATACTCCGTATGCCTACCTCGTTTCAAACAGACATTTCCTTTTACGCCAGCCCTAGTTAACTTCCCAGTTCACCATTTCTCCAAATGCCATTCATCATGCAGGTCAGAAAGTTCGAAACGATCCCGTTTAGAATGCATGTTACAAGAAGGGACTTTTTGTATAAATTATCTTACGCACAATGCATGAGCCCGAATTCTGATTCTGGAGGGACTGCTATTTTTCATCTATTTTCCTTTCCCGTCCCTCCATTCACTTGCAACTGTTCAGGTTTCAGCGGCAGGCGCCCAAACCAACAGAAGTGCGCATCCTGCTAAACTTAACCTTCTCATTGTTGGCGACGCCTCATACAAGGCGGCCAATTGGGATTCAAATTCTTGGTGATTTTGATCGTTTTTTTTATGTGGCCAGGTTGCAAATAGTGTCTTTGAGGTGCTCTTAGGAGTTCAGGACGCCTTGCACTTTGGGCAAGAGACTCGAAGTTCCAAAGACCACATGGTTGAAACCTCGTCCAGAAACAAATCATCCTTCATTTATTCTGAGGCTGTTGTCACAGTGGCAGTTTGGTTCGCGTATCAGACGGTACACTGGGAGTTAGTTCTGGATGAGCCCGGGTTGAGACGTGTCCCTTCAACCGGGCGCGGTATCTGGTCCCTACATCTATGATATTGTGTGTGACAATGTTTTGGTTATGCCGACATTGTCCTACCATTCTCCCGTGCTACCTCTCTCGGCGTTTCCCCTTTTCGAATAGAGGGTATTTAATACCCTCGTTCTCGTAGTCCGCATCCGTCAGCTGATATTAAATGCAAATTGTTTGAGCCTACGGGGTACTTAGTGCAACATCCCGGGCCGGTGCCCGAGTTTGACAACTTGTCTCGAGGCACATAGGGAGCTTGCCGTGGCCTGTGCTTGTTACAACCACCTGGATATCCTTGTAGCTGGGGCATTATCTCCAGTGTTATAAGATGGGTGTTAAAAATCATAGTTGGGAAAGTATATGAACTAAATCAATAGTGCGCATTAGCTTCGATGCCGTTCTTCACTATGGCATTTTTATAACGGACACGTATATACTTGTGGTCGCCAGTTATAGCTCGTTTATATCTCTAGGACAAGTTTTAACAAAAATGACATGATGCAGAACGCCTAGAGAATTGGGGCATCGAGGCTATTGCACTATTTGGAGAGACAATGTATCGAACGCTACGGGCAAGGAAACCATGGAAGGCTTGCTAGGGCAACACCATCCCCGTTCTACGTGGCACCCTAGATGCAACAGGGCAATTCTGTATGGACATATCAAAGAAACTGCTGAGCACGGAAAGCCTATCGCCAAAGGAGCTATCCAAGAAACCGAATAGGAACGGAACACGAACCCAAACCCGACCGGGAACGAGACAGCAACGTGTGGGACATGCAAGTCATCATTCATTGGACACCATGTGAACCAAAAATCACAAGCAACAGTATTAAACGAGGGCAATATCCCAAAAAGAAACTAAACCACGGTTTTCGCCGGCTGAAAACAAAAACATCCTAATAGCCCGAAATGAACAGCAAAAAGCGAGGCATATGCATACATGCAATGGCGATGAGAACGAGTCTAGGGCCTCCATTCCCCTGATCCAACAATGCAGCTTTCTAAATTAATCAAGCTTCAACCGCCCCGGGCGCAATAGCCAAAATCACCACAAGACTACTAACCATCAAAGCACCCGCAATGAACGCAATGATCGCCACACTTCCTCGACTTGCGGGAAACTTCCCACGCACCACCCAATACTGGCCTTGGAAATATCTGTGAAAACCGATTATTAGGACGACAATTGCCACACCGATAAAAGTGGCACCGAGAGGCTTCCCCATCCTACGGAGCCGCTGGCCTTCGTCTGCATCACTGAAGGACTTGTAGATGTTGGATTTGTACTCGTCTGATATAACGGGAGGTGGGTGGTGTTTGGAGGAGGTAGGTGACTGTTGTAGGATGGATGTGTTAAGGCGGAAGAGTTGGGTGATGGCGATGCCTATTGATGCGAAGGCAAGAGATGTGCGAAGCCAGGCGAGAAACGTCCGTTCTAATAAGGCGCAACGAAGTCAGAAAGTATTTCATTGTGAAATAGTTTTGCATAGCACCGCATACCCAGGGCAAGGTGGTCTCTTGCAACGCTGCCTTTATTATCCAGTTCCAAGCTGCCATATTTTTCTACGACCCGCTTATACCACGGAAGCCTCTCGCCAAAGGCCATGTGACTCCCCATCGAGTCGGCCGGGGATTTAGAACGTTGAATTTGAACTCTTTGCGGAGATTCCTGACGTTGACCATCCAAGGCAAAGGGGTGGTCGTTCACATTCTCCGTCGAATGATAATTCCGCGGCGGCGTACCCGCAATGATTGGGGCTCGTTCGTGAGGGGTGGAATGCCCAGAAGAGGAAGCGGTCGAAAACCCACTTGAGGAGGATCTGCTAGCGTTCTGTAGTGGCTTTGGCGAGTGAGTCAAGGTTTCTATGCTACTGTAGCTATCTCGAGATCTGTGATGCTGTCCGTCCTGATGAGGATTGCCGTCGTGGGCGTCGGCGATAGCAGAGCGACTCGGATCGAGGAGTGGCATGGTTCCGATTTCCTGGGGAAGGAATTCGCCTCTCTTTGGAACCAGGGTACAGTTAGAGGCTGTGGACCCAAACTGAGGAGCGAAATGGAATATACTTCAGTTACCTATGTTAACGCATGACAAGACCTTATAGAGCAGCTATGGTAGAAAACACGGCTCGTAGGCAGGGTACGGTATCAGGAGCTCGTGCAAACGACGATGAAAGAGCGAGCAAAGCACAGGCGGCTTCGCAAATACGCGAATCTTTTGTCGGAATCGATCATCTGCGGCGGAGAGCCCGATTAGCGCTAGTCTTGGCAAGGATCAGCCCCATGTGATTTGCCTGCTCCGGCGCCTAATTGGCTGTCGGAAGTCGCGTGCGGTCCGTGCGCCCGACAGCCGATTGTGTTTGCGCTGTTTACACGCTGTCGGCCGTTGACATCATCGACGGTGCCGTTGCGGCAACAAGCTATAAGAGCGTTTTTCATAATTTAGACAAGGACTAGAAGGAATACAAAAGGAATCAAAAGTAAGGATTATTAGAATCTCATGATCGAGCTCTAATAATTATTATAAGGGGCCCGGGGGGATGAATCCTCACAAGCCACTAGAGACTAGAGCATCCTACGGCCGAAGCTCTAGCCTTGGTATAGTTGTGTATATGGGATTGTTGACTGCTAATGGTTTCATTATTTTGTATGGAAGGGAACTCGTTTCAGGTCTTGTAATGTTCAACCTGCCAGTATGGCCGGAATTATAGATAGAATAAAGAGCAGATCCTCGTTGGTATCGGGAACCACCTTGCAACTGAGAACCGGGAGCTAACCATCCTAACTAACCCTATTTGGACTAGTTAAATACCTAACTAATCTTTATCGGCTTATCGCCTTGACTCCCAGCCGTCAACGTGATAGCATAGAAATCATTACAGAACTTGGAGCGAAAGCCAGCGGTTTGAGAAGATGTCGTCCAAGGGCTTACTCTCCACAACTGTTCGAACTCCTATTGATCTATCTGCAAAATTAGCCTCTGCCCGCACGAGCCGACGACATGCTTCCGCTCAACCCTCCCAAACCGAAGAGCAGCCTACCCCGGAGCTCCCTGATCGGCCATCGTTATCAGAAGCCCAGTTTATTAAACCGGTTCCGCGAATTTTATCGCCACAGGACCTCCGGACCTTCAATTCCTCACCGGCGCATACATTGATCCGTGCATTTATCTTCAATGTATCAGATAGTGTTCGCCAACAATCTGTTGCCTCCGTCGCAAAGCAGCCAATATCAGGAACCGTGAACAGCATACTATCTATCCTCTCGGCCATTGATAGTCTGGTGGATAGCCATCCTGCGTTTGATCTGGATGGATCAAGATTTGGAAACCCCGCTTTTCGTGGTCTGGTTGATGATATCGCTGCCAAAAGCTCTGAGTGGCACACTTCCATACTAGGACTTCATAATCCGGAAGCTGTAGAAGAGGTGTCGACATATTTGATCAACTCATTAGGCTCTCGTTCTCGCCTTGATTTCGGATCTGGCCATGAGCTAAATTTCATGATGTGGCTGCTCTGTCTCTACTTGCTAGGGATGCTAGAGAAGAGCGATTTCCCCATTCTTGTATGCCATGTTTTTACTCGCTATATGAAAGTTATGCGTCGTGTGCAGTCAACCTATTATCTGGAACCTGCTGGCTCTCATGGTGTATGGGGTCTAGACGATTATCACTTTTTACCATTTTTATTTGGTGCCTCTCAACTCGTTGGACACCCCTACATTACTCCTCTAGGTATACATAACAACGTCATCTTGGATGAAGAAGGCGATAGCTGGATTTATCTGGATCAGGTGCGATGGGTAGATAGTGTTAAGACGGTCAAAGGACTCCGATGGCACAGTCCAATGCTGGATGACATATCTGGAGCTAAGAACTGGCATAAAGTCGAAGCAGGTATGAAAAAAATGTTTGTTAAGGAGGTTCTGGGCAAATTACCGATTATGCAGCACTTTTTGTTTGGCAGCCTGATCTCTGCCCAGCCATCAATGGGTCTGCGAGGGACGCCTGCCACTCCCTCATGTGCTGGTAATCATCATTCACACCAGAATGATTATTGGGGTGATTGCTGTGGAATAAAGGTGCCAAGTGCAGTAGCCGCAGGAGAGGAGATGCGAAAACAGCACGGCGTGTCTGAGTTACGCCCAATCCCATTTGACTAACATTGTTGGGTTGAATATTATAGCTCAGTTTTCATGAGCTTTTGTCACTAAAATATAAGCATTGAGGAATGATTCATAAATGTACCATGGAATGAATACAACAAGACAAAAGTGCCGCCAAAGTCCATAAAAATACATAACCCCAAATTCGCTCCATTACGTTGTCAAGAGCAGGGATTCATCATAGAAAATAGCTCCCACTCCCTATTAGGCGTCCGTTCTATCCATTGTATGAGACTGCCAAAGTAAATTGCAAACCTCCAGTATTAACCCGGTCCAATTCTTGGCCTATCGATAGAAATAGTGATTAGCAGGCTGTCAGCTATTTCTTTGTATATATATTAGCTACTTACATGTCATGATGCTCGCTCAGATTGCTCAGGTACTTATTCAGTTCCTCTACCCGTTCTTTGTGTGTTTTGACTCCTTCTCGTTTGAGGCGCTCATTTAACTGTTGATGCAAATCAGCCCTTGGCTACCTCATTTAAAGCTAAACCTCTTAGACAGTCACCAAGAAAAAGAAAACCACATACTCTCTTCTTTCTTGCTTCCTCGTATCTTCGTTCCGCGTCCGTTTTTGGCGCATCCATAGGTAGGTTGTCATCTGGGTCAACATCTGAACCCGCCTGACTCTGATTTCGAGTCTTTCCGGCCTTAACGGGATTCTCAGGGTCCTCAGGCTTTTCTAGTTGATTAGGCTCAGGTTCTTCATCGTGGTTCGAGTCTTTCTCTTTGGGCTTCTTCCTTTTCTTCTTCTTTTCAATTCGCCCGCTCTGCACACCTTTCAGCTTAAGGCGGCCACCCCCAGCACCTGGTATGGTGTAGTCATTTGGAGGTGCCATAACAATGGTAAAATTATGCCATGGGAGATGGCTTATTTACCATTTCAACAATGGTTAGACAGCTGGTTACATTCATGTTCATACAGCTTTTGAATAAACTCTCCGTCTTGAAACGAATGACTAAGCAACTTGTTCCTACATCAATATTCCATCAAGAATCCCAACAAATCGCTCTGGTTATTTACTTCCACAACCGTTCCGATTGTGAACCTTTGTTATCCTGTTTTACATGGCTGCGCTCTCGGAGATTGATGGTGTTCCGTATACGCCCTTCCAGCCCCAGTTCCAATCGAAGACTGTGAATCTAACAACTCTTGCCCAGTCTTTTGCAGTCCGGCCTTCATTATCAACCACATTCGCGTTCGCACCATGCCTAAGGAATAATTTGATCAGATCAGGCCTGATCTTCCAATCTTCCCTGAAAGCTCGCAGCTTAACTGCATAGATCAAGGGTGTGGCTCCAAACACGTCCGCGACATTTGGGCTTAGTCCATACTCCAAGAGGAATTTTGCCATTGCAATAGGCCTGGGTGACTCGACTGCCCAGTGTAATGCAGTACTGTTATTCAACCCGACGGTGTTTGCGCCATAATCCAGAAGCACCTTAACAATCGACACATCGACGTCGCGGTGGATTGCTGTACACAATGCTGTCTCTGCCTGCAGGTTGGTGGCATTGACTTCCGCCCCTCTCTCAAGCAAATACTTGATCTTAGCCGTACGTTTGCTTCCCAGCGCGTACATCAAAGGAGTCTTGCCGCTCCTGGTCCGTGCGTTTATGTCAGCTCCGAGTTTGAGAAGTCTATGTATAACTGGAAGATTTGTTTCAAAGCCACTGAAAGCTGCCGCATGAAGTGGTGTCAAGCCGTTCAAATCTTTTGCTAGTGGATCTGCGCCACGTTCCAGTAGGAGATTCGATATAGGAGGAGCCGAAAATCGCACCGCCATGTGGAGTGGGGTGGTGTGAAAATGGTCTTTGACATTAACGTCTGCCCCCCAATCCAGGAGCTCTTTAAAGATGTCGATGTCGTTACTTATTGCGGCGTGGAATAGGGGTGTTTGCCCATAGTCATCGACGGCGTTTACGCTCGCGTGTCCTTCCAAGAGCACCTCAATAGCATCAACCGAGGTGGCAGAAGCTGCGGCAGCATGAAGGGGAGTAATTCCACACTGTGGGATCCGGCTCTTGTTCTCCGCATTATATAACAAAGCCAGGAGCTTCATTCCCTGGTCAGGGATGTTTTTTTCATCAATGCGGGCTCCTGCCTTGATTAATATTTTTATTACTGAAATTTGCCTGGCCCGGCATTGCTGCTCAAATCTTGTGTAGTATGGGATCACATCGCTCTCTCCCCATGTTCTCGCGTTGACCGTGGAGAGCAAAGCCTTTTCCAACACTTCGTTTTCGTTGAATCCGTGTTTCAGGAATTCCAATATAACTTTGTCCTGCCATTCTGCCGCTGCCCTCTTGAAAGCATCAGTCACGTCTAGTGGTGTCTTCTTCATTTTACTCCACAAAAGAAGCGCATCTACTACATTGGCATGTCCTAGCTCAGCTGCGATTGCTAGTGTTCGACGATCGGTAATGGCTGGATCTGCCCCAGCGTTAAGGAGCGCTCGAACTATGTCCACATCTCCTAGCTTAACAGCAATGGTGAGAGCCGGAATTGATAAGTCTCCATACTCGTCTGGGGCGCGTCTATGGACGAATGCATCGTAGTCCAGCAAGATTTCGACCATTTCAAGGTGCTGTTTGCGTATAGCTTCGTGCAGGGGTGCTCCATTAGTGCTGTGATTGATCAAGTCGATATGCTCGTTCACGGGAAAGGTTGGTGATTCAAGCAGTGCCAACACAACTGCTGCGTTCCCTTTTACAACTGCGGCATGCAATGGCAGCTTATCCAAATCAAGGCTCCATGTCTTCTCAAAACAAGCAGGTTTGAAACTGTCACAGAAATATTCTGTCCAGTCTGAGCAGACAGAACTAGCATCATCGTCACACTCCATCTTTTTCAGCTCAAAAGCAAGAAAAATAAACCATAATATAATATACAAATATAAGACAATCAAAATCCAACAGAGACCTTGAAAGAGAAGAAAAGAAAAAGAAATGGAAACAGAATATTGTATATGTTGATGTGATGGTTTTGAGGAGAAAAAAAATCTCCTCTGTTTAGTGTTCACTCTTTTGGAATTGCAATAACACAGATCTATCACAGAAATGAGTGCATGGGAACCTCCGACCCATACCATGTTCACATGAGACCAGTCTATATCACCAAGAACTTCCCCAGAATTATCTCTCATGCTTCAGACCAGTGAAGAGAGGGTACTCTAAAAGAGGAGGAAATCACCATGTTCATTTGCCATATCATGGCTTTGATGATGAATCCCAAAAAACTCCCTCAAAAGGGTATCAGGCCTTCTGAAAATGGCTTCAATGTCAAGAAGCCAAAGCTATAGCAGGGGCACGGCTGTCAATTTACAACGCTTCTTAGTCCTCAGTAGCCTTTGCAGCTATCTCGACTCTCTTTCTTAGATGTTTTCTGCGGGACCGTAAATCCATTTCCTATTTTTTAGGAGTATCATGCCGACCATGATAGGCCATATAGATCTAGATTGCCCACCAGACAAATGCCGGGATTGCACGAATTGAAGTTTTCCAGTATATCAGCAGTGCGACATGTGGTTATACATTTTGCTGAGTGTTTCTGGCTTTCAATAATTGGACGTTCATTGTTGCAAGGGGTTATGCATGTGGGGAAGATGAGCTGGTGACATGTGGCAAGTCCCATTGACAGGTATGCAGTGCATTTACGTGTACATTCTTGAGTGGACAAGTTTGTGAATAGTTTCACAGGTTGTCAAAGCTTTACAAAGATAACTTAGTGATAGCAATGTTTTCTGGTTCAGGTGCTGGTCCAACTGTTTGTTGTTCAGACACTGAAGCTTACTTAGATGCACAAATCAAAGTGAAAACCGATTACAATTAACTATAAGATCGCAGCATCACGGGCTTATTCATCATACTGGATCAACGCATGCATGTAATATATGTGAAGAAAGGTCATTCTTGAATTACGCCATCTGTTCTCCCAACATGCCCCCAAAACCCCAACGTCTGCATACAATCCAGATAGAGCAGAAAGTGATATTAAACAACCACACCGTGCTGAAGTAGCGAGACAGGAATAGGCCAAAAAGCCAACTGTTAGGAACGAAAGAATCTAATCCGCCAAAAAGGGCTCATGAAAAAGTGCAAAACCAGCTAAATGCCAACACCGCCAGCTAGAAAGATATATTGGATAGAATGTATGATTTAGACCCCCTTAACCACTGTCGTCCGCTCCGAGTTTAAGCGTTCCGCATTGCGTGCATGCGATTCCTTTTTGCAGTCTTCTAGTCCGCTGCAGGAATGTGACTCCAGCATTCGATGTTTGCCGCAGAAATGGCCTTTGCAAAAGCTGCAATCGCCAACGATGCGCTGAGCGAATTCCTTGCAATCTTTGAATGTGCAGCGGGGCTTTCGGGATGGAGCCATGTCTGTAGTTGCTGGATGAAGGGCGGAAGCTAAGGACGGCGGGGATGACAGCGGAGACGGGGACCTAATAGGGGGAGAAAGGGTCGAAAGGCCGATTATATGTGTTATATTAGTTTGTGCTGGTCGATTGGAGGCTGTGGTTATGGAAGGAGTGCTTTTGAAATAGATGTTAGAGACCTAACTAAAGCTGCTGACAACCTAAAAGGAGCCATTGAATGAAAAAGGGGCCGATGTTCCTCACCTTCGCAGGGGCTTTTCGTCACTGATATGGCAGAAATAAGGACTCAAGGGCCTTGGAGAAGGGTAGGAGCAATGGCAATTGGGGAGAATAGGGGGTCGGGGCCGGGAGGTGTTGCGATGAGGCAGCGGAGAGCTATGTTAGAGCACGTTGGATGTCGTGAAGAAGATGCAACGCAAGACGGCGTTTTCTGAGTAGGCAGAGCGGGAGTTTACACACACAAAGAACGGGTTGGTCAAAGAACACAGTACGAGGAAAAGGGAGTCAGCGAGATTATCATGGGTATTTAAAGCCGTTTAAGCTCAGCCAAGAGGGCTCGGTGATTGGGATTCTACTGGGGGCAAATTGGCGCTCCTTAGGCCAGCCAGCTCCAGTTAGGTAACAACGAGATAGTTAGTGAGTTTGTTAGCTGCGGCCGTGCAATGAGGCGCCGACAGGGCCCCGGGAGTTGCCTCTGTGGACATACTAATACAGACTTTGACCGGGCTCCATTAGTAATTTGGCCGCCGCTGAGCCTTCCAGTCGGCCGGGGTGGTGAGGTATCATAATCCTCCCCCGGGTCTCCCGAAGTACCGACGCTAACAACGTACACCGCGGAGTACCTCTTCGGTACATGTTGAAACTTTGCGGTACCTCCATGGCAAACTTCACGGGTCACGCGAGGCAATTTTGGCGAGTATCCATGTGGATGAAGGCTTGCGGTTGGGACAGGTGGCACTTCTTCTGGCCACCAGACCGCCGACCCCGGCGGGTCGTGGCCGAGGAAACCTCCGCACTCAACGCTACGCAAGCCGTCGAGTGCTTTGCGTGTTTGCGTTGGCCGCCAATATGTGAGGCAGCTGAAACGGGTATCACTCGAAACCGTTGCCCTCGAGATGATCAGCACTGCGCCCTTACGAGTATAGCTGCGTGCATATGTCGTGGAAGGGTTTTTGCTTAACTGTGCTAAGGGCGGCCCCAAAGCTGTAGGTGTCCTCCTTCCACCATAAAGTTAAGGATCGGTCTGTGGCTGTTCTTGAGAGTTGAGTGCTGATGAGTGCTTTAAGATATTGTTGCTAGGTTGTGAAACTCGACACTGTCACTGCTCAAGGCCGCCGTCGCTGGAAACACCGCTCTTTGGGCCATACATGACAGAAGTGGCTTTCATGCAGCCATGCCAGGCGTCGACTTAGTGGTCTCAGTCAAGGGCCCTAGAAGTGTCGTTTGTTGGCTCCGCATCGAGCCTTGCTCTGCTGCTGTGCAACTGCACCCAATGGCGATCCCCAGTGGTGAAGAGTGTATGCATATGGAAGGCGCATACGGAGTACCAGGTCTGGTATGTCGCTGTGGACTTTCAGCTTGCGATCTCTCTCGGTATAACCGCAGTTGGGAAAGCTGAGGAACCTTCCTGCTCTTTTGGGGTAACAGGTTTGGCACTCTGCCTGCAGCACATGCTATGCCATAGTGAGGGTGTTTTTAACTTGCTGCATAGCTACAATGGCTGGGGGCGACAACACTAATTACCAGTATACTCCAACCAGGTTGCAGTGAGCCTTGCAGCCATTCTAAGCCTTTATTCTACAAAGGCTCTGGCAAGGCATGGCAGATTTCTATGGCGTGTTTTGGATAACTAGCATTGGAGACATATTGATTCACAGGTTGTATCTATTGAAATTGCATGGTTTTGGTAAGTTTATCACCAGGACAGTATTGCCGAGTCCACTCGTTTCACAACACTTTTCCAACCAAGGATGATGCTTCAAGCCGTTGGAAGCTGTGTGGAATTTTCATTCCTCATGATCGCCATGACAAGTACTCTTGGTCTTTCCAGCTGTACCGCTGCTTCGAAATCCAGCTTGACACCACCTACAAACAGGTATTTTGAAGCATCAATATCTGCTTACAACTCTAACAAGTGAGATTATCCCTTAGCATATGCGTTAACCATTATCCAATCTGACTCATGTTCTGTTTCCTTACCGCCAGAGCTCTCAACCAGCACAAATACGCCTCTCAGGATTCTCCACTTTCATTTGGCTTCAATCTACTCGATTCATATACTTGAAGCAGGTGCAAAAAAATGTAGGTTTTTACCCGGATACTAATACAAACCTCTCTGAACAACAGAGATATCTTTCAGAGTCAATATTTCCCAGATCACTGTCAGTTCTGTTTGAGTTCTTGAGACTTTGTAGAGGCACAGCATCGCCATACACTCAATCACTAAAAGGAAATTTGTTGAGTGCCCACAATATATGGACGGTGTGGTTATATATAAATGGTGGCTTAAATTGGGTCTTGGGAAATGTATGAGATCCATTCAAGAGGAAAAATTTCTTGTAATCTTTGAAAAATTACATTCAATTTGCAAGAATCTGTTTTAAATTGATCAGAACACCCATGGCCCTTTCATTGGTTAGCTGAGGAGATAGTATTCCTTGTCTAAAGATGTAGCTAACTCCTTGTTCTCAGGCCATTAGTTTCTCAAATTGGATTGATAGGTCATCCTCAAGAGAGTTGCCCATTAAGTCAGGAGGCGGGATATTCCCATCAGGCAACTAGGCATTTCTGCGACTAGTTCGCTTTTCTTTTAGAACAACTCCTGCCGCACAACTTCTGGACGATTCCATGATCGTATTTACACATAGCAATCTCCATTACGATAATAGTTACTGGCTAGTAACTTATTAAGATTGAACTGGGAGCCGAGTGAATGCCTTTTTTACTACTCTTCGCCCCCCAAAAAATGGGCTACAGAATATCTATCTAAGTCTCTACGGAGAACAGCCCCACAAGTTCACTGAGCAGACTTTAGTGAAATTTTATGGATTCTATTGGCTAAAGTAGGAAGAAGTTTGAACTGTGCATCCACAAAAACCTGCCGATTAATACGGCCTTTGGATATACTATGGTTATCTGCTACGCCTCATAATGTAGCTCTCTATGTCTTCAGTCAAACTAATATCCTCATCATCCAGCTTATCTGTACCGTGGGGTGAACATTACCAACAGCTACAGTTGTACTGCCTTTTCTGTATCATCGTGTTTACTCCCGGAACTGGACGTATGGGAACAGAGCGTCGAAATCCAACAAAACCATTTTGGGAAGCTGGCGGCTTAGTTTATCGCTCGATAAGGCGAATACTAATTTCTGCGGTACAATTTCTTAGAAAAAGGTCACTATTCTACCCTTAGAAGCTATGTCAGCCTTTTCAACTGCTGTAACTATACGAAATACTACTTTAGATCATCCCTGAGGCCCTGGCAACTGTCATAATAATTATCAGATGGCTTAGCCATTCGACTAAAAAGGTGGCCACCTTGAATTCACAAGGTTCAGTAACATAGTCTGTTCAGTTCAACAATAATGTAATTGTGATAAAAGGGGTAACTAGGCGGATCCTATGTAACTAACGAACTAGTTACATAACTGACTAAAACGGTCACATGGCACAATGTGGAAACCTTGTCGTCTCGTAGCCTTTATGTACCTAGTTAAGTACTAGGCAGGCTACTCTGTACATATTCCCTACTACTCTGCGGAATATGCTCAACCCGATTTATTAAAATTCGTCAAAGCTTCCAATCGCTGTTCGAGACTTTGTTGACTCGTCGTTGATACTGGGACCGGCAACTCATTTGCGAGTCTCATGCTCATTATTTCCTGCATAATGCTATCGAACCTGTTTTTTACCACATTGAATTTTGGATCAGAATAGGAGAACTTGCATATGGTTCGATGGTCTCCGTCAAGCTGTCGACAACGCTCTCTTCTCAGCCCCAAACGCACCGTCCCCTCAGGGGCGACCTGGAGATGATTTCAGCTACGTGAATTCCTTACGACTTATCCTCGCACTGTTTTGGCTAACTTACCATAACCCCATTCACAGGCTTTCCTTCAAAGAAGGTCGTGATCTCGAATCGATCCACCAGTTCGGCGAAGTTGACAGACAATTCCAACAACGGATCGGACCAGCGCTTTAAATCTCTGGTGGCTCTGGAAGCCGCCACTCCAAAAACCGTGCCAATTTTCCCCAGATAAGTTGCCCAAACCGCCGAGTCAGTGCCCTGGTGAGGAGTTCCAAAGAAGACAATTGAGTATGTAGAGTCGAGGATCGTACTGTATAATGACTCGCGCAGGTGGGCGTAGCACAATGCCTTTGCCTGATTAGCCTACTTAGTAAGGCATGAATGAGCACATTAAGTACTTACAGCTTTGATCACAATTCCACCAAGAGAATGCCCAACAAAGATTATGGGGCGATGCTGCGCCTGCCCATGAAAAATAAATGATTAGAGTGAAAGAGAGAACTTTCCTACGAAAGCGGGGTGGATCATACCTCGCCCCCTCGCTTGTCGTCAAGGTCATTCAGCAGCTCCTCTGCAAAAGTGAATGTACGCCCCCTCGCAGCGCTTGCGGATGGATTGACAAATACTTTGGCGTCATAACCAAAAGTCAAGATTCTAGCACTCTCTTTGAAAATATTGGACTGTGGCAGAAGGTCGCGAAGCCACAGGCAGTTTGAGTTGGGATCTATCCAAGTCGAATAAGAATCCCCGCCCAGACCGTGGACTGCCACAACACTATCAATCAAACATAGTTCTTTTAGCCTGTCAATGTCAAACGGTGCTGTTGAGAACTTTGAGAACTCACTCTACTTTGGGTGAAGCATTTTCGGGTTCAAACAGAACATGAAGACCAAGTGTGTACCCCTATACCCCGTCAGTGAGACATGCTGCAAACCTTCATGAACGTACGAGAATACCTGTTGGGACACCTCTATAGGTTGGCCCGTAGCCTGTGCCATTTAATCTGGGAAATGTCGTTGGCGGAAAGTCTTTGTTTATGATTATGATGATAATGATGCTGAAGAATTTGAATCACCTTCCTCTATGACAAACACTTTGAGTGCCGGATGAGCAGCTATATACTCGAATCGCTGTTGGTGCACTCTCTTATGGTGAATTGTGACCCAACCCTCCAGCATCAGAGCCTGACAAGGCGCGTTACCACACCATTAATTGTCGCCACCCTCCTTTGCTGAAATGAAGGGTGTGGTCTGTATTTTTACCTCCACCACCCGATCATGCGATGACAGTCAAGTTTTCTTAATTCTTCGAAGATATAGTTACATTTCTCTTTCACCGGAGCTATGTATTGAACAGACTATATACATGGTGGTCGTCCTTTTACCCGACTGCCACATGAGTCGAATATTATGGTTTTATAAGCCCAGAGAAGAAAGCGCGCATGGATTACCTGAGCCCCTCTGGCATGCTATTTTACGAGGATTGTCCCCAGACGAAACGGACATGTACGAAACTCTGTTATGCCTCTGTTACCGAGGAGGGTCCGTGTGTTCAATGTCAAACGGCTGGGATTGTGATGTAAATACTAGTACGAAGAGCTTTGAGTCGTTGACCTACAATACCCGCGACCGTGTAACTTGATGACAACGCTCTACAAAGGAAACAAGGCCACAAGTGTCATTAGATTTTTATATTTCTTGATGCCTCTTCGAAGAGGACTGATTTTGTTTGCCTGGCTGTGGATAAAATAGCAGTCCTGTATTGGGCTTGGCACTATCCATCATATCGCTACATGCCAGTTACTTTCATGGAAATCTTTATGTTCCATTTGGCTTGAGAACCCAATATTCGGCTGATTTAGGTGTCGATTTTGTTCTGGGCTACTCTGCTCCGTATATTTCGAAGCTTAGTTCTCCTAGCAGGTCAACCTGTATAATGACTTTTTGGCTTCCAATTCTCCTTTCTTGAAATGCTCAAGAAATTTTCCTTCAAACAACACTCTTTTATCACGGTCTACTGCTTTTGGATACGTCGCCGGTTAACTCAACCATACTGTCCCATCTCAATAATAATAATTAAAAGGTGGAAACCCCAAGTATCCAAATCTGCAGCTCGTATTTTATTGGCATTTTCTCTGCCTGGCTACACAATGTGTTAGTACCCAACCCGAACAATCCGAGTATATTCTACTGTCATAGAAGGCTCAGCGAGAAGCATTGTACATACTCCCTCCATCTTACCTCTGCAAAGGGGCGATCATTCTCGCATTCTCCCCCTTTACAAATGGGCAAACAGAGTTGTGCGGGTAAGGACGCGGAACTGCCTAAGGTGGCTTGCTGCGGCGGGAACAGTGATCACTGCTATGACTGTGAATGTCTACTCCGTACTTCCCCACAGAAGCAACAATTGATTAATGGTAGATAATCCTATCTTGCTCGGTTAGTGTTACTTTACTTTCAGTGTCTGCTGCATATATATCTGAAGCATTTTCGAAATTTATATGCAACCCCAACCTGAGACTTGACTTTACTGCATTTGAGAGTTGGCCTTTGAGCCTCGCAGAAAACTGCTGACCTACTGTGTGTGTGTGTGGACAATAGAACGCAAACTATAAAACATTATGAGAAATTCCGCCGTAGGGTCCGAGAAAACATACACGATAGAGTAAGGCAGACAAAACCTGATACTATAAATTTCTATATCATTAATGCTTCTTGACAGAATATTCGCGGTTCATGGCTTCGGACAGGATGTGAACGACTCTTGGAGGCACCCGAGCTCTCACAAGCTATGGTTAGAAGACTTCCTTCCACGCTCTCCAATGATGAGCACTGCGAAAATCTGGCCCTATTCCATGCAGAACTTTACTCAATTCTCGGACATAAGAATTTTCACACTTGCCGAACAGCTTTTAAACGATTTATCAGATGATAGGGAAACAAAGGTAAGGTTGATTTAAATACCCTTTGTTATTGGTATTTTTAGGCTAATATTCCATCAGAACAGACAATGCCCCATTGTATTTATTGGTCATTCTCTGGGGGGTATTGTTATCAAAACCGTCAGTCACCGACTTCATTTCCTATTGACTGTGTACTGATCACTCGTGCGTCATAACAGGCTCTTATTTATGCCCATTCTTGACCAACTCAGTTTAAAAATATTCTTGATTCTACGAAAGCCGTTCTTTTCTTTTCGACCCCGCATCAAGGTTCCACTCGTGCCGACTGGGAGGTCCATCTTCAAAATCTTGGAAATATCTGGAATTTAGAGTCAAGTCCATTGAATGAGCTTAAATTGTGGTCATACAGTTTGGCTGAAAAGACGATGGCCTTTAGTGAAATTGCGCCAGAGCTTGATATCACTACGTTTTTTGGGACGTTGGGGAAGAGAGTAGGTGCTATATCTGAATAATATGCTCCTCAAATAACTGACACGAGCATGTTTTAAAGGTTGTCGATGAAGGTTCCGCTCGTCTTGGACTGCGGAATGAACGTGTGGTGGCGCTTCATACTACTGACGAGGATATTTGCAGATTCGCAGATGAGCAAGACTCGAATTACATACGTGTTTTGCGCAGACTGGAAGCAGTAGTGGGGGATATTTGTAGGCAACCATCACTGGAACGTAAGTTGGATCTCCTACCTGAAAGGAATTGTTACATTTGTGTCCTCTTAGTTTTTGTTAGATACCATAAGGATGGCGAATTCCCTTTTCGAGTTGGTCATGATTAAACTGACCTACACAGACATGCCCACAGAAGTGCCCGCTGAGTTCACAACGTGCATGGACTCTCTGCGCCTCCAGAGTTCCGAAGTTCAGACGGTCAATATTGAGAGCCCTGAGTTGGCAACTTACAAATGGATAAAAAACCATAATGAATTCAAGGCCTGGAAACAAGGTGCATCCGGGCTTCTCATTGTTTCCGGACAGCTTGGGTGCAACACAACTGTGCTGGCAAAATACATGGAGGCTGAGTTGCAAGACACTGTATCATTCTTCAATGATCAAATAGGGCACCACGTTGAGCCACGGATGGTCTGCGCTCTGGTATTTTCCATCCTTAATAAAAAAGGGCTACGCAGCCTCCAGTTTCAAGTGCTGGAAGAATACTGGAAGCTCAGGAAATGTAACGGGGCAGGGGCGAAATGGCCTCCCAAAGTCCATAGAAAACTGTTACTTTCATTTCGGGTCGTGCCCTGCATACTTATCCCTGACGCTTTAGACAAGGCAAGTGACATCAATGAGATAGCTGGCCTACTAGAAGACATGCTATCGCCCAAAAACCCTGGAGGCAGAAATCTCAAGCTACTTTGTACTGTGAAATCTACTGGTACTCTGCAATTGGCACTCCCAAACCACCCCCACATTTCCCTGGATTGTATGAGCAACGCTGGAAAGGGCATACTGCAATGGGTTTTGTTTACAAAACGAGCCCTATTGGTAGCAGAATTTCGAGCGGTCGTTGATATGGATACAGTTCTAAAAGAAGAATTACTATCAGACACAAACAAATTTGAGAAACAAGTCGTACACAATTGCCAGGGTTTCATTGAAATCCGAAATGGCGAGATTCAGCTAGTACATGGCCATGCCACGCGGGATTATTTGCTTGGTAACTTACAGCTCTGGTGGTCCGAAGATGACGTGGATACACTTGAAGTATCATCCCACTCATAAATTGCGCAGAGGTGCCTTGATTATTTACTATCCGATAAGAAGGATTTCCAGAAATATGCTATTCAGTTTTGGACTGCACATCTGAATAAAGCGCCTTGTAAAGTCACCAACTCATCACTCCAAAGATTATGAGCCTTCAAATTCAAAATTCCTCGTTAATTATCAAGTTATCAAGAACCGAGCGTGGCCTTCAATATTCGGAGGCAGTTAACCTGCTTCATATTGCTAGTGAACTGGGACATGAACAGGTTGTAAGAAGCCTAGTTGGAACTCTAGGTGAAATAAACGCGAAAGATAATAGTGGGCGGACAGCACTGCTGCTAGCCACCATGCATCGACATTCGACAGTAATAGCTGTATTGCTACGCCAAGAAGGTATCGACATAAACGCTGAAGATTATGAGGGCTGGACTCCGATCTCGTATGCCACGAAGTATGGGTATGAGGATATATGCAAACTTCTGGTGGAATTCACCAGCAAGACAGCTACAAAACTTGATATTAATAAGAGGACTTTTGGGCTGACCCCTCTCTATATTGCGGCTCAGGAGAACCATGTTGCCATTGCACAGCTGCTCTACAATCATGGGCAAGCAAGGGAAAACCCAGTAAATGGTGTTGACCCGTCACTTCTCCACCAAGCGGCAAGGGAAGGAAGCGAAGAAGCGATAAAAATCTTCCTTGAAATTAATAGCAGTTGCATTAATGAACCCGATGAGAAGGGAAGGACAGCTCTTTACTTTGCAGCCCAGGAAAATCATAGCGCAGTGGTGTCTATTTTTACTTCCCGAGCAAAGTGTTATAGCCCAGGAGGGTCCCTTTTCACTACCCAACTGGAGAATCCAGATGGAAGGACGCTTTTGCATCATGCTGCAGAAGCAGGAAGTGTAACTGCTGTCGAGATCTTGATTGGTGTGGGGGCAGATAAAGATGCGGTTGACAACAATGGAAGAACGCCTTTACATCAAGCTGTGTCTGGCACTGTTCATGATGTAAAGGTGCTGCTGAGCAATGGAGCACTCATGGAAATGAGGGACAATGAAGGGAATACACCTCTGCATTTGGCTGTGCACCGTGGCGATGCTGCAGTAGACATTGTGACACAACTGATTAAGGCTGGGGCAGATCTCACCACCCGAAATAACAATCACGAAACTCTTTTACATTCTATTGCAAGTAATGGAAAATCGGAGCAGTTGGCCCGTTTTTTACTAGGACAGGGCAAGCTGGGGATAGATGCAAAGAATCTGGATGGCAAGACAGCTTTGCACCTGGCTGTTCAAAACAACAACATCAGTTCGGTTTATTTGTTAATTTTTAGAGGTGCAGATATCAATGCAAAAGACAACAAAAACCATACCTCTCTGTTCATAGCTGAACAATCTCCAAGAGCAGAGGATATATGCAGGCTACTTATAGTTGAAGGAGCCACAAAATATTATCAGGGCCCAATGCCTTTGTGCTTGTTGAGGAATAATAAAACTTCTGAGATTATTCCAGCACTAAATATTGACACATTTCCACAGCTACTAGTGAGTTTCCACTTCTTTGAGCGATGTATACTCACAGTACTTATTACAATTAGAATGAACCTGACCACAACACTCATTTATATGTTTATGCTATCTTAAAAAGTATGCGGCTCTTCTTAAAGCTAGACCGACAAACTGTACATAAGAAGACAAGGAAAGCGATCAAAACTGTTAGAAAGGTCATATCTAAGTGGCTTTTAAATCTAAATGATATTCCAGGCCTTGTCAAACTCACACAGCACGACATATTCATCCTTTGTGGTGAGTTAATGCTCCCCTAAGAAAGGGAAAAGAAATCAGGTTGACGCTGAGTAGATAACAGTTCATCTATGAGCCCTCTAAGGGAATTGCTCCAACAAACACTCCGGCGGATGGTTGAATTTGCAATGGTGTTGAATGAAAAAGGAGTAGCTCTACATTTTCTCAACAACAACAACAATAAGCAAGCCATTCAACTGACAAAGGAAAGCATTGATGCGGCTTTAACAAGCATCAAATTCTCCGGTGGCACAGAACTAGGCACACAGTTGGAGAAACAAATTTTAGACAAGATCTTTCATCAAGAGGGGAAATTGCAAAACCCCCTGATTGTTATGATCATAACTGATGGAGAGGTAAGGATGTTTGAAGCTACGTATACAATGTTTGACAGAAATGCTGACTATACGATTTTCCGGGCCAGCCATCCGAGGATAAAGAAATTTTGAAAAACAAAATTCTTCACTGCAAGAAGAGAGGATATAGAAATGGCGCAATAAAATTTCTGATATCCCAGATAGGATGCTCAGATAGTGCGACTACATATCTGAAAAATCTGAAATCAGATGACAGCTTGAAGGACATGGTATTTATTCAATCTGACAAGAGTCTGGATGATCTGAAAGAAATGGCCAAGGATTCCAAGACAGGAAGAACTGAAGACCAAGAATACACCACCCTCTCCTTTATACTACATACAAGCTAACTCTTTCATTACAGTTAATGAAATTATTCTCAGCTGCTCTTACCAAGGAAAAGCCAAGAGAGTGGTGCATGTTGGATTAGAGTACAATCCAAAGTGGTTTCAGTGCTCTGGGTGAGTGGGCTGAAGTGAACTATGCTATTCTTGTTACAACATCAGTACAGAGTAATTGGAGGTTATCGGCAGATGAGAAGTGACGAGTGTGGGGGAGTTGAAATCCGTTACTTGGAATTGAGAATAAGAAGTTGATTGAAAATGTGAACTTTGTTAATCTCAGTATTCAATACACTTTATCGGAGTAACTAGAAGGATGCAGTGATTGATGGCATCACAGAAATGTCTGTAGATGTACTGTTCTTCTTTGCGGTGTAGAAAGGAGTTATTTGTTTCTTGGATTTCTGACACTTAAAAATATTGGGTCCATTATTGTTTGTTGTCTTTGTTCTGTGGTCGCATGATAAATAGCATTTGTTTTATCAGCGCAATTCTCCTTTTCATTGCCGCACGAGAAGCTCAGCAAAATTCTTTAAGGCTCATGCTCCTGGCCCTACAGATGTGTAGACACAGTTAGACAGAGAATCTAAGCATTTTAAGCACTTCTGCCTTTGTTCCATTTTATTTCCTTCCAAGCCATCAGCTTAGATCAGATGGTAGAGAAGTGGGGAATAAGATAGCCTAGCCTAGTTGTTGTTGTACTCCGTACTAAAAGAGAATTGAGTGGTCGTCTTCAAGTGCACACATCCAGCACATCCAATCTATCGATATCTTTCGGATCTTTTGTATGGCAAATTCGCGTGTTGACTATTTCTGGCCGCCGAACCTAAAATTCTCTCGTGGAGTAGAGCCTGATGACATAAGCGACCGGTCAGTTCAGCCGTGTAATCACTGCGCCCTGATTGGACAAGATGGCTGACATAACCGGCTTCGCCCGAGCTTCCCTCCCGAGGTCTTGACTTCCAACGTCAAAACTGGAGTTGAATACCAGCTTGCAAGTCGTGCGCGCTTCTCGGGTTGATCGCAGGTGCTGTGCATTGCTGCCTTTCCGCGCCGATCGCAAAAAAAATCGCGACCCATCTCACGTTTTGACTCCTCTGAGGGTGACGAGGAAAAGTTTTTACATATTTCGCAATGGCCTCCTTACGCTCCACGTCGTCTATCTTCCGCGCCGCCCGGCCTCTTTTTCGCCCTGCAGCCTTCTCTCGCACATATGCCACTGTCGAATCCCAAACCCCAGGCCCCGTAGCGGGTAAGGATGCTACTGCACCCGCGTCCACATCTTCTACAATGAAGGAGCCGGCTCCATCACAAGCAGCCAAAATCAAGACCTTCAAGATTTACCGATGGGACCCCGACCAGCCTACTGAAAAGCCACGAATGCAAACATACACAATTGACTTAAATAAGACGGGGCCAATGATGCTTGATGCGTTGATTAGAATCAAGAATGAAGTGGATCCGACATTGACTTTCAGAAGAAGTTGTAGAGAGGGTATCTGTGGCAGCTGCGCAATGAACATTGATGGAGTGAATACATTGGCTTGCTTGTGTAAGACCTTTTCTGCACCCTCTCTTGCCATTTCAGCTATTATGGCCTCGGGCTAAATATTCTTACTTATGCCCACAAAATTTAGGTCGCATTCCCACTGATACAACCAAAGAAAGTCGGATCTACCCATTGCCTCATACCTACGTCGTCAAAGATCTTGTCCCCGATTTGACTCATTTTTATAAGCAGTATAAGTCTATCAAACCTTATCTACAGCGTGAAACCAAGCCTGATGATGTATGTATTCACATGTGAAAGTGCCTTGTTTGGATGGATGCTAAACATACCGATACAATAGGGCAGGGAAATCAGACAATCTCCGGCTGACCGTAAGAAGCTTGACGGTCTCTATGAATGTATTCTTTGCGCATGCTGCTCGACGTCTTGCCCGTCATACTGGTGGAATAGCGAAGAATACCTTGGCCCCGCTATTCTACTTCAGTCCTACCGATGGCTGGTTGATTCCAGAGATGAGAAGACTGCCGAACGTCGCGCCGCGCTTGACAACAGCATGAGCGTGTATCGGTGCCACACTATTATGAACTGCACGAGAACTTGCCCCAAGGGTTTGAACCCAGGCAAAGCTATTGCCGAAATCAAGAAGCAGCTTGCCTTCGCATGATTTGAAGGATGTTGAATATATGGGTATTATCTTCCAGTAACGTTTTTCTATCGTATTGTGTGTAAAGCCTGCGTTCGATGTACCCTGGGTTTTCTTTTCTATTTTCGATATGTTTTTGGTACATACAAATACCGCGAGAAAACATCGGGGGCTTATCGCATCGCCTAAGATTCAGCGGAAGATCTTGCATCTTGGGTCTGGGGATGGATGCTCGGAGAAACAAATTTGCTTCGTTTTCTATTCTACCCCCTGTACATATATGTCGATTTTGCAAGGTGGAATAGAGGAAATAAAATGTTCATTTCCCATTCAGCATTGGTTTGTGGTTTCGCCGCGCTCAAAATGGAGATAGGACCCAGAGAGCCGCTTAAACAATGGAAGTGTGAACCATAATGGATTGTTTTGAAATTTGATTGCCACCAATCATCAGACGAAACAAAAAAGATGGAGTACATAACTCTGTGGGGTGATTTGGAGAAAAGTTTCTAGTCCAGATTAATAAGTTGCTGCCCCTCAGATGGACCGATTCCCCGCTCCGCATCTCTAAATACCAGTGTGTGCTTGACATATTATTCAACTCCACAAGGATCACCACAAGGCGCATGTTACCTGTCAAAGAAAACAAAGCTACTACTCCGTACTGTGTAGTTATTAACATCACCTGGAACATAATTCCAGCCTCAATGGACGCCCCTCTAAGACGATTGAGACAGCTTCTCTTCGGGTTTTACCTTGATCAATGCCGACCTCCTACAGTCGCCGAATTAGCATCAGAATCTGGCCACTCCGTCTCTGAGACCAAGGACCTCTTGAAGCAGCTAGAAAATTCGCACCACATCGTCCTTTATGATGAAGAGCTCTGCACACTCACACCTATTGCCATGGCACACCCGTTTTCTCATCTGGAAGTCATATATGTAGACCCCGGTGTTTGTCGGATGTTTCCCCTACCTACTGTTTACTCAAATGTATACTTTAATCGGGTTCCGATATATAGTAGCTAATGTGTCTTGAGAAAGGCCGACGCCTTTTATTGTAGTAGGTTTTCCCTAAATATACGAGTTGGATATCTCATCCGTTTGCCTCTGTATATATATACGTTTTGATCCCAATTTATCCGGTGTGATTCAGACTCAAGGAGAGCGATCATGGTGGGCAAATCGCGCCTGGTGCGCCTTCGGTCTTGCCTCGATGCTTGCGCCTGGAGACGTAAGTGTTACCGTCCGCTCCGGATCCATTGCAGAGACCCTGGTTTTTCAGATCGCGGGAGGCGAGATTAGTTGCAATGGATCTGTGCAAAAAGCGAAGGATTGCTTTGTTCATTTTTCGATCCCGCCATCGAAATGGTGGGACAATGTAAGACTGGCGTGCAGCACAATTCAAATCTTTGCGACAGAATCTGAAGCAAAAGAGTGGCCCGGAAAGTAAGTATGGGTTTTTGGAGGGAGGGTATATGGACCTTTGGACTTTGTGGCGGCTCTCGAAGGGAAGTGAAAACGCAGGATCTAAAAGCATTAGCGGCCACACATTGTGTCATTTTCTAACTTGTGGTGATACTAGGCATGGTACCACGATAAGCACAGGTATGAATATACACGCAAAACCCCCGACGAAGTCTTTGAGCTTTTTGAGGAATTGGGAATGAGTTCCTCGTACTGGAAATCATGAGGCAGAAATTTGTTGATTTTCGAGAAAGCGGGGTACGAGACCCCATCTTTTGATGGTGAATTCTGATATCGGGCGGCGGCGCCTCCCGACAACGAAACATTGCTCTGCTTCATAGTGGACATCGACGTCGAAGACCCTTCTTATACTTTGTAGGCCATATCACCTTCCAGACGCCAAGGAATAATCTGACGTTGTCGTTTATTTGTCTTGTTTGCAGTAACTACTCCGTAGTTAGTTAGTTAAATATGGGCTTAGTCAGCCAGGGCTTGTTAGTATTGGGCATTACTATTGGCGGGGAAAGGAAGTGACCCACTAGTTTATCCACAGAGTCAAAATGGGCATGAAGCTGTTTGGGTGTCATACGCAGTACTCCGTAGGCGACTCAAGGCTCGGCGTAGTATGTAGCGAGTCGAGCATGAGCATGTCTCGGATTCATTTTATAGAGTGTGATCTGGGAATAATCGTCGTACTCTGCCTCTACCATTTGCTATGTTTGTATTATTAGTCCTTAATTCTGATTGGCTGCATGTGGCATGGCGGGACTAGCCGCTTGCTTAAACTAAAATAGTACATACATAGGGACTTCATTCGCTGTACTCCGTACTCCTTACTCCTAGATCCCTTTCTAATGAACACCAGAGGAATCAGGTTTTCCCGCTTGTGGCCCATAGCGTCACAACATCGACAACCTATTTGCGAGAGACTTTCTCACAGTAGAGGAGAGGCTGGAGAGGCTCCTTTCCAGACAGGAAATGGAGGTTAAAAGGAAGGTGGCACCAAGCGAGAGGTCGTGAAAACCGGATTTGTTTCCATCATTGTTTTGATCCCTGCTGCTGCCATGATGGTAATATGCTTCATAGTCTGAATGGAACGGGGGTACAGAACCAGCTATGTCCTTGTTCGTGGTGGGTTCCCTGTCGCGGCATGTCAGCGGTGAACAGCATGAGTAGTGCTTGAACTAGGCCAGAAGGTCCAAACGATGATCATCATTTTCGCCGAGTGGCTAGTTAGCACTTGAAAATGATACTCTATGCTCAATTGCAACATAATGGGCTGGTCTGAGATTCTTTGGGAAGAATGAAGAATGAACCGTTAATACCAGTTGCCGGGGCCCTTCTGCTACCTAGGTTTATCGATTACAGGAAAAATATGTGAGCATTAAAGACATTTCAGAGATAAACTCGTGTAGAAATATGACTGGAATATCCTAAATGAGTTGGGCAAATCCCATTAAATATAACGGGATGAGCTGTCATAACTTGGACCCAAGCCGTCGGACATCTTCCAGGAGCTAGTATCAAAAGCATCTGTTGGTTTGTACAGAAAGTGCAGGCTTGTCGGAGTATTAGTATTATTCGCACAGTACGGAGTATAGTTATTAAGTGTGCGGTTCGCGAGCCCCCATTGTCCAAGAAGTCTTCTAACTTCAGGATTCTATTCTCTCATTCGCGACGCTTTTTTTCCGGTTAACTACAGCACGGAGCGCTCTGAACGCCATAAGCAAGCCTTTGGGCAGGGCCAGCCGGGAGGCTGGGACCAAAAATTTAACATAATCACAGAGCTAACTGCCCAGCCTTCTCAAAACACTCGGCTGATTGTGGGTGTATGGAATAGTTACCGCTCTTTTGGAATCTGACCTCATGGCATGTATGTATGACTACTCCGTATGGAGTACAGTACGTCCAACATCGTATGCCAAAATATTGATCGGCTTTTCCAGCGGTTCATTACCATCCCTCAAGAAAGCCAAAATCCCACCTGTGTTTCTCTTGTTCAAGCAACGTCGGAGTTGCTTGCTTATTGCCGCACCGGTCTCCACTCCCAGCTTCACATCCTTGAGAATCAAATGCGTGGCAGCCCGGAATTTTATCACCCGATTCCGTGAAGATTTCTCGTGCATATCCGTTATTTAGAATGATCTCCCAACACTTGTCAATTGAAATCCGGAGACCATTGGAGATGGGAGCGCCGTGGCTGTGGCTCAATGGCTTTTACTAGGCCCTCAGGAAGACCGCTCTTTAACTAATGACTTCTGCTGAGAGTCAATATGATCGCTACCCCAGCAGGTAAGTTAACACCTTGAATGCTTGGCGTACGAAAAATTTCCAGGGGTGCTTCTCTGGAAGCTAACACCTACTGTTGAACTCAAGTATACTCCGTAACTGTGTACTGACCAAGGATAAGAATGTCTAAGTACCTGGGTAGTGAGATCGGCATTATGTCTACATATTATCTCTCTTAGCTTTTCCATGCTGGCTGTGCAGCCCAGTATTGTTGAACCATGAAGAACCCCCGTGACGTTAATTTCATCAGTGCTCGCTTTCCTTAGCATTAGGGCTGCGAGGGATACCTTAAATCTCGCTCCCTGAGGGTAATGACGCGATTACCTTGGTATTGCACTGGGTTAGGGCTCACCGTTAATATAACCAAGGAAATTCAAGATTACCATTTCTGTAAGGCCACCATAAAGTGCCCAGGCTTTCCCTTTGGCGATGAAGTGCGAGGTACCAAAGAATTCGAACGATCCAAACCTTTGTAGATCTAGGAAAATAATGACCTCTTGCATAGACAATCTTTTGTTGTAATTCTGGGATGAACGTAATCTAGGACGTTTTAGTGACAATCCCGAGTAGTCTGCTCAACAAGCCACTATACCACTGAGTATGCTGCCTCATAAGAAATAGGCCAAACTGCGAGTTAATATTGGCGAAGCGATGGAGTGTAGAGAATGGGATATCCGGTGGAGATGAGCTTATCTTAAACTTAACAGGAAGGCGATTGTTTAAAATCATAGTCGGCAAGAAACACGGGATAGTATAATCTGGTAAAATAGCAGAGGCTTGGGTAGGCTGATGTTACGCTTGACCGCATACCATTGTTTAAGCGTGGCATGCTAGGACTAGTAGTTTAGTTCTCAAGCAGGACTTCAAGTGCAACTCTATGGCAACGTATGTGAGTCTCACTTTGACACTTCTTATCTAGGGGAACCCACTTTGTAGATTCCCGGCATTTTCGTCTCTGGGAAGCGGTGCCCCGCGAAATACCCTGTATAGCGGAGTATTTGTTTCCGCCACTTGACCATTCTGTTTCGTCTGAGGCATACGAGAGACATAAAAAGGTGCCATCGGCACGAGGACTTGCAGTGATAGAAATCTGCAGATCCACATCACATTATATTTTCATTGAACCTTTGATCCTTTGTTACTTGACTTTACGTGATTCAAGAGAATCAGTCAACCAGCCATGGCACGTCCTCCACCACGGTATAATACAACCATCCCATGGAAAGACATCTCCCCTTTGCCAGAGCCTCTCAAGTCGCCCGGGAAGCAATCCCCAAGAGTGCTGGTGATTGGAGGAGGAGTAACGTCCCTGGTCACATCATGGATCCTCCTTGATAAAGGCTATCACGTCACCATCGTGGCTAAAGAGTGGGCATCCTGGACAGATGGCCAGCGAATCACGTCTCAGATTGCGGGCGCATTATGGGAATTCCCACCGGCAGTGTGCGGCATGCACACCGACGTAATATCTCTTGACAATTCTAAGCGTTGGTCAATGGTATCGTACCAAATCTTCTGCGCTATCGCGGATGACCCTGAACTATCGGCTCAGGTTGGCATCCGTTTAGAGCAGTCAACATTCTTTTTCCCCTATCCCATCGAAGAGGATGCCGAGCAATACGCAAAAATGGTTGAGATTGAGCAAACTGGAGTACGCGGGTTCCGACGCACTAAGGATCTCATTCGTGAGAGAAATGTTAACCCTGATTTTGGAGTGGTTGATGCCTATGAGCATTTGGCGCCAATTATTGATACTGATCGGGCTATGGGGTGGCTAATGTCACTGGTACGGAGCAAGGGTGCAGCATTTATCAACGAGACGATCCATGGGAGCTTGTACAAAGCCGAGAACTCTCTCCTTGCTCGGTTTGAAGCCGACGTCATTGTTAACGCTACTGGTTTAGGTGCAATGGAGCTTGCGGACGATAAGACATGCTACCCACTGCGCGGCGGAGTGCTCCGGGTTATCAATGATGGAGTTGATTTTCCCCGAGTATCGGCCTCATTGATTATGTCGGCAGATGCGCTTCACAGCCTGAATGAGATTATTTTCATTGTGCCGCGCAATGATAATATTCTGATTGTAGGTGGTATTGCAGAGCCCGACGAGTGGAATCTTGGAGGACTCACGCTGGAGAGCCCGATCATCCAGCGAATGCGGAAGAGGTGTGAAGAGTTTTTGCCAGCTCTGAAATCTGCCCGCCTTGATCCTGAATATCCCCTCGCACAGGGGCTTCGGCCGTTTAGGGGTACTAATGTCCGGGTTGAGCGCGAGCTTAGGACCAAGTCTGTTAACAGTAGAGTCGGCCCTGTCCCAAGTCGTATTGTTCATTCATATGGGCAAGGAGGTGCGGGATGGAGTTTGGCTTTTGGTTGTGCTAGTGATATCGCCGTACTGGTAGCAGAGGCATTGGCAGACAAGCCGGCTATTCCAATGACGATGAGTGACGGGAGCACTCCAGCAACCCCACAAAAAGTTCAGTCGTGGAGATCAAGACTCTAAAAAGGATATTCAATGGTCTTATATTCAAGACTATTACTGTTTCACATAGTAATTTCCTTTTGTAAGAATCTTTTCGAGAAGCTTTAAGACATCAGGGCCATTCTGGCCTCCACGGAGCTTCAAAACTTCTCAGGAATAGGAGGTCATGACAGTGAATGATCGATATCTGGACGTATTTATGGTTCAGGTTGGGGTATGGCATTTGGTTCGTGATGTTTCCTCGACCATCTCCACGGACTATGCCTCAAATTAATCCTTAGAGAGCTATAGAAATGTCTGCGGTAGCGCTGGCCTCACCAGAAACCAAGGAGACTGATTCATTGCCAAATTTACCCATTCAAACCTGCTGCCCTTCTTTTGTACCAATATTTCCCACATCTGTCAAATAGCTATATGACTCTCCTGCTTGTCAGTAGCTAGTATAGCTATTATCTTCCAAAATCCCACTGATGCATTGCGGGATTATTATCGATTCCCACATACACCCATACATAGAGATAAACTGAAGGCTGTAGCAAACGAAGTTTTGAAATTGTGGGGAGAGGAGTAATTAACTCGTTGTAAGATTCTTTGGTGAAGGTGTCGACCGGTCGATATCTAAGCCTAAATATTGGCCGGACACGCGAACGAATCCAAGGGCCGGTGTACGGAGTACTGGCAGGACGATAAGACAGAGTACGCGACCTGAAGGAGCAGGTGCCTTGTCTAGATCTCTCCTGATAAACCTTTTTCGTTTTGATCTAATTTCACATGCATATCCTTCTAGCCATCTTTCTCCTAGGCCACCTTGAACTCAAGCCTTTAAGAACAGGGCTGGTTTGTTGCTCTGCATCTGCGCCGACGAGGTCCTTCTTCCTCGCCATTAAGAAATAGTGTCTCGGAGAAAATTATCAAACCACCAACGAAGGGTAAAGTTCTTGTATGAAGGAATCGGGAAGCTGAGGCGATTCACTGTCGTTGCCTGTCTCTGAGGCCGCAAAGAGTGGGCTGCGTTTGTCTTGTTTGCGGGAGGGGACGGAGCGGGTCTTGCTCGGGAGCATAGCTTGGCTTTATGAAGCGCTGCCATTGGCCGGAATACGGAAACGACGTCGAATCGGCAAAAGTTAAAAGGGTATGACGCGAAATATGCTCCGTACTCCATACTCTCGGCCGCCGTTCTGCAAGCTCCAAGCTGGATTTGGTTAGCGGTAATATTCCCCAAGCCCCACCACCCGAGGCGCAAGCTCGTGAGGTTGCTTGCGGACGAAGATTCTGTGCAGGGGCGGTCGGTGGAGCCGCAGCCATATCATGAGGCGGGGGCGAGGTGCGGAGAAGTCACAGAAGGCGGGCGCCAGGGATTGTCAGCTTACTCCGTATATTATTGGAAACGCTGGCGAAAGATAGCCGGATGATTGTCAATCAGAGAAGCATCGAAGAATGGAGAAAATTGCTCAGCTCAAGTGCCTAGCTCCCGAGCGGCCCAGAAATGCCGGCGGTAAATTCGTTCTATGAAATTCGTATAGAACGCGAACGCCCGTATTTTTGCCGTAACAAAATGTACCTGAAAGTTTGAATTCGGCACAGAGAAGTATACTCCGTATACGGAGTAGATACATACATACATATGATCCTGTACACTGCCGTATGTCTGAATGGCAAATTTAATATGGTTAAACGAACCGAGCGGGAAAATGTTTTTGAATGGGCACGGAGCTATCTATGCTCAGCGGGCTGATGTTTTTGGCTCCGTTTTTGGACAACAGAGCTTAGTCAGCAAAGACCGGTCTAAACAGTACGTCCTACTCCGTACTGGTACCGTATCGCACCGCGTTTTGACCGACCACGTGTTTTCTAGAAGGATGCGGGTCGATGTCACGTACCATCGAAGACGGTTGTTTTCGATGTCACAAGATATGGACATGGCACCAGCTTGGGGGCTTCCAGCTCCTATTCTTTTTCTAAAGCTCAAAGATCCATAATCCATGCTTCAGAGCTTGACAGAGATGTGTTTGAAGGCTCATCCGCCATAGGTTCGAGAACGAAAGAGGTATTGCCGATACATGCCGCCTGAGTGGCCCGAACGGCGGTATTACCAGTACCTGACGTTTGCCAAGGAATCCCTCCTCTTCGCCGTCGAGCCGCTCAGCTCTCTTCGTCTTCCTTTTCTCGCCCTTTTCTTCTCGTCGCGATATTACTATCTCCATCCCTTGACTTCAAAGTGTTCTCCTCTCCGAAATCTCCTCAATTTCCTTAGACGCCGCCTTGGGTCTGCATTTCGATTCGGTATGGCTACCTCCCGTCCCAGCCGCGATACATCTGACTCAAATGCGATGCGCAATGAAGGAATTTTTTCTCTTTCCGTGCGCTAGCATGCAAGTCGGAGAAAGTCTTCCTTGTGTGAGCTTTACTGACGCCCCCGTGCCTAGAAATTCTTGCCTAGGACTGTTGTCTCCGCACCTGAAGGCTCTCTCATCCCCTCCTACCTGGTAAGTTGTCAGCAATATCCTTAAAAACACCCCGAACATTTGCATGTTTCACCACCGTCTCTTTATGCTCGTTTCATAAATTGCCGGCTGTATGGCTTCACTCAGCGATATCGAGGCACGAAGCTAAGGAGTGTGTAGCTACTCATATCACACATCGTAATGGCCGCTCTTAGCCGTTTAATTGCCCGCGATGAGGCCGCGCACCTGTTGATGAAGCGCAAAAACTTTGCGGCTAAGAATCCCGGTGTTATTCTCGTCTTTTGTATTGTCTTCCTTGTTGCAGCCGGCCTGATATCTCTTTTCCTGTATCGAAAATTGATGGCGCGCCGTGCCGCTCGCGCTTAGGCCTATTGCCTTGGAGTTGGTGTTGGAAAACGACTATGCCGACCAGGACTATAATACGAGGAAAATCATACATGAGCCGACCGGGCTCGCTTTTGGATAGAGGTTACTTTGCGACATCCGGATTTCCACTGGTGCTATTTCCGACCGCTTCGATAGCCTATCCCTCTGGCGCCACGCATTCTTCCATCGCAACCACATCCGATATGAAAAAACGCCATATCAACATTTAGACAGCAAGTTATTGCACTTTGGATCGGGAAGTTTGTCTATACACTGCAGTCTGTTTCAATGTCTGTATATTGGCAGAGTGATTCTTGTTTGAAGGTTCAAACCCCTTCAAACAACTCGTCACTGATGTATGTACATGAATTTTCCTTTGTCCTTTAATTTCCTTATGTTAATCAATAATTCAATGATGGTTAAAACTATTTCCTTTCTTTCGATTTTTGTTCATGTCATTTCAGACCCAGAGAATTTCTTTTCTGGCTGTAGCAATTGAAGCAGCAGCCCCGCGATACTACACATAGAATCGCCACCAGGCCGAGCCAAGCTGCACCCCATTTAGACAAATTTGAATATCAGATTGTCAATCTCGGTCTTGGCTCCCAATTTCGCTTTAGGGCGGTTTGATGCGTGCAATCCAAGTAGCATTCTTCCCTTGGTATCATGTTCGCTTCGAGAGTGCGCATAAACGTAATTGAGATGGGACTTGGTTGACGTTTCGGTGAAGGTGTTTTAAACTAGTACATATAGCAATGGGCACCGTAGGGCTCACTTTGGCTCAAACGGTCAGCGTCGTTCAACCTCGGGCTTTTAACCAGTGAGCCAAGGGGGCTAACCAATCAGCGAGCTAGCGATCTCAAGTTTTCGCACTTTCTGTGAGCCTTGGAAGAGCCAGACGTGCCCTTTGCATCCAGAGTAGAATTTGCGTAAGATACTGCCCCTGCCGGTTGAGTTCGTCACAACCATCCGTTCTATTCCGGAACTAGCCATATTCGTGTCAAAACGCATTATTCAGTTAGCCAACAGCGATGATTCTCGGAACCTCGTATTCACACGTTCAACGTTGCAGCCAGGGGGTAACAAAGTGAACCGCAGCCAGGCCCCGCTTCGCGAGCCCAGATGGAAGAAAATGAGGTGACGGGATCAGCAATAATATGCTCTCATGCTGGAGTAACTACTAATAAGGCGTCTTCCCCCACCCTCGGTGGGCCAGCTGGTGAAGGACTTCTGCCTCTCAAAAGAGCCCGCTACTGTCTTATTCGTCGCTCCTTCAGTACATAGCTATACCCCAAGTGTTGAACGAGCGGATTTCGAGCTTTTTGAAATACTCACCCGTCACCATGCGCCTCGAACTCCAACCCCTGCTAGACAGCGATTTTCCTGAGATGGTGTCTGCGCAATGGACATCGTTTGAGAATCCCTATTCAGGATTGTTACGTGTTGTTGGGCCAATTTTTAATGGTGACCGTGCCGCCAGCCTTGCTACCAACGTAACCGTGCAACTTGCGCAGCATAAAAGTACGCCAGAAAGCAATTGGGTCAAGGTTGTTGATGCAGATGCTGGTAATAAACTGGCGGGAGCAGCGCGGTGGTTGATATTTGAACATGACCCCTTTGAGAAACCAGAAATTGTGGCGGATTGGTGGCCAGAGGCAACAATTGGGCGAGAGTTCGCCACCAGGGTGTTGCTCCAGCTTGAGGAGCCAAGAAAACAACGAGCTCGCAGACCCCATTTATGTATGTATAAGCTTTCTTTCGTCCCCATTTTGGTCTTGCCTCACGTCCAAATACATTTAACTCGGGTAGCTACAGACTAATATAGTGCATAGATCTTCACATCGCATTCACGCTTCCCGAGTATAGAGGGCATGGCGTTGCAAGAATGTTTATACAATGGGGAACGCAAAAGGCAGATGCTATGGGATTGGAGTGCTGGCTGGATGCATCTGATAATGGTCGTCCTGTCTATCCAAAATACGGTTTCATAGAGGTCTTGGATTTTTGTCTTGATCCCGATATGGACGAGGACGCTATGTCAGAGGCTGAAAGGGAAGAGTTAAGAGAGTTGCGTGATTTGGTAATACCCACCCACCTGACGTGTATGTGGCGACCAAAGGGTGGGAAATATGTTGAAGGCGTCACGATAAAGCCGTGGGAAATGGATTCGAAAGCGTAGGTACGTTACCTACCTTTGTCAACGCTGACTATAAGGGCAGAACTCCAAAATGTATATAGATAAAACACTGGCCATGACTTGTAGTATAACTTGAGCACCGTCACAGTGTTGGCAGTTGCTTTGGATAGATCAACCCTATACAGCTGGGGCCATTAGGGGTGCGACAAAGAATAGAACATTCCAATCAACTAATAAATATCGGAAAACAATGTGTTAGAGCCTCTATTATTAGATTAAGTGTATTGAGAGGGCTTCTGACCCACAATTTTGTAGGCCTCCGCTTGTTATTTGTTGATGGATCTGTCTGTGGAACTCCGAACGAAGCACTCCATGGTCCAGAATACACCTGAATATGAGCTCGTGGCTGGAGGAGGTTCAAAAGAGGAGCGACCCGAAGAAATAATCTCAGGTTATGCGCGCCACCGCGCCCGACTAGTAAGCTTTTTTTGTTTAGATGAATGGTGTGTTTCGATTCGTTTGATTGAGTAATACGTCCTAAGGGTTTGTCTAGGAGCGTTCTCTAGGTATAACAGTGTTACTCAGGAACCTAGCACTCAATAGCAGGCTTTGTCCGGACGTCTGCCTGCTTTGAGCTGATTCTGCGGGCAGGCGGCATGACCTTTTTAATACATCCGTGTACTCTGCACAATGTGTGGACATCTCAGTAGTGTGCGAGAGCCGTAGGCTTAGCAAAAGAGACTGAAGCTTGAAACTGGAAGAAAGAAGAAGAGGAGAAGAGTACGGAGTATGCCCTGAAGCTTGATGGTTGCGATAGCATTCGTATTCGGTATTTTCCAATCGATGCCAGGAAAGGGGACAATCCGGAACATCAACAATCTGAATTGTCGTACTTCACACGTTGTCTCTAAAACAACAACGAACACCTTGCAGCAAGGTGTTGGGGGCTTCATATTGCAGCACGTATGACGAATACCCCCTGGCCGTCTCCCGGATTGGTCTCCACAATAACTAGCAGATCGGAGAATGCTCTGTTGCTCTTTTTTTTTGGTATTAAAGATGCCTCGTCCCTGCGGGATTTTATTGAGTCCCTTTGTTAGTTTGAGTATTTGATAGAAGGCACATGTGTCTTCTTCACTTTCTGTGAGGTCCAAATTGGACTCGTGTTTTTAACCATTCTTCTCTTTGCCACTTTATCCCCGCTCGACACCGGAAGAGTGACTAAAAATCAGCCTGATATCAAAATGTCAGAAGCCCTGTGGGGTTGCACGCTCGAAACATGCCCAGTGGAAAACAGCTTGTTTGGCTACCGCCCGTCACTTGCCGCGAACGTTGCCTTTCTCGTTTTGTTCGGCATGTGTGCGCTTGTCCAGGTCGTCGAATTAGTCAGATGGCAAAGATATTCTTTTTCGGTGCTGATAATTTTCGGTGGGATGGTTACGCTGGCCGAATTATGCTGTACAAGAGCCCTTTCAGTCAGGATGGATTTCTCATACAAGTCTGCTGCTTGACAATCGCACCGGCATTCTACTCCGCCGCCATCTATTTCTGCATCGCTGACATCGTTGGCCTCTTTGGACCCAAGGCATCCCGGCTGAAACCAATGCACTACGCGTGGATATTTATTCCCTGCGACTTCATTAGCTTGGTCTTGCAAGGCACTGGAGGGGGACTCGCGAGTGTTGCATCTCAGCAATACAAAGACCCAAAACCCGGCACAAGCGTCATGGTGGCGGGCCTGGCCTTCCAGGTTTTTAGTCTGCTTGTTTTCATCTTGTTAATCCTAGAGTTTGTCTGGCGGGCCCGAAGGATCCAATCCAAAGAGTTCAGCGAAGAAAGTTCTAATGAGGATTCATGCAATGGCGGCCGAATGCTTGCGAGGTTCGTGATTCCTTTCTGCCTAGCCATACTTTGCATCTTCATTCGATGCGTCTTTCGTGTCGCTGAATTAAGCAATGGGTGGACTGGCGACCTCATCAAGCATGAGGACACCTTTATTGCGCTAGAAGGAGCGTAAGTGATCACCCTTGTTTATTTAACCAACTTCTTAAATCTGACGTCCATTCTTCCTTAAAGTATGATTGCAGTTTCGGCGGTTGCGCTGAATATTTCTCATCCAAGGCTCCTCTCACTCTAATAGCATGCTGTTGGACATTGTATATATCATGAGATCTAGCAGGGTTCTCGTCTACCCGTCAGAAGACTCTGCTGTATCAGGCTACATAGCCTATCTGGTAATACCATGAAATTTTCGTGATATCCAGCTTTCTCTACAGAATTTTATGCCTTATACTAGTAGCTGAGGAGTGATTGCCAGCAAATTACCGGACGAAGAGTCGGAACCGGTAGAATATAGATCCGATAAGTGGCCCATCAATGTTGATTTGGAGTTACGGAGTACTCTCTGTACGCCGTACGGCGCACTTGATCACACCACAGTGGATAGAGAGTATTGGCATCTAGGTGACGCCCAATTTCCTACCATATTTGATTTACCGTATTTGGCGCCTAACTGGTCTCCGTGTAGCTCAGCACCTTATGTTTCGAAATAGGAAGTGCCAGAGCACATGATTCCCGCAATCATTGAACATCCGCCGAACGTTGCAATTTAGCATCCCAGCTTGGGTTTTGTCCTCAGTTACCGAATATAGCAAAGGAACTTCATTTCTCCCTGTATGCGCCTTGATTCTGCCTCATAGGCCTCGCCATATCCGACACAATGGGAGTTGATAAATGCCTCATCCACCATGATCGGCGAGCTTTAGTGTGGTCTCAATAAACTGAAAAGCCTGACCGGTCTGAGTGTCGCAATAGTCTGCTGATAGCAAGTTCTCCCCATGGATGGTATGAATTGGCGATCGATTGAAATTCTGGCCATAGCAGCAGGCGGTAATACTCCGTACTGACTGTTTCTCACCCAAAAAGACATGGAGCACGGATGGCTTAGTTTTATCTCCTTGAAGGGCTATCTCAAGGATCATGAAATTCCTGATAATTCGCGCATTATTTCTTTCAGGATGCGTGTATTTCGTGTAGCCCTTGAGCTGATCCGGTCTTTTAAAACACCGCGGTTTGTTTCTCAATTCCGAATGAAAGGCACCCTTCCGCCTATTTCGGCGGCACGAGGCCTTGCGGTGTGTATATATGCTGTCGAATCGCGCGATGACTACCGAAGATGTCAGAGCCCTCTATCGCAGCCCCTTACTTCGCAGTCACCATGTCGGTTACTGCAGTTGCCCCGGTCCTTCGTGATCATGGCCTTGCCATTTTAGCCATCTCTGCAGCAGTCTTTGCTTTCTACAAAACATTTTTAGCTGCTAGTCTACCCAAAGATATCCCGCTTGTCCGTGAAAAGCCAGGTCGGAAAGGTTTCAGTCTCCGAACTCGAATTTCCTTCTACCTTGATTGCTCACGCTTATATCGTGATGTATGGGATAAGGTATATCATATTTTTATACAACAGGTGCGCAGTGCAGGCACATCTAACACTTGTATAGTTTTCAAAAAAGGGCAAGCCTGTTGTGGTTCCCACTCTTGGCCCACGAAAGGAGATATTCCTGCCCCATTCGTCAATAAAGTGGGCAATTTCTCAGCCTGCTAATATATTGGGAATGTGGGAAGCCTTTAACGACAACTTCCAACTCCAGTCTAGTCTTGGGGACGAAAAGTACATGCTTGACACCTGGGTGCATCACCTCACTCGCCATGTCCTGACCGGGGAGTTGGAGAACCACATTATGCCAGTATATGAAGAGCTTCAGCTGGCGATTGATGCGCGACTTGGCCATAATACAGAGGAATGGAGGACATTAGATCTTCTGGACACCATGAGGATGATTGGCAATCAAGCAGGCAGTCGATTTGGTGTTGGCCTTCCCTCATGTAAGTCAACCAAATTCGCCTATAAGCAGATGTTAACATGCCCATCCTAGGCCGGGATGAAGAGTACCTCCGCACAATTATGGATACTATTGATGGTGTTCTTGCTAATGCTGGAATCATTGGCTTATTGCCCTCTTTCCTACGTCCTGTCGCCGCTCCTGTTGTATGTTGGGGTACTCGAAAGGGGGTAGCCAAGCTGGAAGCTAAGTGCGACCCGGTTTTCAAGGAACGAATCGCGTATATGGAATCCAACCCAGATGAAACCAATGATCCCGGTGACTTTTTACAGAAGATGCTTCGATATGCGCATCAAAAACGACCGGAAGAACTGGCAACTGATCAAATGACACGACGATTACTAGTCGCTAATTTGGGGTTCACTTACCTGGCAGGCTTTGCGATGTGCAATATGCTGTTGAATATCCTCGCTTCCGACTCAACATACAATACCGTCGACGTACTCAGACAAGAAGCAGAAACATTTCTTAATAGTGCCACCAGTCATTCAGAGCTGTGGAAACGAAAGAGTACTTCGCGCATGGTCTATGTGGACAGTGTTGCCCGTGAAACTCTGCGTCTAAATAACCTTCCCACACGCACTCTTGCCCGTCAGGTCATGGTTGACGGCCTCAAAACCGACGATGGTACACCGTTGCCACGTGGATCATTTGTATCGTTTGTTTCGCAGCCGATGCACACTGATGCCGAGCACTTCGAAAACCCGAACACCTTTGACCCTTTCCGTTTCGTCCGTCTTCGAAAAGAAGAAGCTGAAGCCAAAGGTTCTAAAGCAAGTACCGAAGCTGGGGGAGCCTGGAGCCAACACAGCTTTTTGTCAACCGCTAACCTGCTGGTTTTTGGTCGCGGTCGAAATTCTTGTGCCGGCCGGTTCTTGCTTGACTTCGAGCTTAAAATGATGATCTCGTACCTGCTAACCAACTATGATATCAAGTTCCCAGATGAATATCAAAATAAGAGACCCGCAAATCGTTGGCTGTTGGAGTTTATCTTCCCGGATAAAAGGGCAAAGATCCAGGTCAGACGCCGAAAGCCCGTTGCGGTAAACTCGGAGAAATAGAAGAAGTACCAAGGTGTAGGGTGTGTGGCTACCCCCGACTGTAAGCGACATAGTGCTCTTAAGGCCCGAGGTAAAGGGAGTTGGCGGGTCCGTCTCTTATATTTTACGTTGATTCTCAAAGGCAATAATATTTAACATACCATCACCAATTATACTCCTCGTCGTCCTGTAAAAAATAGACCAATTGCTTCGTAGTGAACTCCAGAACTGCTGACTAAGCACCGAGACTGATCGCGCCACTAATTACGGAGTACTATTGGCCCCATCCATCGCGCGCCGCATCTGGAAAGCCAGCTTGCACTCTCCCTGGTAGATCTTGTCTGCCGCTCGTTTTTACCGCATGAAAAAATCATTTTCTTCTACAGCACTTTGTATTTCTTCTGCGCATCATAACCATACCGATATATAGCAAGCATGACTACGCGACCGGCATCGCGCCTATTTCTGCTTACGGGCATGGCCGTATTTTTTATACTTACAGTAACATATTTTCGACAGAGTGGGCCATTGAGTCCTGCGGTGCGGGCGCCTGGCCATTGGGGGAAATCAACACCTACTGATGGCGACATCTCGCAGGAGGCTCTGCAGGGCAATGTAGTAATGCCAAAGCTGGGGAATGAAACTGCTAAGTAAGGACTCATTTGGTGCTTTCTGTATTCTACAGCTAGAACTGACGGTTTCTGTTTGATAGAGCTGAACTGGGACGGGCATCTTGGCGACTGTTGCATACGATGATGGCGAGATTTCCCGAGAAACCTGCCAAACATGAGCAGGAAGCCTTGCGATCCTACATTTTTCTTTTCGCGAGATTGTATCCATGGTTAGTGCCTACTATTTTCCTGGTCTGAATTGTGACAATCTAGATCGACTGATGACCGTGTGTTGTACGACAGTGGTGAATGTGCTGCCCATTTTCAACAGCATCTCCAGAAATTCCCCCCTCAAGTATCTTCCCGCAATGCCGCGGCCGGCTGGGCGTGTCACATCCACAACGAGGTTAACAAAATGTTGAAAAAGTCCATCTTCGACTGTACAAAACTCGGAGATTTTTACGATTGTGGATGTAGCGACGATGGTGACGCACCTAAATCAAATGCGAAATCGACGGAGAAGGTTGCGGGAAAGCCGCAAATTCCAGCTGGAAGGCTAAATCAACTGACAAATCTTGGACGTGAGTTCGATACGAACAAAATTTTACCAGTGGAGATAAATGTAGAGCCGTAGGTGTATCTATGCTCCGATTACCTTGTTGTAGCTACTAACAACTTAGGAAAACGAACGGCTAAATGAGCCATCGTATCGTTGTATTTCGACACACTGTATTACTATTTCGATTTACGAGTATCTGAATTGGGCATTATTTTAACCCAACGATATAGAAATCGGGCGCTGCACAAAGCGCTTGTTCTACCCCACCTAGCAAAGATGCATTCCAAAGAAATGGGACGTCCCATCAAGGATGTTGAAAGAGAAGGACAAGACCAAGATGCATCTTTAGTCTGCGGCAACGCGAGCGCTGAATTCGCAGTATATTATTGAGAGTCGGGGAGCTGAAACATGAATCAGCAAGAGACACATAGGACACGGAAGCCTCTTGGAACCTTCGCGGTGATGCCATAGGCAGCAGAAGAGTCGAAGCAGCGAGATATGGACAGTGTATCCTCTATGGCTGTATTAAGAAAACACGTGCTTAACATGGAATAAGTAGACACGAGATAGCAGGCTCAACTATTTCAGTCTATTTCAGTGACGGTCAAATGCTAGGCGTTAGAAACTTCATTATAGGTTTATCCTGATAGTAGATCTAGATGGAGTAATATGTCTTCGGGTTTGGATTCTTAAATCTCGGGCTGAACGCCCGGCATGAAATGAAAGTGGCAGAGAGCGTAAAGCAACCTGCACAGCGGTTGCAATTTTTGGGGAGGTTTTTATGCTCCGCCAGAATTGGCTGGCAGCTGCACGCCCGATTGGGCTGCCGCAAACGCAAGGATTCTGCGGCGGCGCCCGCCCGAGTTGACTGGGTAAATTTAGATACATACTGCAAAATGTGTCGGAGTTTCTAATAAAAGTTTCGAAACAGTATTCAGCTTCATCTTCATATCTTTTGCTCTCCGACATGGACTACCAAAGGGTATATTCCGAAATATTACCGCTACGGAGTATATCCTTCAAGGATTAGTTTATTGAGGAAGAAAGCAGAAAAGTTTCATGTTCGAGAGGCAAAGTGGTCCACACCAGCACGGAACGCATGGGCGTATCCAGCTTGTTGCGTTCCACAAGGTATTGCAGGATTGCTGCCCAAAAAAACAAGGTGAATCAAGGTATGGAAGCACGGCTTGACAGCCATCGTATCGTGTGACGGGACTTCGAAAGGTGGTGTGTACTTAACCAGTCGTCTGGAAGAAGCCGAAAAGAGGCAAGCTGCGCTCGTCATTCGTGGTTTGTTTGTGACTCCCGCCATAGTTGGTTTGATAATGGCCGCGGAATCAACTGAGCGTCGCATTTAGACTTGCCAAGGCGGGCATTCTCCTACATAAGCGCGGCGCAGCAGGTAGTCAATGACACTTACATTTACTTTTTTGGCCTTGAGTCCCCAGATGCAGGGCGTCTCTGCAGGCGCTATTTTCCGTTCTCCAGGGCAATTCATGGTCCAAGGTGGAGTCCATCAATGCACGGGCGGGCACAAGTTGACCGCAGGAATGCTCTGAATGCCCAACCGGCAACCCAAAGCCCCTGCTAGCTATGCAGTAACGTGTCTTCTGACCCTGGGCAGGTCAGTTGCCAACGATCCCCAACACGAAAACAGAATAGTTGAGCGCAGCGGGATGGGCACGCCTCGGTGGAGTCCAGACACCATCGAGACCCAACACCGACTGTTCGCATTCCTGATGTCGCAAAGGTGTATTCGACCGTGTGCCAGTCGTGTGCGCCTGAGGGATTTCGTAGGAAGCGAAGGCGGCACGCGAGAGTCTGTAAGGTTCGGCGAGGAAGTCAGGCGATCGCATCTTTCTCTGCTACTATCATCATCGCAGTCTGGGTAGAAATCCTCGAGGCAGTACAGGAGGGACGAGGGCCTGGAATTAGCGGGAGTATAAAAAAAACGAGTGTACCCGCCGGATGTATGGGAGTCACGGTCGCGCGTTCGCCTGCGACGAGTCCTGAGCGTCGAAGCTGAAGGAGACGGACATCCAGTGCAAGGCTGAAACCTTGCAGAGACTGAAATCAGGATACGACGGGAGGTTCGACCTGCGCCGTGATAGGCTTTGGCTTGCCCTCCCTTGCTGCTAAGATTAGCCCAGGAGGTTTTGGGTTGATCGAGCCCAGGCGCCGGCGAGCACAGTCAGGCCGGAGCGCACGGCGGCGACGAGGCAAGGAGAGCGAAAAGAAAAAAAAAGAGAAAAGCGGCGCAGGCCATTGCGGCCATCTTTATAACCCGCGCAGCGTGCCTTTATAGGCGGCGTATCGACGTTGTTTGTAGCGGAGGGCGGCGGCTCCATCGTCTGGCCAGGCATAAGAAGCTTCGTCTGGCTCTCCCGCCTCACACTCTAAATTAATTTACTCTCGCTCTGCTCTCCCACCACCCCCTCCGCGCCCGCTCACCGACTCGCTCGTCTGGCCACTGGCACTTCCTTTTGCCTCACTTATCCCCACTGGCTCGCATCAGCAGAGAGCCCAAGAAGGACCGTCGCCCTGTCTAGTTGGGTATTCATCGCTCTCCCGCCGCCATGGTGTCGTTCCAATGCGAGGTAAGCTTGTCGCAACAGCTCCAGACCTCCCCCATGCTTGCTCTGCTCAGCGGCGGTGCTGCAGTGCGCAATCCGAGCTAACACGCCTCACTCTCTCCGCGATCGCAGGCCTGTGGTGATGTGTTCACCAAGAAGAAGCTCGACCCACACCGCGGACAATGTCGCGGTGCGAGCTTTTCCTGTCTCGACTGCATGGTGCATTTCCAGGGCACGGAATACAGGTCGCATACGGTACGTTCGTCGCGTGGCTGCATTTTCTAGGGTATTACTGTGCTGTTTCTTCCCCCTTGTTTTCGCGACTGTTTGTGCGCTCGTCGCCTCTGCCTTCTTGCGCTGCATTTACGGGCACCAATGGCCTTTTGTGGGTTCATCGAGTCCCTTGCACATCGGTGGAAGCTTGTTTCCTATTGAAGGAGGCGATGACGGGGCTCGTGTCCTCTAATAGAGTCGCGATGCTGCAGCATTTTGATTCGCGCGAGTCGCAATGCTTATACTTCGATATTGCGTTGAATGAGCAGGGCTCATTTTGTGGATGACCTAAGATGATGCATGTTTGGATATCATAAATGGAGATGGCTAATTAATTATTTCATCCTTCTGGCAGACCTGCATGTCAGAAGCCCAGAAGTACCAAGGTGCTCTATACAAAGAGAAACCATCCAAGGGTCCAAAGCGTAAAAAGGCCGTTACTATTGCCGAGGATCCGGTAGAAAAGCCTTCCCTGCAGCCCTACGTGGAGGATGCACCCGATATTGACGATACCCAGCCCTCCAAAAGCGCTCCTCCCACCGCCCCAAGCCCTCCACCAGCAGCAAAATCGACCTCAAGGGATGCCCCCAAAAAACCTGCTACAAAGGAAGAAGCTGTGAACGTGTTTGACTTTCTTGATCCTGCTGATGAACGCAACGCTTCTAAGGTCTCCCTTGGGGGCACCAAGGAGCAAATGAAAATGGTTCATGATGCACCGAAACTGTTTGAACCACCTAAACAGCTTGCACAAATGCCGAATTCTCATGGAGACGATTCCCACAACTATGATGTTGCCTATGAAGAAAATGGCTTCTCATATGGCTCCGGACCTATTCCTCCTTCGTTTTACACCGTTGACCCAAACAGATCTATGGATTTCATGACCCCGGGAAATGATCGGTCCCAAGGAGGTCAGAGCTCTTTTCTTCATAGCTTCGATTCAAGAAATGAGACCATAAAACCATATAGCGATAAAAAGCGGAAACGCAGCAACCCAAAACGTATAGAGACGCCGGCACACCAGACCAGCTTTGGGGCCGATATATCGATGGCGGATGCTCCATCAAGCACGGTCGTCAACCCCCCAATAACACCGTCCCTTCAACACTCAGGTCTTACAGGAGGTCTCAGTAAGATGATGAAATATTCAGAATCTCCAGAATCTTCTGACTATCGAGGTGACCGCGATTATCACAATGGGGAATCTATTGCCCATCCCACGTCGCCGGTCAAACGCACCAGACGCGGCAACAAGGAGTCGAGTGTCGAGAGCGGTCTCGGTATCTCTGTTAAAAATAGATCAGGGAAGCTTATCTCAGTGGTGGGCGGTGGTGCGACTGGTGTTATTACAGTCCCGGGTACTAACAATGACCCGACGTTCAAAGCATTTACGCGCTCCCGCCGACGAGGCTCACTGGACACTGAGAAAGAACAAGAAATTCATATTCGAAAACACAAGCGTTCAACCACACAACACTCCGAATCTAGGAAGCCATCTAAATCGCATCACCATGAAGCCCCAGCTTTGAATGAAGATGGGGACTGGGCTGATTACCATAAGGAACCGCCACAGCTTCCTCGACTGGCTGGATTCAGACGGCACCGTGACTCTGACGACAGGTCACGATCACCTCGCCCCAGTACGTCGAATGCTGATACTTTTGAGACCCATTCTACCATATATAAACATGGCAACGACGGCGCCGATGACGTCGTGACTCGCCAGAGAGCGAGAGCCTTTCTGGCATCGATTAACAAGGGTCCTGAGAGTGGAAAGGGCTATTCTGTGCATAAGATTCTGAAACGATTCTATCGAGAACAAGCGTCGTCGGTCATTTCAGACGACACTACGGAGCGAGGAGGCAGAAGCCGACGCACCAACCGGGGTGGGGATAGAGATAAAAAGGAAGAGGAAGAGCTTTGGAGAATGTTGCGATTGAAAAAGAATGATAGAGGGGAGGTGGTGTTATTCTTGCATGAGTAAAATAGCAAGCGATTTGTTGCTCCTGAGCTAGCCTACTTTATGACTCCTCTAATGCTTTAGCATATTTTCGATCAATTTTGCTCATTCTCTGGCTTCCGAGTGTTCTTATAATCGCCCAACAAACATTTTATAACGTAATAGATGAATCTCGGTATTTCTTCCGTGTTGCGATCCCTAACCCCTCCGTACGTAGTTATATCTATCGTATGCAAAAAGCCAGATAGTACTTGGCACAGCAACATTGGCACAATGCCCTTCAACTGAATTGCCATATAAATCAGATAGCCAGGCTATTTCATCCATTTTAATCATTAGAAATTGAAGCTGAGCTCTCTACCTAATCAGGTAATTATTTTAGTATGCCTTCAAAGCGTAAGTAGCCACGAAGGGTCACTGTGGTAGTGCCCTTTAGAACCTTCACCGATGTCATATCCCTGGCCTCGCCACCATCTGAACAAGCATATAGGCCTTCCTATCGGCCTAAAGAGGCGTAAAAAGAGTTCAGGGAGGTGGCTACACAGAATCTCCACCTAGTAAGGCCTCGAATATGTTGTCTTTGATCATTATCAATCGCCTTCTTTGCGTGGAAGGAGACAAAATAACACTCTCAAAAGTAGGAAATTTGTTTATTTAGCTGTAGAAATTTGCCGGTTTTTTGCCTAACTGCCTTCGTATAAATCTTATGAACACCTGACTGGCCTGCTATTAGCCCACAGATTTGTGCCATTAGCCCGCGAAAATTCGCAGAATTTTGTCGGCACTGCCTGTAGCTATGATGCAGCGAATTTGTACATCAGACTTCTCCCCGCCTGACTTCTTCGCCGCTGTTGTTTGGCCATCCGAGACAGTTGGATTATCAGTGGGAATATCTTTAACAACATCAGGTGCCCATCTCAAACAGGTGATGAAGTTATCATGGGTATCTCTGAGAGTCTTCACGCATTTTCCGTTTTGGCTTAAATCCCAACAACGTATTGTTTTATCATCCGACGCGGAGAGAAGGTATTTACCTCCGGGATGAAAAACAATTGCTCGGACCCAGTTATCATGGCCTTTGAGGGTCATAAGGCAAGGCCCACGCGAAGGCCAAATTTTAATAGTCTTATCTCGCGATCCAGTTGCCATGAATTCAGCTGCACTTGCTGAATACGATTCCTTGGTTGATCCAGCTAGGTACCGGTAGGAAGCAGGCGGTGCGATCGCGCAGCACTCAATGAAATTGTCGTGGTCCGTTACGGTTAGCTCACGCCCAGGCTTCATTGTCGACAGATCCCATAAACAAAGAGTCCTATCATCCCCGGTAGAGAGGAGGTATTTTCCATCAAGAGAGGGGTAAATATCTCGTACCCACTCCGTATGCCCTTGTATAGTCTTTACGCAATACCCAGTAGTTACATCCCATAGTCTCACAGCCGTATCTTTGCTTGCACTTGCAAGTAGGCTACTGTTCGGTATGAAACGGACGGCACTAACAATATGTTCATGACCTTGCAAGGTCCGGATGTTCTTATAACCGTCGGCTGGGTTCCATAGCTTCACAGTAAGATCCGAGCTGCAGGATGCAAGAAGAATACCAATCGCACCGGGAACGCAACCATAATCTAGGCCTCGAACAGCCCTGGTGTGGCCTTTGAGTGTCATTTCCAGCTCTCCCAGTTCCCAATCCCATATTTTAATCGTGAAATCGTCGGAGCCGGATGCGACTGAGGAATAAGTGGGGTGGAAGGCGAGACAATTGATAGCGTCGCGATGAGACTGAAGGGAATATCTGGAGTTCTGTGGAAGCCAAGAAGTGGGGTCTTGTTTGCGAGTTGCGAGAGAAGCGGGCGTTAGGCTGTCGAGCTCATATTGTAAAGCTTTACCCCGAGATTCGAGCTCCATGATCTAGGAGGAAGAGGTTAGTCCTGGAACAGCGAAAGCGGTAGATCCGCAAGATTGCCTTGCCTTTTTCTGCAGCCGGGCAGTACTGATCCATTTTTTCTCAAGAAGCGCTTCATACTTTTTAACCGTGGTAGCATCAAAATCACATTCTGCGATCCCTAACTCCTCTCTCAGGGTGGCAGCAGTCGCCAGAAGGCCGTTTGCGGATAAATATGCTATGATAGATTTGTGTCTGCAAAGAAGCTCAAAAATCAGCGTGGGAAATAATCACCAGGTCTTGTCCACGAAGGTATACACTTACAGTTCTTCGGCTTGATTGTTGGTGAGTAGGCGGGCCATATCTCTTCATAAACCATTCCTGGCCCTATATAATTGCAGCATTAAAAAGAAAACCTAATTAAGGACCGGAAGGAAAGAGGGACTAGCATGCGGTGTCGTTAAGAAGCTAGAATGTTTGCTTTGTGAATATGTTAGAACAGAGATATTTTACTGCCGTGGTGCTGAAGAGGACAATGCATGTATTCAGAGTGGTGAGAATTGGTGGTTATAAATAATGACTAGATTTTAACAGAGTCAGCTGTCTGCACTGATCCTTAGAGTCGTCTATAACTAGTAGATAAGTATACTCGGCATGCTGTATGGCAGATGTGTAGGTAGGTGGGCAATGTTGTGGTCACCTGACAGGGTGATGTAATGGGCCTGTACTACGGAGTAGTGAGTTAACGACAGAGCACGGAGTATAGAATGGTAGTGAACTACCTGTTAGTCTTTCGTAGCTAAAAGCCATTAAATATACATAATAGAAAGAGAATAAAACATAGAAATTGGTAGGATTAATTGAAAGATTATCTAGAAAATCTAATGGCTTAATATTTAGTTACTTGTAATTGACAATTCTTTATATATTCCTCAAAATTCACCTAGGCTCTTTTGCTCTTTATGAAAATAAGTTAGAATAAAATTATTAAAAACACATTAAACAGTTTAAGAATACCTAAAGATTTATTTTATTATCCAAGCATACGATTTTGCAGAGCAATTGAGGGTTGAGACGTGTCACTGCAAAAACAGGGTGCCAATGACAAGGCAATGTAACAGTTGGGTACACATTATAGAGCGCAAAGGACGAATTTCAGGGCTTCTTCTGCGAATTTAGATACATATTTGAATGACTGGATTGAAGATCGCTGATTATTGTTGTTCTACTCGATGTTAGTCTTGTTGTTTTAGGATAACTATTTTACCCAGAGTTGTTTCATATCATTAATTATTGTGTCAATATAATCTCCAGCAGCACTGAGACGTAGGATGATACCGATTGCTCGATAAATTCCAAGTAGCTTCGCCGAGAGTGGATCAATGGTGCAATTTGGCGAAAGGAGTTAGATTCGGGTGGCTGGAATCCCGCGGACATTTTTGCTTCATTCTATAGTCCAATCTAAATTAGAAATAGTATGGAATGGAATTAGATCTTTGGTTGTGTCGAATTTGAGTAATTCCCCCTGACTTTTGACACAATTGAATGTGGGATGATATGTGCTACCTTGAGGTATGAATAATTATTAGATCCGTAGGTATGGTGTTAGAAGTGACCATCTGTTGATAGGATCCGTCTTTGTTGAATCTCTCTGCCACTGTCTCTTTAGCAAAAACTTGGCTTACAAGACACCGATAATGGTCACGGATGAGACAGCGGCGCTGGAGGGTCGACAGTCGAGTAGCGATTCCCATTTTTTCCTCGGGATTGGCAGATAAAAATGCGGGTATATGTTATGGTGTTTTATTTTCCGGTGCTCTCACTATACAGGAGCAAGGTCAATTATGTGTGAAAAAAAGCCTATCCGAAACAAGGTAAATTGAAATCGAGAACAGAAGAAAGACTGCACATACACGGTAGAAAGAAATACCTGGACAGGAGTTCCGCAAATAAATCCAAGGCTCATTCAACCTTCCTCTTCTGTGGTGGGCAGAAGATGGCCCGAAGGTAAGAAACCGAGAGAGTCCACTAGCAAAGACATTAGATGCATTTTCTAGTGACTGAGGGCTCAGATAAATGATGAAAAACAGTCGCAAGAACTTGTCCTTTGCTTCTGAGTACTGATAGATTAAACGAACAAGGGGTACCTTCTTATAAGGCTTAGTCCACTGTTGCTGTTCGCAGTGGCTCATAAATTGGGAAAGATCTTCTCGGACTGTTCCCGTTCGTTTGGGCCCAGAGTCTCCTGCATGCTGGCCGTGGGCAGTGATTATGGGCCTCTCTTGTTTTGACGGTGGTTATGGTGTCAGAAGCTAGAAATCGCTTGATCTGCGTTGGCCGTTGATCGGCCAGACTTGATTGTGGGCCGCACCGGAAAGTTTCTTGTGACGCCAACCAGCTCATGGTTAGTCATTCCGAGGATCGCTTTTTGCCGGCAACCAGGGCTGGATTTATTCACGAGGTTATCCTCCAGGCCTTTCTTTTGCTAACTTCACGTTGGGACTGGGTGTTGGGCGCTTCTTTCCGAAGTTTGCGGAGTTTACGGAGCATACATAACTAGGTTGTGTCCTGGTTTACAGTTTGGGGATTTCCCAGTCCTCCCAAGTGGATTTTTTGTTATAACCGTCAGCCTTGAGAGAGTGCCTGCCAATATTTTGTTTGACTGCTCACACACCAAATAATAGCAGCATGCCCGGTCCTGCTACCGACAGTACAGCACCATCGCAACAAGAAGGCAGCCGAGAGAACGAGTCGAATAGAGGCGCAAGAGGAGCTGCCCGTGGACGAGGTCAAGGCCGGAGAAGACGTGGCGGGCGAGGGACTAGTGCTCAAACTGTCCCCGAGTGTGTACAATCTTCAGGAAGGGCTCGGGGGGGACAGAATTGCGCATCAAGCAGGAGAGAAAGAGGGCCACGGCCACAGCAGAATGGCACACTCAGCGAAGTTGTCTCCTCAAGAGTGTTCATTGGGGGATTAACAAGACCCAATGGGAATGGGAGTACACAAAATGACTTGTGTGGAGAAGCAGCTTTGCTACGCCCTGATGCACCGGCGTTTGTACCCGGTGCTTCATCTGCCACCGTTTCTCCGACGGCCCCCCCTCCAACGAAGCGCGAAAAGAATATACCAAAGTCCAAAAGGGCAAAATCGATGGCAGAGGACATCACAACCCGGATACATGAGGATATACTGAATGGCATTTATGAGTGTCCCATTTGCACAATGGGGATAGGAAAGTGGTCAAAAATGTGGTCGTGCAAGTGTTGTTGGACAGTTTTTCACTTTGGCTGCATACAAAAATGGTCGAATAACGAAGGTTCCGCAATGGGGCGTCCGAGAAGCGAAGAGGGTCCTGATTCGCAAGCTCGGCAATGGAGATGCCCTGGCTGCAACCTACCGCAGGATGAAAGACCCATAGTTCACCTCTGTTGGTGCGAAAAGGAAATGGAACCTCGATCATTACTGGGCTTGCCACCAAATTCTTGTGGTCAAACCTGCTCTAAGTCTCGAAATGGCTGTCCTCACCCCTGCGATTCCGTCTGTCACGCTGGGCCATGCGCCCCCTGCCAAGCTATGGGCCCTATTCAACCTTGCTTTTGTGGGCGACAAGAATCTACGAAGAAATGTGCTGATACGAATTACGAGAAAGGATGGAGTTGTGCTGAAATTTGTGGTGAATTGCTTCCCTGCCTCTGCCACACTTGCCCACGGCCCTGTCATGAAGGGTTATGCGGTGCATGTCGGGATTCGGTCCATGCAAAATGCTATTGTGGAAAGTTATCGAAGGAAATGCTATGCAGGGAGACAGAAGAGGAGAAGGAAAGCACGCAAGAAGTATCCGGAGAAGTGTATACGTGGAAAGGAACTTTCAACTGCAAAGCCATTTGTGATCGCACTTATGATTGTGGGATTCACCGATGCACCAAACCCTGTCATCCTCAGAAAAGGACAGTACCACATTGTCCGACTTCTCCAGATAGAGTCAAATATTGCCAGTGCGGGAAATCGCTGCTTTCCGAATTGCCAAATGTGAAACCTCGCGTTTCTTGCGACGACCCAATTCCGACGTGTGAAAAGCCTTGCGGGAAGCTTATGGCCTGCAAGCATCCTTGTCCAAAGGTTTGTCATAGTGGCCCATGCCCGCCATGCTTGATGACAGTCGATATCAAATGCCGCTGCGGACGAGTATCATCGAAGTCGATCTGCCACCAGGACCTGGATGTACCTCTTCAATGTCTGCGTGTTTGCAAAGCCACGATGAATTGTGGACGTCATACATGCGGCGAGCGGTGTTGTCCCGGTGAGCGTCAATCAATCGAACGGCAGTCTTCTAAACGAAAACCAAAACCTTTTTCCCTCCATCCTCAGCGTTTGCTTGAAGAAATCGAAGCGGAACATATCTGTACCCGAGTTTGTGGACGTCCCTTAAAATGTTCTAAACATCAATGCCAAGAATTATGTCATAAAGGAATTTGCAAAACTTGTCCTGAGGCTATTTTCGAAGAGATTCCATGTCATTGTGGGAGGACTGTTCTGCACCCGCCATTACCGTGTGGAACCACCGCACCCACCTGCCATTTTGACTGCGAGCGGCCTAAAGCGTGTGGCCATCCGCAGACTCCACATAACTGTCATATGGATAATGAGAACTGCCCAAAGTGTCCATATCTTGTGGTGAAAAAGTGTCTTTGCGGGAAAATAACATCGAAGCAGCCCTGTTCACAGCCAAATGGTCAATGTGCTTTTATGTGCTCTAAACCCTCTAAGTGCGGAGCCCACACATGTCAAGGCTTTTGCCATAGGCCGGGAGAATGCGCGGACTCCACTCGGCCTTGCCAAAAGACATGTCGAAAGCGTTTAAAATCCTGCGCACACTATTGCCAGGAGCTCTGTCACGCTCCGTATCCATGTCCTGAGTCCACTCCATGCTCCTTTAATGTTACTGTTACCTGTCCCTGTGGAAGAATCAAGGAGGAAAAGAAATGTGGTTCAACTCATAGTAAACCAAAATTTCACGATGATAAGCTGAAGTGTGACGATGAGTGTGCGCGATTGCAACGAAATCGAGACATAGCGGCTGCCTTGAGAGTTGACATTGACCCACTAACAACGACAGCGACCGGAACACAGCCACGCTCACACGATACGGAAACTTTTCCATACTCTGACGAAACCCTTGACTTATACATCCAGTCATCTTCTTCTTCCACCTTAGCGACTCTTCAGGGATTTGAAGCTAGTCTCCATTCCCTGGCAATACAAACGTCTCAGAAATGTACCCGATTTTCGCCGTGTCGTTCTCAACTTCGAGCGTTTATTCACTCCCTGGCAGCGGACTGGGGATTCCAGTCAGAAAGCTTTGACCCTGAGCCAGTTCGACATGTTCTTGTGAGCAAAACTCAAGGATGGATTTCGCCAGGTGTTGCCACAGGTAGCCAACCGCGGATCGGCATTCGAGGTTTGAGCGTCGCCGAGTGTATTAAGTTACGAGATCGTGAGTGTTCGAAAAAGAAAGACACAAAAAAGAATGCTGCCGAAAACGCAGGGCGCAAAACGCAGCAGGAAGATGACGAGTGGACAGTGACTGAGACTAAAGATGAGTTTGGTTGGTCAAGAGTGGTATCTAAAAAGAAACCGGAGTGGTGGAATGACAGCGATATTCAGAAAACGTTCTCTCAACCAGGAAACCAACAGTCTGGAAATGGTGAAGGGAGAAGTAACTGGTTTAGCGGCGGGAGATTTGGGAGCCTCGTTTTAAAGAGCGGTGTTGGTAGGGGTAAGGAGATGGCTACCTCCCGTTCATCCGATGGCTCAAAGGCTCCAGTTTTTTTAGCGAAAGGTGAGAAGGTCGTTGAAGACTGGGAAGAAGAGATTAAGAAGGAAGAAGACGAGCAGAAAGAAAATGGAAAGGTCACAGAAACAACCGCTACTCCTGACCTACCCGACGATTTGCCATGGGATCACGGGTTTGAAGGGGAGGGTGAGTCCCATGTTGTGGAATCGGGATTCTGGATAGCGCCAGGAAAATATTAGTTAATTTCAGCCTGGATCCGTAGCGATGGGAGATTTAACTGCCCTCCATAGAATCAATAGTATGCAATCAGTGCAATTGGGTTATATGGGGATGCATGCCTTGGCTGTCTTGATATTGAGCAGCCCCCACCGGAATGCATGACAAATGCGCGTCCAGCTCTACGGCATTCATCGACCATGCATCCTTTCAGAGTCCCCGATCACCTTTTCTTCTTCTCGGCCTTATGGTCTCGGGGTTGGATGCCATCACGCTGGCCACATGGCTTGCTGCCGCTCACTGGCCGACTGCGTCGCACACATACGGAGCGGCTGTGGCCTGTCATACCATCGCGACACCGCATGCCAGCCCAGTCCAGCTCTCAACCCAGGCCAGATCAGTTGATAGCATCACCCGCAAACACTGCGAGGGTCTAAGGGTTTGATCTGCTCCCCTCCGTAGACGTCGTTTGTCGGCCGGGATCAAGGATAAAGCGTGGGCCGGAGAAGTCCAGGGATGGCGGACGGGGGCGGGTGGGGATGGGTGGGAGATGAGATGCACTACTGGGCGTCGCGCCTCTCTGGCTGTCCGTTTCTGGGCTCTGCTAACGCTCGTCGACAAGCCTGGATGCCGAGGAAGCTGCGGCAGCCTTGGTCTGCCCGTTTCGCTGACTTATTCTCCGTATAGCGGGTTAGTTCATTGGGCCAACCTTCAGCTAGTTAGGCAATTCAACTAACTCGTTAGTCAAGCTGTGATCAACAACCCTATCTCGACATCGAAGCATCTCGGTTGGGCCACCCTCTGCGCGGCTGACAGCGTGCCTCTTGTGGTGTTGCGCGTTGTCCGCTCGCCGTCTGCTTTTCGTATTCTTCTGTTGTGTTGCCGTCCCATGTCTCTTTAGACTCGCGCGTGCCCATCGATCTAGACAGTCCAATGCAACGTCGTCCACTCTTCGCCAGGATCTCCGCACAAGACTCTTGCTTTCTCTCCGTGGCTTGGCCTGGGATCAAGGCCTTTTTGCTCCATCGCCTAGCCGGACTAGCAGCTGTTTTTGCCAGTTCTGTTCGTGTGCTAGTTCCGCTGCTTAATTTAATAATAATACCGCCAAACAATCCTTCCTGGGACCTCGCGGGAGCCAGGATTAGCACGCCCCCGCTGCTGCACGGAATTGGGCGCTTGGGAAAGCCCGGTGTCGGCTTTGTGCTTCCGTGCTAATATTTATTCCAGTGGTTCCGCCGCTGTGATCGGAGGGTTTTTCTTTTTTAGAATGCTGCACGGCGTCTTCGTCATGGTGTCCCCGGCTGTTTTCCTCCTTGTCGTTGGCTTTTATCTCCTTTCTGCTATTCCTAACTTTTCTGGCGCATCGCCCTTAAGATGGGATTCCCGGCATGCCGATGATGGGGCTGGAAGGCCCGGCGTGGCCCAGGAACCAGATGGCTGGGCAAAGCACGACGCGCGTGTGGGCGCTGTGGCTAGTGAAAGCTCCATATGCAGCGAGATTGGGACAAACATGCTGAAACTGGGTGGTAATTCCGCTGATGCTGTGAGTGATCTTTTCGCAACGGGGCTTCGAGTTCTGGCCTCGTTCGCGAGTTTTGGCAGATATATGGAATGTCACAGTTGTGCTGATTCGACCATGCTTGCTGTGTTAGATGGTAGCCACCGTCTTTTGTGTCGGTGTAGTTGGTATGTCATTCAAGCATATTTGGCGCCTGAAAACCGGGGTTAAGTGCGTCTTGTAGGAATGTATCACAGCGGCATTGGCGGCGGCGGATTCATGCTTATTCGGGCACCAAACAATACCTATGAATTCGTCGATTTCCGTGAAACCGCGCCTGCTGCGGCATTTCAGGACATGTATACCAACAACACGGACGCCTCCATGCTATCCGGCCTAGCGAGGTATGATGCGCCTTATGACTGATCCTGACGTATCCTGTCAAGCTTGTTGTTGACCGATGGACTGTTCTCTTCTAGTGGCGTGCCGGGTGAGCTGAGAGGGCTCGAGTATTTGCATAAGAAATATGGGTTTCTTTCGTGGCGCACGGTGATGAAGCCCGCTATCAGTCTTGCGCGATGTGGCTTTCCGGTCACTCAAGACCTGGTGCATTACATGAAGGCAGGGACCAAAGCAAGGGATTTCCTAACACAAGATCCGACTTGGGCGCTCGACTTCGCTCCCAACGGGACCCGCCTTGGGCTTGGGGATACGATTACGCGCAAACGATATGCCAACACTCTAGAAACGATCTCGAAGCATGGCGCCGATGCGTTTTATACGGGGTCCATTGCGGCGACTACGATCAAAGCTCTCCAGGCAAACAACGGCACCATGACTCTGGACGACCTGAAAAATTATAAGCTTGTTATTAGAAAGACCGCGCAAATTGATTATAGGGGCTACAAGATCACGACTGCGACCGCTCCATCCAGTGGACCTATAATCTTGAGCGCTTTGAACATTCTGGAAGGTTATGGCGATTTCTTCGCCCCAAATAATGTCAATTTGAGCACTCACCGTTACAACGAAGCTATGAGATATGCCTATGGCCAAGTGAGTTCCGGTAGTCGCCTTGCTTAATTACATTACGTCGCTGACAAGGATGTAGCGGACACACTTTGGAGACCCGCTGTTTGTGCAAGGTCTGGATCAATATCAAGACAAGATCCTCAACAAATCGCTCGCTTTTAAGCTCCGGGCCAATATATCGGATGCAAGGACTCAGAATATTTCGGTCTATGACCCCTCTGGGTTCGAAAGTCTTGAAACGTACGTACACTCGGGGCTCCAAAGAAAACACTAAAAATATCCAAAATGCCTCTAACATATTTATTCAATATAGCCCTGGAACATCTCAAATGTCTGCAGTCGACCGGTCCGGCCTCGCGATTTCCTTGACAACAACTGTTAATTTGTATTTCGGCAGCAAATTCATGATCCCGGAAACTGGTATTATCATGAATAACGAAATGAACGACTTCTCTATCCCCGGTTCAGACAACGCTTTCGGCTTTCGCCCTTCGCCGTCCAATTATATCCGCCCTGGAAAGCGTCCGCTCTCATCTATGTCACCAACCATAGTCACCCATCCTAATGGCACGGTATATTTTATTACCGGTGCTGCTGGTGGATCTCGCATCATCACCTCTACTCTGCAGAGTATTGTTAGCGTCCTTGATCGAAACATGACGGCTCCACAGGCCCTCGCTGCGCCGCGTTTGCATGACCAGCTGGTCCCCAACGTATCCGAACTTGAGGACTCTTTTGACAAGGGCGTCATTGAATTTTTGAAGAGTCGTGGACATGTTGTCAAACTTGTCGAACGGGCGGCAAGCTCGGTACAGTCCATTAGAGTCCTGCCGAACGGTACTTTCGAAGCGGCAGGAGAGCCGCGACAGGCCAATTCCGGCGGTATAGCGATATAGAAAGATCACATATACTGAGCATTATACCTGTTGGTTTCCTCTTATCAGCATTACGTGATCATGATCATGATTATTTCCATATAATGAAGGTTTTCTAGTCCCATACCTGACGAGACATGTATATAGTTATGGTTTTGGACTGTATAGTTAATCTTGACGTCCACAGCATTAGATAATAGAAAGTTTAAAAATGTTTCACAGTCATCCTACAAGAAATTTTGAAGGTCACTTACCTCTTCCTAACAGCTGAAGATACAAAAAATAAATCGTCTGACCAAGCTGAGACTCGAACTCAGGACCTTTTCGGTGTTAACGAAACGTGATAACCAACTACACCACTCGGCCGGGCTTACGAAACTCCGGGCCTTTTAATATTATCACAAACCGCATTGGGGGTCCCTGATGTCCTCAAATAAACGACCACTAAGCACTATTGTGCATAAGGATAAAAGAAAAAGGATATTAATTACGGAATTAAGTTATGTCCAGAAATATAGCATTTAAGTGCCTTCGCAGTTATCATAGGAGTCATGGCAATTTGGATATAGGTAAAAAAAACAATCCCAAAGGAACAACATTCGTGTTCCTACCATTAAAGTCAAAATTATATATTCAACAGAGCAGCACCAAGTGCCACAGCCGCTGCCATATGTGCGTTGGCGGTCTCTAAAGCTGCAGCAACACCCTTTGTTGGCGAAGCGGTTGTGGTTGTGGTTCCCCCTGTTCCACCTCCACCTCCACCTCCGCCGCCGCCGCCGCCGCCGGTGCCAACGGATTTAGATGGTTCTATAGACCCGGTGGAAGTTGGGCTCGGCTGTCCACTGGTTAATGAGTCAACCTGGGAAGAGGATGCACCGGCGAAGGCAATAGGCTGGTCGTTGGCTTTGGGGTCTGGCTTGATATCCGGGTTCTCTGGGTTTAGAACACTAAGAGAGAATTAGCCGCTTTGGTCTACTAACTAAAATGATGGACATACTCTGATATAATATGGAGAACTCCGTTGTTTGTTAGGAGATCCGACGATAGAACCTTAGCGGAATTCACAAATGCGGTGCCATTGACCACGGTCAGGTGGAGATCTTTTCCTGCCTCGGTCGGCAAGGTCTCATTCTTCATTTCTGTCGAGTAGATAACATTTCCTTGGACAACGTGATATTGTGCAATACGGCCAAGATTCTGGGTCGAAATGTTCGAGAAGACAGAGCCAACTCGAACAAATCCTTCATCGTTCGGGGCAAACACAGTGACGTCCTTTGCGCCATTCACATCATCAGAGACACTGCCGTTTGTTACAGCGCCAGTGAAGGCACGCAGGTTGGCAAAAGTTGCAGTCGTTGTAACGGACTGAGGGAGCGTTAAAACTCCATTGATAACATGGACCACTCCATTGTCGAACGAGCGGGTCTATAGCAATGATCGTCAGGGGCAATATTTAAATAATTTGGCACATATGACAATTCCATACCTGGTTTACGAATTGGACGTCGTCGTTAAGTCCAGTAATGCAATGAATGGAATTATCACGTCGAGAAATGCGAACGACTTGGCCGTTAGAGACATTGGCAAACGTGGAATCGTCCAAAAGGGTGGGGATAAATTGGTCATTATTCTTGAAGTTGCTCTCGTTATATACTCCCTTAAGAACATGATACTTAAGGATCCCTGTGATTAGAGACGAATTCCCTAAGGGCGCAGATCCATTTGATTGAGTGCCAACCAAATCGTTAAACGCATCATTATTAGGTGCAAGAACTGTAATATTTTTAGGGGTGTCGAACGCAGATTGAAGCGAGGAATTTTGCGAAATGAAAGCCGCCATATTGGATAGCTCGGGAATATCTGAAATTGTCTCAGAGAAATTGAGAGCTAAACCCTCGCTAGCGAAGGTGGCCGCAGCCACGACATGTCTGAGCTTCATTTTGATAAGATTTTAAAGCATACGAGGGAATAGGTGGTTTAACAAAACACATGAATGAAAGGAAGATGTAGGATGATCTCGAAGAAAAGGCGACTTTCTATTTCTAAGATCCTAAGAAACAGCTATGAGGTCATGTAAGACGTCTGGACAAGGCGAGCTGGTCTGATCAAAAATTTGAGCTTGTTTGGCAACCAAAAAAACGATCAGAGGCGATCCAAATATTGCCTCAAGGAAGTATTGTACGCGTAGATATGTGGAGCACATATATACACAGTACTACAAAACGTCCAGGAGAGTAAGCACCCCAGGAAGAAGGCATCATACAGATAGCTTGGTCTAGTTCTAGCACTTAATTCCATTGGTATCATCTGGCAAAAAAGAGAAATGAGAGGCCATTATCCTAAGAAGCATCTCTGGCATTGAACATAGAACACGCCCTGTACATGCATGTGCATGTGTGTTACGTAAGTACGATAACGGGCGATATCGAGACATAATAAACAACTTGCACTTGAGTTTGGACAAACAGGTTATGCGTAGCGAGGGTGAACCAACACACTAGAGCTTCGAGCGTGCCGAAGTTGAAATTCGGTTGGAGATGACGTGGAGGCGCGGAGATAAGCTTTCCAATCCCCGAGTCACGTGTGTCGCTTTTTCCGACGCCAAAACGAGCTTGTGAGAGAGGAGAGCAAAGTTTGCTTTTGAATGAAAAGCAGCACGCCCCAGAGCGCTGATGGCCAAAGGCCGTACCAAGTCGCCCTACTTTCCCCAGAAGAGGACTGACCAAGCTTCATGCCTCCCCTTCCCGCCTCTCGCGGCGCCGTCGTTCGGTTTGATCCAGGAGATCCTGGCACATGACCCCTTTCGCCTACTCATCGCAACGATCTTCCTCAATCGTACCAGGGGAGAGGTGGCCATTCCAGTGCTGCACGCTGTTTTCGAGAAATATCCTACGGTGAGCTCGCTGGCCAGCGCAGATGTCGATGAACTTGTGTCGATGATACGGAAACTGGGGTTCCAAAACGCTCGTGCGAATAAATGCATTGGAATCGCACAGCTGTGGCTGGCATCTCCGCCAATAAAGGGAAGACGCTTCCGGAAGTTGCATTACCCGAATAAATCTGATGGCTTGGATATAAAGCCCGGGGAGTGCGTTGACGATCATGACGACCGTGTTGCTTGGGAAGTCGCCCATTTTCATGGTATTGGTGCTTACGCGATTGACAGCTGGAGAATATTTTGCCGCGATGTACTCCGCGGCGAGGCATCGGACTGGAACGGGGGAGGGTCCGACGATGGCTTCGTGCCGGAGTGGAAGTCTGTGCAGCCGAAGGATAAGGAGCTTCGAGCGTTTCTGACTTGGATGTGGCTGAAGGAAGGCTGGGCTTGGAATGCGGAGACTGGGGAGAAAACGCGCGCGACCAAAAGCATCCGGCGGATGGCTCGCCGGGGTGGCCTCGTTGTCGAGAAGAACGGCAGTTGGATATTAGAAGAGGTCGCCCTCGCCACGAAGTCTCCAGCACTTGCGGCCTCCCAGTAGCGATTTTGGAGAGAAGCATAACATCTCTTGGTTATCTGCTTGCCATATACTCATATTTTGATCCTAGACGTTGGATCTTGTCAGGATTGGCGGGACTAGACAGCGGATATAGTATTCGTATTAAGGCCATTATTCTTATATTTCCGGCCAGCCTCAGCGTTGTGGACCCGTAAACGGCGAGGAGCAACAATACAGTTAAGCTCTGTGGAGGGTCTTGGAGCGTGGGCGAAGGGAAGCGCCGACAGGCGTCAGCTCAACGTCTTCGCGGCGGTCAAGCATAGTCAGATACTAGACGACGGCCGGCATGGGCGCGCAAACCGCCCAGCGAGCGTCGTGGCGGATGGCGTCAGGCCGCCGATGTGTATGGCTGCGATTGGAGGGCGAAGCGTCGCCGTCTCGCCCGCCAACCTCAACGCCGCACGCGCGCGCTCGCCCGCTCCCTCTCGCTTCACCACCAGCGTCGTCCTGCGTCAATCTCGCCCACAGCCGCTGCCCGCCCGCCCAACCACGCCCACCGGCCCTGCGTTGACGAGACCTGATGCCTGGCACCTGTGCCGACCCGTTGCGTGTGGCTGGATGTCTTGGAGGCCGCTGGGCCAACTAGCACCGCCCAAAGATCTGTCGCGCCACGCCATTCAATCCTTCGCTGCTCCGCTATGTTGCCCACAGCCAAACACCCAACCTCAAGCCGCCTTCGCGACCGCTCCCTCCCTCGATCCCACGCCAGCGACTGCGACGACAACGAGACGCCCGCCGCCAGCACTGCCAGTCGCTCCAAGATCAAGGCACGCCGCCGACGCTCGTCCCACGGTACCGCCAGACGTGCCTCTGCCGCCTCCGTAAAGCATAGAGTTCGCCGGCCCGATACCGCCCACCGCTCGTCCACCTCGAGTTTGCGGAAGGACGAGAGCTCGATGCCAGGCGTCGATGCCAGTTACGCTGCGTCTCTGCTGAGCTCCAGGGCCGGCAGGCCGTACCCCGCCTTCTCGAAGAGCCACTGCAAAGAGGCGGTGGGAAGCCGGGAAAATGTCGACGCCGGCATCAACATCCTGACGCCCGAGCCCACAGACATCGCCGGTGAAAAGACGACGGATGACCGGCCCTCGAGCCGGAACAAGAACAATCAAGCCAAACGCCAGAGCACCGCCACCAATGCCACCCGTCCTCCCAGCCCGCCCTTAACAAATGACGAGAATCAGCCTTCCCGAAGAAGCACCCCCAGCGTGCGGATAGCGGATGTGAAAGGAGCTGCTAAGGCTGGAGACGACACCAAGAAGCCAAAGAGCCGGCCGCACAGCACGAGATCGTCGTCAAGTTTGAAACGAGTCTCCTCCGAGCACGCTCGAAAAAATGGTGAAGCGATACCGCGACCCAGTACGCCGTCATCGAAGTTTAAGATCTTCGACGCCTTTCAGCTTTCACACCGATCCCCCGCAGCGTCGTTAAAACAAAAACAGCAGGCAAAGGATGACAAGTCCAAACGCTCCAGCAAAGCCAGGAATAGCATGTCATCCACATCCTCTGTATCGGATGATGCAACTGTTTTGGGGCCCAAGCATAGCTCGATGACTTCTCATCAGAAAACCTCATCCTCACTGCGAAGTAAGAAGTCTACCGGGAGGCCTGGGACTTCCGCGGGTGGAAATTCATCTCCTCCAAATGTTCCGCCATTCAATGAACGCGAGATCACCCCAGTTGCGAGTGTAATCCATCCACCGCCTCCACCAACTCATGACGCATCGCTGACAGCACCGAAGGTTGACTATCTTTTACAAACTGGAGGGCTGCATTATACAGTACCACGAAATTTCCTGAGCGCCTCCGGCTCGCCAAACGTCGCTCAACAATCTGTTGATCCAGTAGCTGTTGGAGCCAGACTTTTCGAGCCATTTTCGAGACTGCTGGATGATTACGGGGCTGTATTGTCCAAACGCGGCTCGCTTGCTGTTGCTACTGGGTACAGATCTGTTGCTAGACGCTTATTGGATAGGCTAGAGGCAGTCTTTGCTCGGGACATCTCACAAGAGGTATGCGAGTGTGTCATGTGCGCTGAAACTGATCTTCCAGATGAGGGTGGTGGTGTTAGTTGGGGTGAAGTACTGGAACTTGTCTCTGGCCGTAGCGAACTACCTCCTTGGCCACCATTTCAGATCCATACTGAACCGGATTCGGCTGATATAGGCGGACCAGCACACGTCCCCATGCAGAAACTCGACATCGACGTTCCCAATGCTCTAAGAGAGCACTATATTCAGCAATCGCGCAAGACGAAGCAAGCGGTGGATGACTGGCTTTCTCGTCAAGCCCAAGATACAGCCAGTGCGCCCGAAATGATCGACGACGAGACACTAGCCTTCGCGATGTTGACCTACTTGAACCCAGAGCAAAGAGAACTATTCAGCAAATTCCTAGAACTTCCTAATTCACCTCCCCTTTCGAAATCAACTACCGCGAACCCTCGGGCAAGGCCTGAAGCTCTAGTCCTTGGTGGCGTCGCAATACAGCGCCTTTATCGTCTTACTTCGGAGCCTAGAGATCCTGACACGGCGCTTTACATGGTCAATAACCCTAGTATGCATCACGTTTTAGCTACACTTTCTGCTATAAGCAATGACGAATGGGATATTCTCATCTCAGGGCGTTTCGATGGTTTCCTTCGCAGTGGAGCTGAGGACCATCTTCCCCAGAGCTCCATGCCAGCCGCTTCGTGGAATGGTAAACGCGGTATGCCCCGAGGAGTTAACGGCAGTGGTATGTACCCAGCTAGCCAGCTGTATGGTCGTCGTCATGGGGCTGCTTCATTTGGTGCTCCAATTTCCGTAGACGAGGAAAATGAAATTGCCGCATTAGCGGAAATTGAACGAAATATTTACGTGGGCATGGAAGCTCTTGAGGACGCATTCGAGGCTCTGCATTACAAAGCGGAGAGTATTCGTACCATCCTGCGCGAACGGAATGCTGGTCTAACAGTCGCTAATCAAGCACGACGTGGAGGCCTTGGCTCCTTGGGCTCCGCAAACGGAGCTGCCAATTCGGGTTTCTCCAACCTGGCGGGAACGAATGATTGTGAAACAGATGATGGAATCGACGACACTTTATCATCTATAGCCCCATCAGAATCTGCAAGTAATATCAGTTCAAGCCGGAGACGCCGACCGAAGAGACGTACCGAGAGACGCACACCATCAGTTGTTGGTGAGGAAAATGAGGATGAAGTGCACTATTTGAACATTCCAAAAAGAATTAGTACGACAAACTCAGGACGGAGGAGATGACGACGACGAAGCGCCATAGCCTGATCTTCGCCTTCCACTACCCTTGCTCACTTAACTTCTTCACTTATTCTGCTTCAAATATCATTGGAATTGGGGTCACGTCATATCAAACCCTAAATTAGCAAAAAATTATGAGAAACGACGGAATTATGATACCATCCAAAGCCTGAAAGCGACTGTGATTTTGCCTTGCCCTTTTTTTTTATTCTTTTAAACCAGAGTATTTGATGTTCTTGCATTTAGCTATGGCTGCCTTTTGAATTCCCGCTATCCCAGCAACCCCCCTCTTGCTTCACCTAAATGGCATGCAAATAACGGACCTGCTTGGGAGCCGACTACGGTCCGGTAATCTATACAATGTACAGAGCCCGACGAGATGGTAAATAGCTCAATCTCCCATTTGTACCCATTAATTAGGAATATCCCGTTCAGCTTTTATACTTCTGAAATGTATTTTCCTAGTACTTTTGATTCAGAATAGTGGCCATAGCATACTCCAAACCAGTTGGTTCAATAATACATACTAGGCATGAAATTGAAAGCTAGGTATTATTTTTGGACGGTCTTCCTATCCTCTTTTATGATGATAATAGTAGTGGTTCAAGTTGATAACAAACACATTCTTTAGCCTAGTGTTCATGGGGCTTAGTCAAATGGAGATAGGACAATATGAATGGCACTCGTACGGAGTAGGGAGTGGGCAGTGTTGCTTAATGGGGAGGAAAGTACGGAGTAATCAACCAACGAGAAAGAACAGAAAATACACGGCAATGAGTATTACTTAGATAAGGAGAGTCAGGATGCCAACCTCGTGCCGTCCAAGACATGACCAAAACTCTTGGTCAAACCCCCCAATTCCAATTCGAACGTCATTGGTAATCTGCCTTCATTGCATCTGGCATTGCGTGCTCCTTTAATCCGGCCACGTTTGATAGGACTCATGCAGCTCCACGAAGAGTTTAAGGCTCCAGACGATAGAGTAAGTCGTAAACACACGATCAGAGCGCTCCACTAATTTTCGCTTCTTGACGTAAATCAGGTCCGTTCCGTTATCCATCAACGTCATCTTTGTTGTTCCCGGTCTGATCGTTCACACAAGGCTTGACATTGTCTGAATATGCCGTTCGCTGTCTGGTATGATCTTCGTAGCCCCGGCATGGCAAACCATTTCCAAGGGGTCGATCATCCCGTTAATGGGGATTGTTATTTTATTTCTCAAATGCTCCGCAACTTGAGCCAGCTGTTCGGAGTTCTCTGTACTCCGTATCAAACTGTTAAATAATTAGATGTCCCACCGGTGATGAAGAAGGATGGGGGCCCTGGCTATTCTCCGTTGAGATCCACCTCATAGGCCAGTTATATTTGGCTGCCTTATCGTTGTTGAGACAGGTGGAGAGACCGAACCCTGTCGTTGACGTGATCTGAGCGTTAGCTATTCTGAGCATTCGATTATCAGCTGGTTAGTTAGCTAGGCGGAAGAGGCAAAAAATCGAGGCAGAAGGTATGTGTTCTACCAAACTCCTTGCATTCTAGTATCCCACATGGAGCCTAAGAAATTTGATCTACGATTGAAAACGCTCACTTGGTAGCGGGCAAATTTGCCAATGCTGCCGAGGGTTTTTGTTTTTTTGCTGTAGACACTTGGCCGCAGTCAGAGCTGAAGAAGAGATGATAGCGATGAGAGATGAAGGATGCGAAACAGCGAGGCCACGCCATCCTAGCCAACTGACTAACTAGCTAGCCGAGCGGCCCGCCCGAAAGAAAACGCTTGGACTGGTGGCCGGCCTCGCTGTTCCACTTGTTTGGCCGGTTGGTTCAGAAAGAGTTTAAGGCTCCTTCATTATTTGAAACGCGGAGAAGCCTCATGCGCAAACGACCGGCGCGGCTCATGGGCTTTGCCCCAGCGTACTCCGTAGGATCGCCAGCGAGAGCATGCCGGCGAACACTCGGGCCTGCATCTTCGGCCTGCCATCGAATGAGGCAGCATGTTTCGCGATGAGAAGGTTGGCGAATCTGGGGAAGCCCTGCAGCTGCCCGTGTGCTCAGACGGGACTTGGCTACATTCTTATTGCGCGGCCCTGGACAATAATACTAATCAGCAAGGTTGCGAGTGAGTCAGTTTAGGAGTGGGTTAAACTAACTAGCCGACGAAGTAACTATGGCTGCTGATCCAGACTGCGGCGGCTACCCTGTTCTGCTGGGGCCAGGGGTTGTCGCTTGAGGAGAAAAACGAGGAGAAGCGTTCGAACAACAACGCGACAGTCGCGCGGGCGACTCGATCACCAGCTCTTTGCGACCAACCTCATTCCACCACTGACGGTGATGATCAGCCCTACTCCGTACATGCTCTGCATCCGTGGCTACTTGGCGTCAAGCTTGTTTGCTCGGAGCCCAGCAACTAACTTACTACCCCCAGAGATACATCTTGGGCCGAAGAGCTTTTATCCGCCGGCCAGCCTAGAGCCATCTCCGAGGCGGACTCTTGACAAGATATGGGTCACGGCCAGATCGAACTCTCTCTCTCTTTACTGTTGCTAACTCCTCTCGTCGCTAGTCTCGCTGGGCGGGGCTCATCAAACAAGCGAACTTTCGGTGTCGCATCGCTAGTGTTGCCAAATTAACGAGAGTGTCTTCTGTCAGGTTGGGTTGCAACGCCCGGCAACGCTGGTCTGCTCACAGACACGCGGAGCCCCTTGGCGTCTTCGCGTTTCGTCGAACTACCCTGTTGAGTAGACGGAGAGGACGACTCGGCTGGAGGATCAAACTTGGGCCGCTGGTGGTTATTATTGCGCCTGGGCACACGGCACGCAAGTACACCCTGCGGGCATTGCTGGCCCTACACAGCAGTGACAAACCGCTAGGGCGCTCGTCTTTGATCTACATTACCCATATGCAGGTCATCCGTGACATGGAGATGCGAAACCAAACTGAGATTGCAACAAAGACCGGCTGTATGGAGTACAGAGTACGGGCCTTTCAGTAGTCGAGCGTTTCGGATGCATGCAGCTGTCAAGCAAGACAAGGGTTCCAAAGTAGACTTTGTCAAACAGCATGTGTCGGGAACAGGGGTTCAAAGAGCGAATATCGACCTCCGCTTCAGGGTCTTCACTGGAGCACTCCTTCCAGGCACAAGGATTTCCGCTGCCTACCATGCATGGAGTCCAGAGAGCAGGTCTAGAAGGCGTCGGGCTTCTCCGCTTGGCTGACGCCTGTAGGCATAGTTATACCCCTTGCACGTCTGGATCTGGGAAATTTACTCAAAGCTGACGTTTCTGCATACATTGTGAGTGTCATTTTTTTGAAGAGATCCATAATCGCGGGCTTCAATCCCATCCATCCGGTTACTCAAGCTCTGACATTCCTTCTCGGGAGCTGGCCAGTGCGAAGCAGGAAGGAGGCTGACGGTTCTCCCTTGTTTTATGCTGTACGTGCGTTTAGAACCATCCTGCCAGGTGGAACAGGTAACTAGCTAAAGCCGAAAAGGGGTCTGACTTCGTACATTTTTAGGATCCGCTCGGATATGTTACCACGGAATCTGAAAAAAGCCTAGTTAAGCGTTAAAGGGTTCGCATCTGCGCCTTTGAGGCTTTCTTTTTCACTTCATGTACCTGAGGAAAACGGCTATGCTAAGAATCCTCGACTGTCTACCACCTCAAATACTTCATTGACAAGCACTTGCCCTTTCTCTCTCTTTCTCTCTCTCTCTCTCTCTCTCTCTCTCTCTCTCTCTCTCTCTCTCTCTCTCTCTCTCTCTCTCTTATGTGACTTCAGATGAAACACGCACAAGACAGCATACTATCATGATTCTGCGCGCCGCGCTCCAATTCATCGTTGAGCAGAGGAGCGCGGAAGATGTTCCTTCCATCGGTCCCCGAAGAATCACCCCATTAGTGATTGACCCTCTACCCTCTGCTCACCGCAATGGTCTCATTGCTGTAGCTGTGGCATCTCTGATCTCAGCCCTCACAACCGTGGGATTGTTCATTTTCATCACCCATCGTCTTATTTTTTGGCGCAAATACCACTCCAGCTACATCGGCTACAACCAATACATTATCCTGATCTACAACCTCCTGATCGCGGATCTTCAAGTGGCCCTTGGCTTTCTTCTCTCCTTGCAGTGGGCTGTGCAAAACTCCATCAGCTTCAAAGATGCCACATGCCCAGTTCAAGGCTGGTTGTTGCAAATTGGGGATCCGGCAAGTGGCATATTTGTGCTGGCAATTGCCCTTCATACCTTCTCGATAGTCGTTTTGGGTAAAAAAATGTCACACCCCGTTTTTATCTGTTTCGTAGTGCTGCTTTGGGTATTTTGTCTTCTGTTGGTGCTGATTCCGATATCCATGTATGGGAAAAATACATTCGCTCCGTCAGGCGCTTGGGTATGAGCTCATCTAATATTTTCCCATATGAAGACCGACTGACTGTCTCTTAGTGTTGGATTGATGAGAAATTTGAAGCAGCACGACTTTGGGGCCATTATTTCTGGATATTTTTTGCAGAATTCGGCTCCATCGCTCTCTATTCGGTCTTATTTTTCTATCTTCGGCGCCAGGTATGCTCCGCCCCACTCATGGGACGTGGCCAAAAAGAGAATTTACGTCGTCTCCGCCGGGTGACGGGTTACATGGTACTCTACCCCTTGGCATATATCGTGTTGTCTTTACCATTGGCAGCCGGCCGCATGGCCATGGCTCGCGGCGAAAGGTTAAACGTTGTATATTTTTGCGCGGCGGGCGCTTTGATGTCTAGTTCCGGTCTTGTCGACGTTGCCATGTATGCGTTTACACGTCGGGCCCTACTTCTGGACTCCCAAATCTCCAACGCGGACCGAACATACAGTTCCACCAGATACCAGATCAACAACAATCACATTGCAACGGTCACTGCAGAAAATTCAACGACTCGCGGCTTTGGTGCTCGACCCCATCATTACAACCATCGACACGGCGATTCTGAACATGTACAATCGACGGAGAATATTATTTCCCAGGAACCGGACCACGAAATGCTAGATGGGATGGGCAAGGTGTACCAGCAAACAACAATTGAGATTACCAGTGAGCCGGCGGATAAAAGTGGCCGGAATCGCTCTGGCGGTGGCTCGTTAACTGGTCCGTCGAGCGACTCGGTGAACCCCACAGATCCGATTGCACCGCCAGGGAGGATTTGGATGCGCCCTAAGTAGAGCTTGAGGCTTGTTGATACCCTTGGGCCCTCCAAATGTTGTTTGCTGGAGAACAAATATTGTTTATGAGTTAACTACATAAGTTACGTGTCACAGGCTGCGTTGCACAGGTGTCTGTTGCCTGTAACCGATGAATACAACCGGAACACCGCTTCTTCAAAAGATATTCAGCCTCGGAAAGAGTCCCTACGACGGTCTTGGGCCAAATAGTTTAGCGCACGGAGCTTTACCCATTGCGCTGCAGTGCTTCTTCAGACCGTTAAATATTGTCTCTCGCAATTGACGATCACCGCCCTAAAGCCAAAAAAATTTCTGTCTTCAGAAGAGTTGAGGCGATCTGTCACACACTGTACCACTATATAGCGAGTGCGTTTTTTCTCTTCCTCTCACTCCTCGCCAGAGAGCGCTGCAGTGCGATTATATTGTATTACAAAGTCTTGCAGCGTAAATGAGCGGTCAGTATTCTTCGCCCGAAGTTTTAACAGCCTATTGACCAAGAAAATTTCGCCGTGTAGAAACCATTACATTTATGGAACGGATACGCTGTGATATACAGACGCGTGTGTCGGTGTGTGTCGGTTAACTCGAATTGCAAACAGCATCAGTTGATGGGCGGGAACATACATGCAGGCATCAAGACATTTCGGCGTTGTACCCGACACCTGCCACATGTTCCCATTCGTCAAGAAAAGATGTAATTCATCAGAAGAATAAACAATTTTCTGCTCTGCAGAAAACTAAGAATAGACCAGGCAATGATAGTCCGAATACAGGGAAAAGTATCAACCATGGAGAAGAGGAAGGTGCATACTCCGTACGCGGCTTTATTTTAGGAATCAGCAACTTTAGGTTGGAAATGGGAAGAGATTAGAGGAGATAATATAGCCCAACTTACAACGCGTATCAGACTTTCTCTGAGGGTGATGTTTATGATTTCTAGTTGCAGAAAGTGAAAGAAATAGAGGATGAATGCTATTATACCCGTGCTGCTGGCACATTTTTGAGTCATATTAACAAGATGATGATTTATCTCGATCGCGACCGAATACTTTATCTGATCTATCGGAAAAACCTGAAATTTGCCGTTTCTTCACAGTAATGAAATATATGTTCAACAAAATCGTCAATCTGGAGACTTTGAGTATCATGTAGGTTGGCCTTGGGCAGAGGAAGTCCGCACATGGTCCAAGCAAGGAGTTGATGACTATAATCCGCAATATTTAGCCGGATCGGAAGTCTAGGTGTCTGACATAACATGCCTGGCCGACTCATTGATGCGCAAGGTTAAAGGCGGCAACGAAACCCCAGAGTGTAGGAGCCTTTTGCATCATCCTTGGTACCAATAGCCAACTACCAAACCATCAACAAAGTCCGGACTGAAAGATGAGAAAAACTTGCTTGACGAGTACTATCATCTGTGACTCACCTCGTCAGAGTATATCTTTCGCCCTCCAATCCGCTTTCCTTCCTCACTGCATCCTTCGCACCTACCTGCTTCAAGAACAATTTTATTGCAAGAACACTTCAAACAAAACGGCAAGCGGCATTTGATACCAGTTAAGAGCATCCATGGGGTTTCTTTGTCCGATCCAAGCCACAGCAGCACACAAGGCTTTGCGCAGCATCGGAAGGCACGCGTTGTCACTCTTTACGTGGACCCGGCAAAAGACTCAGAGGCCCATAGGGCTTTACTATTTCTTGAAGAAAAATACCCGAAGAACGGTACGTTTTTTTAGATCTTCTGGCTCAAAGGAAACTGAACAAGTACAGAAGGGTAAATATATCGACTTCTCCAACGTTGAAGAATGGCTTCAAGGACTAGAATCCCCGCCGCCAGCCTTTTATAATGGGTATGAGATCGAGGGCAGCAAAGATGGCTTGACGTGGAGGACACCGAAGTTGCAACACCATTGCGAGGAAGGGACAATGACCCTCTTCAGCGATAGTAGTCTAACCTTTCACCCTTAGGATGAAGCAGCAAGGCCACGGGTAGGATTTGTACAAAGATTAGATTGATATTGTGTCTCGCTCTGCCTCTTGAAACACATTGCGGGAGCGGCGGAAGGTGATGGAAAGCAAATTTGTCATTCTTGCGACACGTTCCTCGGGAAGCCATATCAAAGACAAGGGTGGTGCGTTTCCGGGAGGGTATATTGTTTGGGGCAATATAGATTGTGTATAGGAACGATGGGGATCTCACACTCGCTAGATATTTGGGGTGGAATTGGAGGGAATTTTAGAAGTAGCCGATATAACAAGAAAACATCGACGATCTTGAGTCATTCTGTTTGCAACACCTCTATATCCTAAGATCCGACTTCCAAATCTAGTGTGGCATAGTGAATCGGCTGGTACTGTTAGGGCAATGAACAGTAACTACTCCGTAGGTGGTACATATAGCTAAGCAGCCAAGGGCCGCCAGGCGGGTGCCACACCTCTGGGGGCTGTTATAGGGCACAACTACCCCGCCGGGCTGCCGTGGAGCCGCGGGCCAGCACTGCTGAGTAACTAATTGTGAGCACGGGCTGGCGCGCGGAGAGAGCTGGTTGACTGGCTAAGTCCGGGGTAAAACCAGCGTAGGCGGTGGCTAACTCCGCCAGCGCGCGGCCAGCTTCACGTGCCGACGGTAACGAATACACGTGATCGCGGCTCACGTCAGCAGCGCAATACGAGTCAGCGAGCGTGTGGGCAGCCCGTTTTGGCCAGTCGCCCATACGCCGGCTCCCCGCGCTCCGGCGTGCGGGAGTGCTGGCGGAATGTTCCAGCTGGCGTTCCGAGCGAGCGGGGGGAAGGCTTTGTGCTGGCCGTTGTCGCAGCCACAGACAACCCTAACTAACTAACTAACTAACTAGTTAACTAACTACTAGTTAACCACCCAAACTCAGTCGATCGGTGTGCCGGCTTGTGAGCTGTCATAACTCGCTGGCGCGCAAGAATGGCCGTCTGAGGCCTGCCTGGCTGCTCGATGGCCTGCGCTGCCAGGCGAGGCGAGTTGTCCCAGACCACTGCCACTGCCGCCGTCGCTGGAGAAAGAAAAGACTGCAACATACTCCGTATTGAGATCCTGACCAGCCCGCGCCAGGGCCCGCGAGGACGAAGCTTTCGCTAGGGAACATTCCCGGCGCTTGAATGCAGCCAGCCCTGTTTTTTTATTTTTTTTTATTTTCTCCTTCTTTCTTTCTTTCGGCAATTTCGGCAGTTTGGCGGCCAGGATGCACACCCTATTTTCATCCGTCGTTTGGCTTGCTGCACAAAGTCGGCATCCAGATGTTATTCTGGATGTTATGCACAACCCTGCCTGGCGTCGCTGCTGCCACCCCCCCTCATTCCACTTTCCCTGGCCTTGTCCTTTGCACCCTCCATCCCTTGCTCTGACTGAGATGGCCTTCACGCAGGAGCTGAAATCTGCATAGTTGTTCCTGCCCTCATCATTTGGTACACAACCAACAGACTACCCCCTCCAGGGAGCCTGCAGATCTAGTTAACTTAGTGCCACCAGCAAGCTCCAGAGCTCTGACTGAACAGCCGGCCCGGCATGACTACTGACAGTGGTGTGTTTCTCACGTTATCCTTGGTTCTTTCTCTGTTCATCCAGGCTCACCACAACTTGAATGATAGGGGCTTCCACAGTCGTGGAAAAGAGTGGGATGGAGACGCGCAAGTCCACAAGCAGCCAACCCTTATCAGCATGCGAAAGGGCACGACCCAATGCTGCAGACGACCTCGAGGTTGCTGTCGCGGATGTCGAGGACCAATATCTCAAGGAGGCAGAGCTGGCTCAAGATCCAAATATTGTCGATTGGGACGGCCCCGATGACCCTGAAAATCCACTGAACTGGACTTTCAAGAAGAAGGCCATCATTGTCGGATCCATAGCCATAATCACGTTTATCACGTATGTCGTCATTCCCAATATTTCAAGACTTTTCTGGCAAAGGCTGATGCTATTTCAGGCCCCTCGGGTCATCCATGTTTGCTCCTGGAGTCGCAGAGGTCATGAAAGAATTCAAAAGCCGGAGCCCGGAGCTCGCGTCGTTCGTTGTGTCTGTTTATTTGCTGGGATATGCCTTCGGCCCTCTGATAATTGCCCCGATGTCTGAAATGTATGGTCGGTCGCCCGTCTACCACATTTGCAATATCTTATTTACTATTTTCAACATTGCCTGCGCCGTGGCGCCCAACTTGAACGCCCTTATCGTTTTCCGTTTTCTTGCGGGGTCAGCAGGCTCAGCGCCTTTGACTATTGGTGCTGGGTCAATGGCAGATATGATTAGACAGGAGAAGCGTGGAGCCGCCATGGGAGCCTGGGCACTGGGTCCTCTGCTGGGCCCTGTTATTGGCCCCGTCGCCGGAGGTTATCTCACAGAGGCCAAGGGCTGGAGATGGACGTTCTGGGTTCTTGCGATTGTTGTAAGTCTACCTCAAGATTCCAAAATAGCCCAGATAGCTGTGCCTTATAAATCCTCATAGTCTGGTGCCATAACAATCAACACACTCATCTTTATGAGGGAATCCTACCACCCAACGCTTCTTGCTCGAAAAACTAAAAGGCTCATCAAAGAAACCGGCAATCAGAATCTGAGGTCAGCGCTTGACATGGGCATCAGACCGAAACAACTCTTTCTTCAATCAATCGTTCGACCTACCAAAATGCTTCTTTTCTCGCCCATTGTGTTCCTGTTGTCGTTATATGTTGCTGTTGTGTATGGTTACCTTTACCTCCTCTTCACCACGATCTCTTCCGTCTTTATTCGCACATATCACTTCTCTCAAGGTAAGTGAGATATTCGGCATCTTGAAGGCTCGCGGGCTAATAGATAACAAGGAAACGTCGGGTTATCATTTCTCGGCATTGGGATTGGAAGTGTCTGCGGCCTTGCTATCAGCGCCACAACGTCGGATCGGATTCTTAAACGCCTATCTGTTAAGTCTGGAGAGATGAAGCCGGAATATCGCCTTCCTCCGCTTATTCCTGGGTCTTTTTTCCTGCCTATTGGCCTCTTCTGGTATGGCTGGACAGCAGAACACGGGGCGCACTATATCCTACCTATTATTGGCACTTTCTTTTTTGGAGTTGGGATGATCATCACCTTTGTAAGTTTTCCCTTACAACGTTCCACAACATTTTGTTTGTGTAACAGCTTAGTTAACGTTACTTCGTGGCCCAATGTAGATGTCAATTTCCACTTATCTTGTTGACGCCTACACGCTCCATTCCGCCAGTGCTATGGCCGCAAACACACTTTTCCGTTCCGCCGTCGGTGCGGTTCTACCCCTTGCCGGGATCAGGATGTACAGCACTCTTGGTTTGGGTTGGGGCAATTCTCTTCTCGCTTTTATTGCGCTGGCCTTAACACCGCTTCCGTTTTTCTTCTTCCGATATGGAGAGCGCATACGGACAAGTAAACGTTTCCAGGTGACTTTTTAGCAAAAGCGATTATTACTTACGTATTTTTTCCTCTAATGGCGTACATATGTATATGTTTGTCGTGATCTTTGCATACACCGGCATGTATAGGGACACACATTTTCACCATGACTATATAGACAGGCACGGCATTGTTTCCATAATAATTAAAGCGACATAATTAGCTCACAGTCTAGAATTAGAGCCCGAATCGTAATCCAAAGTTCTCATCATGGCAATCCGTTCATATCTACGAGAAAGCGCTGTAGCACCAGTTCGACATCGGCTTTTCCAATCTCATAAGTGCCCGCCGAAACGAGATATGTCACACCGTCCACATCGTCCTGGCAGGCCAGCCAACATGCAATGAAGCCTCCTACTTCCCAAGCCACACGTTGGAGATCGTCAGCAAAGGGCTCTGACCCACTGCCCAGGTGGCATCTTTGCTGCTCAAATGATTCTTCAAAGGCATCTTTCCACGTGAAGTAAGATGCCGCCAAGTCGGGGTAGCGAGCCGTAATGACATCTTCGTCAACATGGGTTTCGCCAGGCGGGTTCTGTGGCCACAGCGGGTCATACCAAAGGAATGACGTCCGCCACTCTGGCAGTAGCCGATACCGAAAGGCATTTGGAATGGGAGCTTCCTGCAGGTGACTCTTCTGTAGCTTCATGTTCTGAATGGCGATTATGCCACTGCCATCCAACTTGTCGTCGATGTTCAGCTGGAGGCCAAAGCTGGTCTGGAGCAACACAGAAGACGCTCTCGTCTTTGGGGCGATGCTTGAAGCCGGAGCTTCCGTGCGTGGCGCTGCGGCCTCAGAGATGTGGGGAGCGACAATGTTGAGAATCGAGCGAGGTGCGACACCAACGCCGCTGGGCTGCGCGAGGCCGTTGGCCTTTGCGTCGTGCGTTGAAGGAGCATGGGGAGAGAAAGCCATGGACGGATATCGCTGTTGAAAAAGTTCGAGGGGCTGCAGTGGGCTTGCCATGGTGGGGGACACTTGACAGGCGAGACACGAGCTTAAAAATGGACAATTATGTCACTAGGAGAGAGAATTGAAAGGCATGAAAAGGCAGATGGAAGATGGCTGTGATATACATCTGTCTGCTTGTTAAGAGAGCCACATGGAGGTGAGTAATTGGTGAACTACATAGTTAACTAGGTAGTTGGCTAACTCTGCTGCCTGGCTACCCAATTAACGGGTTAACTATAATAACCCCTGATTTGGACGATGGAAGTGCTCATGCGTTGTTGGCAGATGAACCTCTTCCTCAAAGAATAAAAGGCCTGTACCCGTGTGCGAACATTGATGTAGAGAAAAACACTGTTTGAGTCAGATTTAAGCTTCTTACTTTGACCAGTTAATCAACTAACTAGTGAAGTCCGGAGTAGTGAACTAAACTTCTATAGTGAAAGTTTGGAGGGTGGAGAAATGGGTCTGTATGGGATACCTGCAGAATGGTTCCAGTCATTTCCTCCCTTTTTCTTCGGTTGGAAACGGGGTATAAAAGGCCTCCATACCTCTTACTATTGAATTTATCCCATAAAGTGCAGATTAGCAAGATGGAATGATGAAAATATAGTGTTGGCGAATACCCATACAAAGAGGGTGGATATAAGAATCTGCCAAGTCTAACGAGGCTTCCTAGGCCGCAGGAGTATTATATGGCTGAAAGATACTCCTTCGCTAGCCCCAATTCAATTCAAACGTTGAACCGCTACATATTATTACTATTCGGAGTATAAGCAATATCCAGACTTATTGGGAGTGAAGCACATGCAAAGAAAGCCAACCGATAACAACCACCTCTGCGGAGTACCTTTCACCCGTTCCTCTGCCATGCCATAAATCATACTTTGACCGAAGCTGGATGGATTAACTACCTCGTGATTGGTAGTTTACCGCTTTGCGGCGTTGACTTTCAAGAGACTTTGGGCATTGGTGAGCTTTCTTAGTAACCACCCATTGCCACATATTGCATCACCATCCGATAGGAGGTTAAGGAGCATCTAGGAATGCTTCTTGTCGGATTCATGTCGCCTCACGTCAGGCAGGTCCTTTCCAGCCATGGCGGAAATCGACGAAGACATTGCAATTGTTGTGATCACCTCTTGTCTGTTTTGTTTTCTTTTCTTAGCTGCGGCTGATGGGCTTTTTTCAAGATGCATGACAGCGATGCCGATTCTACTCTCGGAGACGACGTAGCATCGTGGGTCAGCCCGGATTGCCATTTTCGAGCATTCACTAAGAGCTGATTTTATGGTCAGAGATACGGAGTCGCTTCGCTCCAGCATATTAGACTATGAGTACGAAAATGGGAGGAGATACCATGCGTACCATTCTGGATCCTATTGGTCAGTAGCGCTCTTTGTCTGAGCTGTATGTACTACCCGCTGATGGGGTGAGCGATCAGGGGACCTAATGACGAGAAAGCAAATTGGCATTCGGATCTAGGGTGTGTGAGCATACTCCCCTCTTGGGCAATCCTGCTGATCATAGATATACCACACGTAGACACCATATATACAAGCTTCTCCTTCGGGGACACCTCTTCTTTGCTCCTATACCGAAAGACGTGCATGTAAAAGAGCCAATCCATCCCTTTTAGGATAGTCAACTAACCATTGAGATTTAGCGCGTTATTGACATTGGAACTGGGACTGGTTTGTGCATATGCTCTGTATATTCCGGTAGGAGGCTAACAAAATGTGATTTTGCAGGAATATGGGCCATGTTTGTATCTTTCTGTAGGCAATTGAACTGAGAAATCTGACTCCGGCATAGAGAATTCGCCGACGATTACCCGTCAGCAACAGTCATTGGCACCGACCTTTCGCCGATCCAACCGCCTCTAGTTCCCCCTAACTTGTCGTTTGAAATCGACGACTGTTGTGACGAATGGTTGCATACACCCGACACCTTTGACTTTGTTCATGTACGTGGGCTCTATGGCTGCGTGGCGGACTGGGATGAATTCTATCATCAAGCATTAAAGTACGTGCTTTAAAAATTTTTAATAGGGATAAATACTGTGATCTTCTAATGCAATTCAATCACTTCATAGGCACATCCGCCCAGGTGGCTATATCGAGCAAGTTGAGAGGGGGGTTTGCCCCAAGTCTGATGATCACTCCACAGACGGTACCATTATGGAACGATGGGGGCACGTCTCCCTCGAAGCGGGCGATGCATTTGGGAAAACACTGCGCGTTATCAACGAAGCAAAACCAAAAATCTTGAAGGCCGGATTCGAAGATGTCGTCGAGCATCGATTTAAATGCCCTATCGGCGACTGGCCTGAAGATCCTAGGCTCAAGGAGCTAGGGAAGGTGAATAGAGTGTACTGGGAAGAAGGAATTGAGGACTGGACAACAATGCTATTGACCAGGGTGCTGAAGGTAAGTTGTCATTATTGACGGCATGTGTATCTGCTTTTTGGGGCGGAATATGCAATATACTAGCAGAGGTAGCTGACGGGCTGATAGTGGACCCCTGAGCAGGTGAAGGAGTACCAAGACCAGGCAAGAAAAGGCCTGCGGAATCCTTCGATCCACTCATATGATGAAATGTAAACCGCCTATTATTTACTCCGGCTCTTAAGACACAGATAGATGCTGACCGCTGCTGCATCCACAGGACTGTTGTCTATGGACGTAAGCCTCTAAGCCCCAACAGAGACATCTGTTGACAACCAAAATCCTATTTTTGATTAGAATTAGCCACGAGCGTTAAGGTGCAATGGCATGTTCTCCGGGAGCCTTGGCGTAGTTCTTTTAGCCGCGGTGGGACCGATAGATAATACGGCTCGCTTGTGGAATGCGAAGACGCGCGAGTATATGATGATGTGAGATTTCCCGACCAAATTATATACTGTATGTGCAAACGTAACTATGTAATAATAAAAAATAATAATTCATAGGGAATCAATTCATTGTATTAACAGAGTAAAAACATCCTGCCAATTATGTATCCTTATTTCAGAAAGAAAAAGAAAGAAAGAAAGGATGAACTAGAAGCTAATTTTCTCATTTGGACTTGCGTCGTTGTTCCTTTAACCCAGCCTTCGGCTCGATGTATCGCTTCAGCGTGTCTCGAACCTGGGTTACTTGCTCAAAGTCGTAGGCGAAGCCAAACAATTTTTCCTCGCTCCAACGCTCAGCAAAGAAGGCTATTCCAACTGGTCGCACGAAACCGGTGGATTTGTCCGTGGAATTGGATGCGACAGGTGTGCTACCAATTGGGACGGTGATTATTGGGGAACCGTAAACACCCGGCACAAGGGGGCTCATAGCGGTTGGTAGAACAAGGCCATCGAGTTTATACTTTTTGATCGCTCGCAAGATGCAACCGTCTTCCGTAAGCTTGACAGCCTTTTTACGCATTTCCTGGAATTTTGGCGATGTGCTATCGTAACCCAGCTTGATGGCGGCATCCCAGGAGGATGTGTTGTACTCGGGGTAATTTTCTTTTGGAGACTTTTGGGTGACGCGGCGAATATCACTTACGGTACGGAGGTTGTTTGGATTCGACTTCAGCTGTTTTAAGTAGTCGGGTAAGGCCTTGTTAAAATCTGCCCCTAAAAGCGGGTCAAGCAGTTCAGTGAGCTGAGTTTCTGCAGTATCTTCATATTTTACGTCCTGCACGATGATAGCTCCGGCTTTCTCTAGATCTTTAAGGCCCTTCTCAAAGATAGCATCAGCCTCCCTTCCTTGAGTCGGTACCCTAAGAACGTTGGATGGAACTCCAAGTCGTTTTCCCTTAAGTGCTCCTCGTTTGCACGCTGCAACATAATCTGGTATAGACGGGATTTCGGATGTAAATTTATCCTTTGCGTCTTTCCCGGCTATGGCTTGAAGCAAAAAGGCAGCATCCTTTACAGTTCTTGTCATGGGTCCAACTGTATCTTGATACGCGGCTATGGGGATGACAAGGTGGCGCGAAGTGAGGCCAACAGTTGGTTTGACTCCGACAACATTGCTCATCTCGGCAGGGGAGACGATGCTTCCAATTGTCTTTGTAATACTTAGCATCAACATACTGTCGCAAAGAGAAAGAAGCTGGGACTGAAGTGGAGAGGGCTGTACCTACCTCTGTTCCCAATGTTGCCCAAGCTAGTCCCAGATCCGACGCTACACCACTGCCACTCGAGCTACCAGAGGGGTCTTGATTTGGGGAGTAAGCTGCGTAAACTCTACCTCCAAACGCGCTCCAACCGTTAGGGATTTGACCCCGGAAATTGGACCATTGTGAAAGGCCGGTCTTCCCGAGAATAATTATGCCAGCTTCCCTTAACTTCTTTGCCACTGTTGCGTCTTCGTAAAGTGTGGAATTCAGTAGGATAGTAGAGCCAGCTAGAACAGAACGATTAGCTGGTGCTTTTTCCCATGCCGATGAGGGCTTATACCAGTAGTTTGTAGTTTATCATTTGTACCAATATTGCCTTTGATCAGCACTGGCAAGCCATGCAATGGACTAAAAAAAACGGGTGATTAGAGGACACAGACAAGAAGAAAAGGTTTAGCCAACGTACCCTCGGAGTTTCTTGCAGGCACGTTCATTATCAAGATCAGCAGCAATTTTGAGCGCATCTGGATTTATCTCTGCAACAGGACGGAGAATGCCGTTTACTTCCTTAATCCTGTCTAAGTATGCCTACAAGCCATTAGCCACAGCACCATTAGCCTCAATATCGCCAGAGTTAGTTACTTACTTGAACGATGTGAACACTAGTGTAGCACCTAGCAGCTAAGCCAGCTTGTAATTGTTCTGCTGTAGCCTTGATTAAAGGTGGAAATACGCAGCATTTTCCGTTCTTAGCTTCTATGACAAGGCATCAGCACGGCTGAGCGGGAAGAGAATTAGGAGCACGTGTACCTGTAAGGGATTTTGTAGGGGATGATAGAGCGTGGGGGATGAGGAAAAAACTAAATGCAATAAACTGCAGAAATGAAACAGAGAAGAAAGCCATTGTTGCAGCTAGCCGAGCAAGTCAAGCAACTCCTGATTCTGAGGTAGAATAGCTGACCTCTCCTGAGGAGCACTGGTTATAAGTAACCACAAATACACCTTTGTGCTCCGTACGGAGTTCCACTTTCGCATGAAATAATAATAGCAATCAACGTAGAACGCCAACGAAGGAGCATACACGCCCCAGAGCACTATTGAGTAGGATGCCAGGTCAAGACCAGTGAGTCGCAAGAGCCCCAAGAACGGGATGAATGTGTTATTCTCCTTTTAGAAGTGGGGATAGACGTACGACCTAAGAAATACACAGCCCGTTCGATAGGAAACGGGAGCCGGGACAGGCATTGTGTATTGTACAGCGGCTGTTGGTAGCAAGGGGAGCCGGGTTGGGTGGGGGTAATGCACTACTGGAAGCCCTGAAATCAAGCAAGAGGACTCCACCGGTACATTCAAGGAAAACAGATTCCGCACGACGATCTTGCGGTATTCGATGATAGAATAATATCTATATTTTGAGATATAGATACAATTGAGACTTGGTTTCCGAGTTTATCCATTCAGCCCTTTGACAGTGGAGAGAAGAATACGACATGACAGGAGTAGTGAGAATGGCAGATTGGAAAGGATACCGGCATCTGGGACGGCTAGCTAACGGGTATGCACAGCCGAAACCGGCGATAGTGGTCTAGTGTTCTTGGGTATGTTGGGAAATGTCGTCGTCATCTACGTAGTAGATGTCAAGAGCTAGGCAACCAAGCCACACGGCAGAGCCTACTCGCGTGAGGCGCGTGTCAAGTTGCCAACGAGCATTATTGAAGGGCAATAATAATGATAGTAATAATTAATAGCGGCAATGATTCTGCAGAATAATGGAGCTTTCCCGCTCCAAGCAACTTTGCTGGGTTTTTTGGGGGTTAAAATCCATAATAATAAAACTCCGGGTTCCCCGAATGCCGGGGAAAAGCATGTTTCTCCGTACGGAGGACTCCATCTACCGTAGTTTCTCCCGAATAATATTTTACTGTAATCGGTGTACCGTAGTTCCGCTCTCTCTTCTTCTTTCAGCGGGCGGCGGAAGGAAGCGGTTCAAGATAGAGCGCAATCCGTAGCGGGAAAATAGTCTCAAAGTGCAGATCGAAATAAGGAGTATCCAGTATTCGATGCTGCTCAGGGGTATGAACAGGCCAGGTTAGGCTCCATCGTGCTGCAACGTCCACGCTAGGGCTATTGCGGCTTGTATGTGGGTGAGAACGGGGGTGGTAGCAGTGAGCCGGCAGACGGAGTAGCAGTGCAGGAATGGATGACTGCTGAGAGAACGTGCCAGGGAAGCCCAGCTGCCCAGGTCAACTCAGCTCGCTTCCGTTCAGCTAAGCCAGCCGGCCCGCGCTTGGCATCGAGCCTTGCGGCTTGCCGCCCGCCACCGGGCCGGTCGGCATATGCAGCACAAAAGGCCGAGAGCGCCAGCCCACCCACCAGCAAATCCTCGATGGTCTAACGGTCATGATTTCCGCTTGTCAAGTCTTGTGATTAACAAGCGCGGGAGACCAGGGTTCGACTCCCTGTCGGGGAGATTTCTTTTTGCTTTTTTGCATTTTCCATCTTCCTTCATTCATTACTTACGCATTCATTCAGTTTTCATTTTTGGGTCGACCATGGCGTCGCAAGTTGGATTGACTCCATGAGCGAGACAGAACCCATCGTCAATCCGTTCAAAACAATCTCCTGTTATCCACACGGCTTCGCCTGTTTCAGAGCTACAGTCGGTATCACCAGGCGATACTCAATTTTGCGATACGCAAGGGCCTGTTGCAGCGCAGCATTCTGATCGCTTCCTTTGGTGCGAGCCACCCTGGCACGCCTCGTTGGCCCTGCTCGCTTGAGAAGCCTGGCAGCCGATTCGCAGAATCCATTGTCCTTCTCGAGCACCTCGAGGCCCGTGCTGCTCATGTATCGCTCATTTGTTGGGCCTTGTGGTGCGGCTTTATTCGGGCGAACGCCTCCTGCACGATCCGCCATATTGCCGGGACGCTGCGAGGGCGCCTATAAGTACCATGTTATGGATGCGTCAGAGTGACCTTGCAAAGCTCATTTCCCCTCTTGTCTTCGCTTCCTAGTCGTTGCAATCGCAATGCTCCACCGTGCTCCTTAAGCAAACATGCCCTTTTCATCTCCCTTCCCACCGCTGCAGATACCCAAGGTCGACCTTTTGAGCTATTTGTTTCCGCCCAACACCCCTGTCTCCGACAAACCCATCTGGATTGACGCAGAACACCCAGAGAACTGCTTATCACCTAGGCAGCTGCTTCAATGGGTCAGAAGATTGGCGTTTGGGCTGGACAGGCTGGGTGTCAAGCCTGGAGAAGTTGTGGTGACCCTGACACCAAATCATATTTTTGTCCCGGTTGCCTTTTTAGGCATTGTTGGTTCCAGGCGACTCTTTAGTGGAATAAGCCCTTCGTTCACTGCCAATGGTACGGAGTATGCGCGGCCTTATCTCCTGATGACGGGTTATCGCACGAACCCACTGACTCATTGAAAATGACTTAGAGGTTGCGTACCAGCTCCGAGATACGGAGGCTCAAGCCCTACTTGTGCACCCATCTGTCGCAACAGTGGCGATCGAAGCAGCGCAGAAAGTTGGTCTTGGACTAGATCGTGTTTTTTTGTTTTCTGATGAGCCATGCAACCCCATTCAAGGCCTGAAAGACTGGCGATCAATGATCGGGACGACTGACCAAGGCCAGCAATGGACGTGGGTCCCAATGACCGAGCAGGAATCGCAGTCTGCGCTGGCCACTGTTAATTATTCGTCTGGAACAACAGGCTTCCCAAAGGGAGTGAAAATCACCCATTACAATATCATCGCCAATATCAAACAGAGTGCCTTTGCGAGATTTCTATACAAAAGAAACCGCCCCCAGGAGCGGTTTATAGGTCTTCTTCCGCTATACCATGCGTATGGTCAGCTGTTCACGATATCAATGGTCGTCCCGTTGAACATCCCAGTGTATGTCATGAAAGAATTCAATTATGAGGCATACCTGCGCCATATCCAGACGTACAGAATAACCAATTTGCAGATTGCTCCTCCGATTCTACTAATGCTGATCAAAAGACCTGAAACTGTAAATTATGATCTCAGCAGCGTGACTGATGCTCTGTGCGGTGCAGCTCCGGTTTCGAAAGAAGCCCAAAACGAAGCATCTCAGAAATTCAACTTTCCAATAAGTCAAGGATGGGGTATGACTGAGACCACCTGTGCAGCAATGTCTGTCCTTGGTGGAATGCGAGATGAGTGCGTAACATATCAGGTTCTTTGGCAGCACCTCAGGTTTGCTAACACTTCCAAAGCACGGGTAGTGTTGGTCAGTTGATACCCAACACGGAAGCCAAATTGATCAATGACGACGGTTGTGAGGTTGGTGACAACGAGCCTGGAGAGCTATACATTCGCGGCCCCCAGGTCTGTCTTGGGTACTGGAAAAACGAAGAAGCTACAGCAGAAACAATTTCTAAAGATGGGTGGCTGAAAACCGGGGATATTGCAGTCGTACGAAACGGGCGGTTTTGGATCGTCGATAGAAAGAAAGTAGGTCATTAATTCTATCTTGTATTTCTAGCCCGTTCTGTCATGAAACTTGAAATACTGACATATGTTACACCCAGGAACTCATAAAAGTGAATGGCTTTCAGGTTGCACCTGCAGAGTTGGAGGCAGTACTTTCAAGCCATGAAGATATTGAAGATGCCGGCGTAGTCAGAATCATACTGTTTGTTCCCCTTGAAGCAGCCTCCAAGGAATCAACACTTGTATTAACATGTCCATCATTTAGGAATGGGGAGGAGTATCCTCGTGCATACATTCAACTCCGGCCGAATGCCAAGGCAAAATCACACCAGGAGACATTCATCATTACCTGAGCTCGCGAATCGCTAGACATAAGCAGCTGGCTGGTGGAATCTCGTTTGTAGATGCAGTTCCACGGCTAGCTAGCGGAAAAATCGTTCGAAAATTGTTGCGAGAATGGGCAGTGAGGGACGCTGATGTATTAGAAAAGGAAGATAAAGCTAAACTTTAAAACATATGGGCGTACGTACTCCCTACGGAGTAGGCCTGCAAAGTCAAAATGGAAAGCCATATACATCTAGTTTGAATTACTTGAAAGTCTTCATGTACTTCAGAGGCATGGGATTCTGATCTGGTGTCAAAAAATCCTTTTGAATCTTGCACGAAGTCGTACAGTTCGTAGTGACTTTCAGACACATGGAAATGACTGAGGGTCCTCCCTCTGTACAGCTTATATTATATCAATACATGGTGAAAATTTCGAGCTATTAGTCTCTCTCCTTCTTTTCGTTTTCGGGTGAAAGGGTCCTATCGATATCCTTTGAACCCTGTTCGTTCGTAGTAAATGGTACAGGGCTCTCGACGGCGCCATAGGGCAATGAATACTGAGTAGAGTCGAGATCTTCTTATAGTACATAGCGTATTGAAACCTATGATAGCCTACAAGGGGGCGATGATTTCGGCTCGAGATTCATTTGCCCGAAACTGTCTAGGTGAGCTATGCTACAAGCAAGAAGGATATGCACAGAAGAGCAATAGTATGTTAGTCTTTGAAGCATTTATACAAGCAAGGGCAGTGCATTAGAGACACGACAAGGCTAAACATATTCTGCGACGGCCGTTGCATTAAAAACCAGTAATATTTTATAGAAACAGACTCGACAAAGTTCATCAAATTCCCTTGCACGGCAGAGAAGAAGTAAGAGAGCGAGAAAAGCCATATCTAGGTTATAAGGGAACTTCATCCATCTCTCCTTCAGACCCATTTCCGCTTGATTTAGTAGAGATTTTGCTAGGCTGAGGGGTAGAATCCGAGGGCCTAAGAGGTAGATCTTGCTGTTGTTTCTTTTCCGATTCGAGAGATTCAGGCTCTCCAGGGATATCTTTGGTGCCTTCAATATTGTTTTTATTTTCCTCTTTCGCATCATCGCCCTCTTCAGGTGCCGGGTGATCAGTGGTAGTGGCGGTGCTCGTAGCTATGGAATCGGCTTCTTTTCCCTCGCCGTCTTTAGGTGGGACAGAGGGTGGGTTTACAGAATCATCTTCATCTGATCCAGTGCCATTAGGAACCCTACTGTTCGGGCCAAACGGAAATGGAGTCACTGGGGGCTCGGTGTGATCTGGTTTTGTCTCATTTAGTGGTTGTGATATGCTCCCCCGATTCTGAGATTTCGCATGTCCGGCACCAGACGAATTCAGGATAGCATGCTGGCGGTTTTGATGCGCACCAACCCCAGGTCCTATCTGCCGCAATTTTGGATCTGCATTTAAATAGTACCCGCGAACACTAACAATAGTGCCCTCACGCTCGCAGCCATCAACCCATTCTGGCCGAACTACTGGGATGTTCATCTCAACGGCTTTCTCCCATGCCGCGCCGCGCCCCTCAACACATACAAAGTGCGTAGTATCTATTTGTACCGAGTCCACCATTTTCGCGCCAATCCTTTCGATCGCGTTCTCGAGGGAAACCTTCACTTCTGGGGACATGATGCCAGGAGTAACAGTTATGCCTGAAAGATCCGTCATTTTGTGGGTCCGACACACCAATTTTTGCGAGCTGAATGTGCCGGCAGACGTGCGTAAGACGAGGTGGAAGGTGTATTCGGTGTCAATGGCGAGCCCGCTGATTTTCGTGCTGCGCATTTCGAGCGGTCGCGGTATCGAACCGGCTTTGGAGTCATTGCGATATAACGAGAGGGATTTAAGGGAAGCTGTGGCTAGGTTGATGGGGTCCCATTCAAGGACGAGTGATGTTTGGGTCGCATTCTTTAGGCGCAAGACAGGAGGTGCGGGAGTGTTGATGCCGTATGTGTGAAGAATGCGTTTCTGGAGAGATTGGAATGCCGATACGCCGGCAGCCTCAGCTTCTAGGTTTCGAGATACAGTAATATCAACAATGCTACCAGAGGTGATGTCGCCAGGTAGGAGGACAGAAGGAAACTCAATCTAGAACCAGAAAGTTAGACAGGCCAGATAGATTTAGTGCACGCGAAAAGGGTCTTTCAGCTTTGTAATAGCTTCAGACGCGCATGGGCAGTGAAATTAGCATTAAATTAGATACATACAAGTCGATTATCTTGTGTGAGAAGGACTGCGACGCCTGCATCAACCTTCCCGACTGTCAGGGACACCAGCATCTTTAGGTGATTGACAAAATGATGCTGGAATATGAAGTCTCGAGAAACTGATCATTTATTCATTTATGAATATGCAAAACGTAAAACAAAGTCCAATCAGATGAATCAAAGTGATTATCAACACGCTGTTGTTTCGATGTTGGGCCGTTGGCTTGCAGCGCGAACTACAGGGTAACTACAACATGCAGGGAGCTGCGCCACGCCGCTTTAACCCTCAGTGCACGTGACAAACATGGCCTGTGCGCCTCAAGGTAACAGGGCTGAACAAAAGGGCATTAAAATACTACATGCAAAGGCCAGTGGCTGATATAATTCCTTACAATCATGAATAGAAAGAAAGTTCATAATGTTATTATAGCTATCATGAATTATGTATGGAGCACTTGGGTAATTAATTCGTTATATAGCAACCTATGTGGACCAAGATCCTAGTGCGACGAAAATAGGATCCTCTCAAGGATGCCCGTGCGATTTCTCAGGAAAGTTGCCAAATTACCACCAACAAGGCAAATGGGACCTTTTAGTGCTTTGAAAGCACAATATACCTCAAAGGATGAAATCCTGGAAAGACATGATGGCCGAGGAAAGAGAAAAGACAGTCGGGACGTAGTGCTAAGCCTGGGCAAGTTTGTAGATGGCATTTTCATGATAGCACTAATAGGCGAATACTCCAGCACCAAAAGGTCAAGGCATGATGTTCCTCATTCTCTGTCCGTCGTTTCCACGGACGTCTGCTTATGTCTAGTTCCATTTTCGGGCAGGTTTGGCTATGTTTTACCTTGCTGCCAATGAGAAAATCGAAAACAGGAATAGTTGCGCCTTGAATTCGTCTAATTCATTTGGTAAGATTTCGCGCGTTGCCTGGGCATCACGATCCACACCAATGCTCAGGGTCTTCCTTTGCACTTCAAAAATAGCCCGCGGCGAGGTTCCATAAGGACGAATGCTGATATTATATAGCCCCTTTTATGAGTTCTGGTGGGTGGCTGTGGGTGAAAAAAGTTGCTCCGTGGGTTGGAGGCTGGCCACCCGACCATTGCCGAATAATGTCCGAAGTAGAACCGGGATATTCCATCCATTTGTATGAGATCTAAGGGCATTATGTACTGATTGTGGTATGATTTATGGGGTCCAAGGCGCCTTCTTCTTCCTTGGTGTTAGCCAGTTCCATTCAAACAAAGCTGTAAGGTCCAGATAACAGTCAACAAGTTCATGGTTAGGGGGTAGCAACAGCAAGAGTGATGAAGCCGACGCATGCAAAAGCAATTATGGAAGGGGTACTCTATAGACAGAAACGTAAGATCCGCATACTTCTGTACCGAGTTGAGCATGCATCGACTGATCAATCACATTTACCTAGAAATGGGTGGTGGCTGGAGAGGCGTAGCGTGGTAGGGCGAGATCAATAGGAGGTGGTGGGAAGGCCATGGTCAATCGGTAGCTCCGGACGTTAGATAACATTCAGAAAATTTTGGAGACGTTTGGCTTCGAATTCAATGGAAAATAATAATAGTCTAAAGGTAGAACCAGAAATACAGCAATGTGTGAGGCAACGAGCTTGGGTGGCGTCAAGTCATTGCTGCCTTGGGTCCGAGATGCCACTAATGACGGCCAGGCCACGAGGGAAGAGTCTTTCAATGATGCCATTTGTAGGGTTGGGTCTAGCCCGCAATTGTGCCTTTCAGTAAGCTTCTATAGATGTTCTCTAGCCAGACTTTATAACGGCCTTTGACTTTTCAGCACGGAAAAATATTAATCATGTCAGCCAGCGTTGGGGTGTTCAAAAAATAGGGAGTCAGACCTAAGGAGCGTAGGCGAAACCCGTAAACTGGCGCAAAAAGTATTAGGAGATAGACACAGAATGGGCTACATGGATAGTCAAAAAGCCATGACGAGGCGTTGTGAAGGACACTGGAAATACATGCTAGAGTGCTTCTCCAAGACGCATGTGCATCTTTCTCTCAATGTAATAGACCATTGTGTCGTGATGAAACTACCCCGTACAGAGTAGTGCAAACTGCGAATCATCCCTAAGCCGAATGCTTGGTACCTTGATTTTTTTCACCTCTTCCTGTGGGATGTGCTTCCCTGTCACTCTTAGCATTCCCATAGAGTTTTTGTATCTCCCGGCGACGAAGTCGCAAAAAAAGCCCTGGAGGCCATCTTGTTGAGCTTTGCTGAACAAAATATAATAAGCTGGTTAAGGAGAAATCGCGGAACATGATGGAAAGGAACACGAATAAATGGAATACGAAAAGAAGAGACAGGGGCGAGCGCATGTATTTGTCAGGCTGGATCTGCCCTCCAACGACAGGCTATATCCTGGGGGAGAGTGTTGCTAGCACGAGCCTCGTTTACAGGGGCATCCAGGAACGAAGGAGCCGCCTAATAGGGGAGCCGACGCCCCGGAAAACTTTTGAAAAACTGCATTTATTCGACTCATGGCTGGTCTGCTATGGCTCAGCAGCTGGATGACGCCGATAGCAGACTCAGTTGTTATCTGGGTACGGAGTACATATTTACGGTACCGCTCACGGAACCCATATGCCGCGCGCTATGCCGCACAGGTACGAAGCGAAGCGCTCTCCTGTCCGTAGCTCCTCTTCCTTCTCGTTGCCTAGGCGCATAGAACTTTAGCTTGTGAACGGCCTGGGGTCCCAAACCTCCGCCAAAACATAAAAATGGCCTATCAGGCTCTGCTAGACTCCTGACCGATTTAGGAATTTCACGAGGCGACAGCGTGGCGGAAATTAACTCCTCGCGGACTGTGACATTTTCGGCGCGCCTTGTCTCTTTGATTTGCCACGGTGTTTTCATGGGATATCCTGGTGGGCACGAGTCAGTGGAGCCTACTTACCCGACCGGCAGAATCGAGTATTCCGAACGTTGAAGCCGATCGATCGCTCGGCCGCTTAGGTGTGTATGGATCAAAAAGAGGTTTGGCTGGATGGTACGGAGTAGAAAATCAGAAAAGGTCTGTTATGGGAGGGGAACAAGACCGGCCTTTTTTTTTTGTTTGGCGCGAAACGAAGCTTGGTGCTCTTGGCGAGCGGGCTGATCATAGTAAGACGCCCTAGATGCTTGTCCCTGGCGGTGATTTGCTGGGCATCTGCGGCCTTAGGGTAGGTTTGACGGCGCAAAACCGCCATCCATGGTGCAGACAGCGCGCCCCGGCTATCGGGAGGGGGGGTGTTTCAAAGGAGGTCGCTTGCACGAGCGGTAAAAAGATGCAAACCGCAGGCAGGACAGACAGTGGGCGGCGTGCGAGCTGTAGACACGCAGGTGTACTTGGCAGGCAGAGAGCAGCAGGCAAAGCACGGCGGATCGCCCGCACGATCGGATGCATCACTCGATGGGCGCCGTGGAGGCCCTGCAGAGTCGGTGGCAACGCCGTCCACGTGGAGAAGATGTTGCGCTGCGATCCGCTAAGCCCGAACGGGCCCCGGGCGCCTGTCCAGAAGTGTCGATTCAATAGCGGCCGCCACCCCATCGACTCGCCAAATGCTATTCTGCACCACGCCGCCTGGCTGGGTTCTGCGAGCTTCGCACGTCTGTCACCTGTCCAATTGTTTCATGGTTAACGGGGTTTAAACCTCTCTGTGGAACCTCCAGCACGTTCCAAGAAACCGGTTCGCCTCCGTGAAAAAGATGACCGATAAGAATCATATATGATTCCCACCTTGTCGCCCTATCTTTACCCGACCTTTCGGTTGCCTGACTGCTGCGTCATTGCATGTACAAGCCGGTCAAGCTAGTTCACTGCAGCTTGCGTTCGCCGGCTGTGACGATTCTCGTGCCCGACAGTCCGTTCTCATCACCATGATGTTCCCCTCGTGGCTGAAGTGGTACAAGAAGCCCGAATACAGAGACATCAAAGAGTATTCCAGCGCCGTCAGCTCTGGAAGACGACCCCTCAGTCCCGATGGACGCAGCAAGAGTGCCATTCCTAGCCAATTGAAGCTGGAGAGGGTGCTGGCGAACAAAACATGTTAGGCCAACCACTCCCATTGAGCATTCAGCGTACAGAATACTGATTTGTCTCTTGCCGTCTACGCAGGCAGTCCCATGTCCCTTTATGACTTCTACATGTACCTGAAGTACATCGAATTTTCCACAGAAAATCTCGAATTCTATACCTGGTTCGTTCTAGCCATCAGTATCGCCGACCGGACTTAATAACTAATAGGATGTTCAGGTTTAAAGATTATGAGGCGAACTATTCTTCGAACCGAAGCATTGCTGCTTCAACAGAAAAGGACGATGGCTTTCCCCTTATCCCGGAGAAGAGCATTGCGTCGAGCACAGAGGCTCCTGAAACGCCATCTCTTGATCCGGATGTCGAAGTTGGTAAGCTTCCTCGCCCCTCCCATTTGCTACTTTTTCTTTCCTGACTCGGCCCCGCCTAGCCAACAAAACTCTTGGTCGAATTTCTCAACTTCTAGGCGCTGAGGCGGTGTGCTCATCGGGCGCCCCATGCGGCCGCTCGTTCCAGGATCAAATCAAGCTCTTCGCGAAGAGCCATTCCAGATTCACAACAGCAATCAACCCCATCAGCAATTCGCACCACGCAGTCAACTCGAACTTCGATGATCGGGCCGAACTTGACGTAATTGTCACCATGTTCCTCACCCCAGGTGCCGACAAGGAACTGAACATTCCGCCTGCTATGCGCGATCAAGCTCTCCTCGCTATACAACACTCAACCGACCCCAATCATCTTCGTCCTATTGCCGAACACGTCTATCAACTGATCCGCAACTGTTCACATCGCAATTTCGTTCGCCTCGCCGTTGCCAACGGCACATATGAAACATTATGCATGGCTACCGGAGTTGGCATCGTTCTTACTTTAGCCGGATTTTTAACCGTGATGCTGCGCGCCTTCGTTCCTACCGTGGGGAAGCACCCTAGGTGGGATGTCTTTGCTTCTTGGCCGATGTGGTGGGTTGGGATGAGTCTGATTCTTTCTGGCCTTCGGGGAAGTTGCTTCTTCCTACTTCTCTTCACCCGCAGGCAACCCCTGCCATGGGAGCGGGCAGAGATGGATGAAGCAGCAAATACGAAAAAGCCCTCTTTCTTTCGAAGACACTTGTCCCGCATCATGATTTTTGATCGGAAGCTCAAAGTGAAAGATGCTAACCTACGAAAACTACAACACAAAATTGTCTGGCAGAGTATGATTGGAGGGGCAATCTTTGCCTGCCTTTGTGTTTTGCTTTTTATTTTCTTGCCAGTCTGGTCCGGGCCGAAGCTTCGTTGATACCCTAATGGCTTTTCTAGATAAGTGACTAATGTCTGATGTGCTACTCTGTTATTAACTATCTACTGGCTTCTGGCCCCTTTATGTGATTTGCTTCCTAGGCGGGATACCGCTGGCGATTATATTGATACCTGGGAATTTCATTGTGTCTCTGGTTGGATTGGCATGTGTACCTTGGTGTATATTGGCGTTGTGGTTGAGTGGAAAATATTCGTGACTTTTAATTCTGTGGGATTCAGGAAAATCAAATTCATTTTAAATGCGTTACATACGGATGCAGTAGTGCCGAGAAGGTGTGTTGACAACGCATACAACCTTTTTGAAGATCAGATCAAACAAGGTTTCGATACCTTGTAGAAATGCAGCCCCTAACCAACATGGGGCTGGAGCTATCATAATACATCCCACTTCTCCAAAAGACCGTCGCCTTGGATGCCGCACTAAGGGTCGTATATGCTGCAATGATTGACATTGATTTTTGATTTTCCGGAGATATTCGCGTTTCTGCATCCGAGACGGAGCACCCGAACCAATATAGTGGCAAAATGTTGCTGTTTAATAAGATGTCGTGCAAGACAACTTTCACGTGACTGCGCATCACGAGGCCGGCTACCACGGATGTAAGCGTATTGCAACGCTTTTTAAACGGTTTAACTTATGCAAATGCCTTCATTCTCGTCCTTAGCCAGATGTCGGAGACGCTCGGCTCACTGGTGAAGCTATCTTTGCCCTTAGTGAGTGACATTGCCTGCTATTTACACTAGTAGCTTACCCTTCGTAAAGCAATATCAGCAAGATATATTCCAAGAGCTAAGATCTGAAGACGAGCTTGTCATTCTTGCTCAGGGGCTGGGGCTCCTGAACATTGTAACTAATCTATTACACGCATATGATGCGGCGGGTAATAATTTGATTATCGTCGTTGGTGCGACTGATCGTGAGAATGAATGGCTTGGCGAAGGTGTGGCACATTTAATTGCAGCATTGTTGGCAGATTATGCTGATTCTCATCATTCAAAAATAAACAGCATTGGCGGAGCACTATGCTGTCAGCAAGACTCCGATGGCGAGGGGCCTCAAAGTTATCAATACCGATAAGGCCACTGTCTCCATGAGGTATCAAATTCACAACCTTTTGAAGCTCGGACTTGGATCTAAGTGCTATGAAGACAGAAGCTTTACACTCAAGGCGGTATATTGAGCGTAACTTCACGCATTCTAATTGTGGACCTGCTGTCAAGTATGTTGGTTGAAACTATGGGATGTTCTAAGTTTGACTGGTATTAGAATTACTTGATGCGGGGACCATTACGGGAATGGTCATTCTCCACGCTGAGAAGTATGAAAGAGCTTATATCAATTAGAATGATCTGCTAAATCTATCTTCAGGGTCATTTCCATTTCACAGGAAGCCTTCATTGTCAGAGTATACCGTCAGTTTAACAAAGCCGGGTTTTTGAAGGCCTTTTCAGATACCCCAGAGCCTTTCACAACGGGATTTGCTCCTCTGGCTAATATGCTTCGTAATTTATTTCTGCGGAAGACATCATTATGGCCACGTTTCCAGGTTACTGTTGCCGAATCCCTGGAGGGTCGCAAAAAGGCCGAAGTGATTGAACTGGAAATTCCAATGACAGATAAAATGAGAGAAATACAGAATGCTGTGCTAGAATGCGTTGAAGTTAGCATAAGAGAGCTTAAAAAGGCAAATCCAGTACTTGATATTGAGGATTGGACCGTGGACAGTGCGCTGCGGAAGAATTTTGATATTGTTATTCAACGGCAGCTGGACCCAAACTGGCACCGTGTGAGTGCAAAGACCAGGCAGATTATCAGTGACCTAACTGTTCTGAAAAATATTTTACAGTAAGGTCTCTTTTCTGTCGAGCATTTGATAAAACTGTCTGATTGACCTCGTAGCCTCCTGCTCACCGACGATGCGGTGTCGCTGGTGAAATACCTCGACACTGTGGTGGCGGCTCATTCCCCTCCTCCTGGGTATACAAAACAAACTTACTCTCCTTGGCTCTACCTTGAAGCTGCTCACGTTCTTCTTCAAACTGCGAGATCTCGAGTTTACCGTGGGAAACTAGATAACCGTCCTGAGCGTATTGGTTTCTTGCCAAGCATACCGGATGGCCTGGAACCGGTTCTCGAAGAACAGCCAAAATGGTCTGTTCTTGTGGATGTCTTAAACGAAATTGAACGAGATCTTTATCTTAATCCAACGTCGACGGGCGATTCAAATCGAACTATCCTTATTATGTGTAGCGATCGAAAAGCGTGCAGACAGATCCGTGAATATCTACAGACCATGCGCATCAAGGTGCAATCAAAAAAGAACACACAGGAAGAAAATATTATTACTGTCGAAGATATTGACACAGAGCCATCGGCTGAATTTATGATGCGGATGAGACTTCGAGAATATTTAGTCTGGAAAAGAGACTTCACAAAAGTTAGGCAGAGCCTTTATGGTATAAATTCAAAACAAAAGCAGCCAATCGCTGTCCCTGGCTACACATCCCTGACTGTAAGTAAAAAGTCAGAGAAAGCACCACCTAATAAAAGAAGGAGGGTACGTGGTGGCAGTTCCTCGGCCTCTACAACCGGTAGAGCCCCTAATTCCACTGTGCAGGAAGAATTGGATGACACAACTCAAGTTTCTACGCTCCTCAATAGCGCACTTGAGCCTGCCGGGCCGGAGGAAACGGAGCAGCGAGACACGGTGGTTGATGATTTGGAAAACATGGAAGAATATTATGAGCTTTTTGACATGCAGGACCTAGTCATCATTCATGCTTACGATGGAGACATGGATGGGCACATTCTGGAAGAAACGAAACCGAGATATATAATTATGTATGAGCCAGACGCGGCCTTCATCCGTCGAGTCGAAGTGTACCGCAGCTCGCATTCGGATAGGAGCGTTAGGGTTTATTTCATGTATTATGGTGGCTCAGTTGAAGAGCAAAGATATCTTAGTGCGGTAAGGCGAGAAAAGGACGCATTTACAAAACTTATCAAGGAAAAAGGGGTATGTTCCCGTGTATCTTTTTTGTCTCCCTCATTAGTACCGGTCCTAATTCCTCGATAGTCCATGGCAATGAGTATCATGCATGACAAGAGCCTCGAAGACCCGCAGGAGCAATTTCTCCGCACGGTCAATACTCGTATTGCTGGTGGAGGCCGACTCGCTGCCACTGCTGCTCCTCCAACAGTCGTTGTCGATGTCCGGGAATTCAGGAGTCCCCTTGCATCACTTCTACATGGCCACAGCATGGTATTGGTGCCTTGCCAGTTAACAATAGGCGATTACATACTAACTCCAGACATCTGTGTCGAACGAAAATCGGTGCGTGACCTGATTAGCTCACTGAAAAACGGAAGACTATATAACCAAGCCGAAACCATGCTTAAGCATTATAAAAACCCCGTCCTTCTGATCGAATTTGATCAAAACAAATCATTTACGTTCGATGCCTTTGTATCCTCTACAGCACCAGGTGCTTTTGTTGCAGATAACCTTACCTCCTTCTCAGCACCGTCTTTTTCGTCCGGCAATATAATCAACCCAACAAATCCAAAGTCTACGCAGCACCTTCTTGTGCTGCTTACACTCGCATTCCCACGCCTAAAAGTGATTTGGTCCTCCTCCCCTCACCAAACTGCAGAAATTTTTGCCGAGTTGAAGAAAAACAGCTCCGAACCAGATCCAATTCGGGCAGTCCAAATGGGTCTAGATTTTGATATATCTTCTACTGTTGGTGGATTTCCAAATGCCGAATCGGGAGGCATGATGGCGGCAGCTGGATTCGAGTATCGGGTATTCAATCAGCTGCCTCAGGACATGTTGGAGTCAGTACCAGGGACAACGCCTCACGGAATTGAGAGTTTGATGTTGGAAACGAACAACATTCATGAAATTGCTAACATGAGTATGGAGGAACTGGCGAATGTAGTTGGCAAACAAGAGGCCAAGAAGATTGTCGACTTCTTTCGGCGCAGTGTATTCGATGATGAGAGAGCTGAGGAACCGTAAACCATATTGTTTCAAACACATGAGTCAAATATGAAGTCCGTTCAATTTTTGTGCTCACACTTTCTATGCTTCAATCTAGAATTCGAAAAAGGAATAACACTAAACCATAACGAAGCTGAATAAGAGAAATAGTACTGCAAAACCAAGCAAAGGGCTATGAACAGTACATTGTAAGGCTAGTGCTGGGAATGGGGCATGAAACTAGTTAAACGGAGCAAAGCGACAAGACTGGCTAGTTTTGTGATAACAGACTGTCCAAGCTGATGGACAAAAAAGTCACAAATACGAATAAAGCGGCCCAAACGCCGTGGAAGGAGAAGTGAATCGAGTTGCTGAGGAGGGGGCAGCTGGCCGGCTGAAGTCATATTTTCATCCTGGCAGGCTTTGCCATATAAAACTGACCGATTACCAACCCGACGAAAAACGGCCGTATGTCGAAGGTTGTCGTTTGACCTTGTCGATGACTGGGGCGACGGTGGTCCACGGAACACTCTTGTTTGTTCAACATGTAGTGACAGCCCGTTATAAGATAGGGAGGGAGAACCGTCCACTTTTTGGCGACATAGCCAGATACACGCAAGGTAAGAATATGACCCCGCCGGTATCGAGATTGAAGAGGGGAGATCGTTCAGATCTCATCGACATCAATTTCCTTCTCATCGGCACTCTCGCGATCTTCGTCGAACTCGACGTTGTCATCAAGACCTTCATGGCCGTAACTATAGGCGAATAACATGGTTAGTTATATGTACTCTAGACGGCGGCAAGAGGAAAAGGAGTAACATACGTATCAGTCTCGTTAATCTTCGCACTCTCAGGCAACTCTCCATAGGCTTTCAAACTTCGGGCCTCATCGGCACTGTATTTGAGGATGACATCGCCTTTCTCATCCTGATAATCTCGCAGGGACAGAAGAATGATATCGCCCTGGTTGATCCAGACCTTTTTTCGAAGCTTTCCCCGGATGTGTGCCAGTCGCTTCTCACCGTCAAAACACAGGGCTTCTAGACGTCCGTTGCCCAACATCTTAACAACTTGGGCGTACTCTTGACCCTCCTCTTTGAAAGTCAACTCGCGTTTTTCGTTGTCATTCTCGTTCTTTCCACGACGTCGATTTTTACCACCCTATGCGTGAAGGAGTCATTAGTTATCTATCTGCGATGCAGTCCGGTACGTTCAAGGGGAAGCATAGTGCATGTTAGGCAGATAAGTATTTGTTAGGGAAGCCCTATGCTCAGAGCCCACAGTGACGCGACAATACTCGACTCTAGGAATGTGGCAAGTGGGGTCCGGCCATCACAGTCAAGAGGATAAAGCGTACCTTTCCCTTATTCTTCGGCATTTTGGTTTAGTTACTGGATCTGCTGTACTCAAGAAGCGTAGTGTTGGCAAATAGCTCACAAATGTCTATGTTTGGGGTGGACTGTGGTCTGCTTCGAAGATGTTCAGCGCTGGCGCCGTTCATCTCTCACAATCGTTAGCGGGGTGTGGGTGTGATTAGATAACGGAGGGATTCCTCGCCACTCTAGCGTGCTTATTAAGGTTTTCCAGCCAGGCTCGCGACGCCCGTTAAAGTGGCAAGAAAAGCTTTGTTGGGCAGCAAGATATGCAGTACGCGGCGATGGACGGGCTGTGTAGATATCATTGGGAGTGCGCCTGAAGAATTTATTGAATGCCTGCAGAATACAATGCACCCTTCAACTCCACTCTCACTTCTCAGGTGCTTACAGACCCGGTGCACTCAATAAGTAGCTAGTCTTAAGCCGATGCTGGTGTTTCCACACAGTCACCTAGCGAAGCGTCCGGGGCTACAACGGCTATTCACATCTGGCAAAAGGTCACGCACGAGTAAACGGACATTCAACAGCCAGATTATCCTTATCGGCAGTGTCTAGATTTGTAAAGGCGGTTGAAGGGCCAGATCGCCGCCCTGTTCACCCTTGCGGCCATAAGTCTCTTTGATTTGCCGTAGAATCCAGGTCTTACTTCGAAACCAGTCGAAAGCGGAAGATCTCTTTCGACAAGGAATGCAATCCACCAAACAATGAGAATCGATGCTATCGTCAGCCTGGTGGAATTGCTGACGTTGGTTAAGAGCAGCCTTGGCACTCGCAACACCAAAGCGCTGACGATCGATGATGCTTGCTTGGACTTCTTCGCCTGCAACCTTCGACGCTCACTACTCCGTACATAGTTACATACTACAGGCCACACCATCCCAGGAATCCCAACACCAGCCGCACCGCTCGCCCTAACCCTACTACCCCCAAGCGCCCTTAAAGCGCACGTCGCATCCCTAAGTTGCCGCTGTGGCTGAGGTTTGGGCTGCGGTCTGCAAGCGCGCACGGTCACGCTATCGCTGCCTGCTCGTTAAGTGCCCTCCTGGCGATGGTTGACCCAGCCTCCTAGCTCTTGACATCTTCCCCTTTTCTCCTACGACCACAAATCCTCCTTTGACTTCACGGCTTTCGATAATGCCGTCCATTCTCTCCGATGCGGATAAAGAAATCGTGAGACGCACGGTTCCCAAACCTGCAAACAAGATCCTCGCCGTAGCAGTCGCAAGGCTATATGTGGCATACCCCAGCCCAAGCAAATGGGCCTTTACTGGTCTGCAGGGAGCTGCAGTTCTTGCGAACGACCTAGTTGGACATACATTCTGGATTAAGCTGGTTGATATATCGGTATGTTGCCCGCCTACGCCTCCTTCTTCTTTCCCAAGCTAATACATGGCATTCTTGCAATTGCAGCCCGCCGGCAGAGGTGTTTTATGGGACCAAGAACTATACGACGGCTTCTCATACAATCAAGATAGGACATTTTTCCATACCTTCGAATTAGAAGTATGCCTTGCAGGTTTATCCTTCGCAGACGAGAAAGAAGCCAAGACATTTTTGAAAAAGGTTTCAGAGCGGGAAAAGAATGCGAGCAAGGAAACAAGAGGGACCCCGTTCTCCTCGACGAAAGGTCAGGGCCCGCCGCATGTAAGCAATGGCAAGACTCACCACCGCTTTGGCTTTGGAAGCCTTCTGGGGCACCGGACGTCGTCTGCCCCTACTCCTCAACCAGCAGAATCCGTTACATCTCCACGGCCCATACCCTCGGACATTTCCACTGCATCGGCGCGCAGTGCAACCCCAGAGAAGAAACCCTCGCCTATGGATACAGTAGACCCATCGTGGAAAGGCATACTAGATGAGCTATTGGCTATGGGAATAACGGAAGAGCAGATAGCCGAGAACGCGGATTTTATCAAGTCCTACATCGAATCAAAACAGAATGAGGAGTCTCAACCTAACGTGGAGACAAATTCGCAGGAACCTCTTCGAAAACCTAAAGCCGCGCCTCCTGCGCCTCCACCCGTTCCTCCTCCAGTTGCTAAAACATCAACATTGAGTCCACAAAATACGGGTGGCACGAGCCGGCGAGGCGCGCCGCCACCTCCTCCTCCATCTCGAAAACCTCATAACGATGGCTCGCCCTCTCCAGCTCCGGCATCTCCTCCAGCGTCCCCTAAAAGAGAGCCTTCTCCCCCAAGACCAAGATTCAGAGCTCCCCCCCCTATCGCGGATGCCGGGAAGTACGCCCATATAAATGCACCAGCGCCAAGTACACGAAGCCGAGCTTCATCTACCTCACATCTGGCAACACCAGGCCCCCCGCCTCCACCACGACCGCCTAAGACCCCTGACAATGGCCCAGCTCGACTCCATCCACCTCCACCTCCTCCCCAAGTTCATAACGATACCAAATCCGCAACCCCCCCAGCACCCCCCAGCAGGGGCTCGGTACCTCTCCCGCCACGCCGCAATATTAGCCCACTACAGCCGCCGCCTCTTCCACCGAAGACCCCCCATGCTGCTAGCCCTACTCCAGCTCCTCCGCCGCCTCCACCTCCTCGGGCTGCTGCTGTGCCTCCACCACCTCCAAGGCCTACTAGTCAACAGTTTTCACCTACCTTTGCGGCTCCACCGCCGCCGCCTCCTCCTCCCCCTCCACCAAGTGCAGCACCAGCGCCGCCGCCACTGCCTCCGAGCTCAAGCCCAGCAGCACAACCACCTCCACCCCCCCCCCCCCCCCCCCCCCCAGCTCCCGCTCTCCCTGGAACTACCGGGACTCCGCCAGCACCCCCTCCACCTCCTCCTTCTCTCCCTGGTGCTACTGGATCTCATCCTACCCCTCCTCCTCCCCCGCCTGGTGGTGCGCCGACGCCAAAACCTCCCGCCGGAAATGATGACTTACTGGCTTCAATTCGTGCCGCCGGCGGCAGCGGTCTTCGAAAAGTGAAAGATTCCGATAAGCGAGACCGAAGTGCGGCTATTGTTCCTGGTGGCTCCAATGGTGCGCCCGCTGCAGCAGCCGGTGTTGGTGCTGGAGTAGCTGCTGGTGGAATGATGGGCGCCCTGCAGGAAGCTCTTGCGAAGCGAAAACAGAAAGTTAGTGGAAGTGGTACGTATTGCCATACTTTTCGATATACCTCTAGTCCTAGAGCTAATACTTACTTAGATGATGAAAAGTCCGATGATGAATGGTGATCCTATCCAATTAATCATCGATATAGTAATTCACAGCTGTTTTGCAGTCATGATTATTCCTGGCTTAGAAGCCAATTATGGCAACCCTTTTGGCTGTATACACCTACGTAGAATCATTTAGCCGTAATATCTAGCTACAATCTATGCTGCTTTGAAGACTTGTTTGTTTCTGTAGAGCCTTGACGGGGTACGGGTAAATGTTAATCCGGCGCCGACAATGACGACGAAAATTGTTTCGAAGCGCACGCTATCCAGAAGCTGGAATGCTTGACCATGTCAGCTCAGCTGACACCATATAGAGTGCATCGTCACGGTCTCGATATCCTAGACCCTGGGTGAGGACGAGAGATGGTGCCACTGTCTATTGCCAAACCATCGGCTCCATCCACTGCCCTCCTTCGGTTCCTTCGCTCACAATCCAGTCTTTGCTTCGTCTATTCGAACGTCGGTCGCTTCTCGAAGAACAGTGTCAGGAGGTGTCCTGACTCTCTTTACAACTTACAAACACCTGACACTCAACTTGTTTACGGATGGGCCGAGCCATCTACGCGTGGCCTGTTGGGGCTTAAGGCGCCCTTTCCATCATCCATATTACCGAGATCGAGGAAGCCCCTGACGCTCCTATACGCATGTCACTTTTCCCGCAGCAATAGACATGTGAGGCAACCGCTTTTCCAGCAGAGCCAATCCTTTACCACTACGTCCAAGAGAACAGGAACATTTCTGCGCCGACTCTTCGGGCTTCCCTCACCAAGACCAAAACCCCATTTAAATCCAGATGATCTGCCTTCTAATGGGCATTTTGAGGATGGACAGGAGTATAATCCATTTACTTCTGGACGGAATTTAGCCTTGAAAGCTTCAAATGAACCCCGGCTACGGTGCACAGAGTTCGATGAGAATGGGAACGTTACGCTCGTGAGCGAGGAGTTTAAAAAGAGCGAATTGATCGCAAAGGTACTCCTTAAGCCTACTAGTATAAACCCATAAGCTGATTGGGATTAACGGTTTTTGTAGTATGGCCTTTTGCCCCGTGATCTTCGAAAAATCGATTCCTCCATTCTTCCTCATATTCTTGTTCGTCATACCGCCATACTCATCAGCCTTCTTCACCTCCGAGTATTGATTAAGGCAAATCGAGTACTAGTCTTTGATGCGTATGGCTCAGCGGATACATACACCCAATCTCTCTTTATGTATGACCTTGAAGGAAAACTACGCCAGAAAGAACCGACCTCGAGACAGGCTGCTGCCACGGGAGCACTGCCGTATGAATTTAGGGCGCTTGAAGCAATCCTAATTAGTGTAACCAGCGGTCTAGAGGCAGAGTTCGAAGGCGTCCGAGAGCCTGTGGTACGAGTTCTCAGGGCTCTTGAAGAGGATATTGATCGGGATAAATTGAGGCATCTTTTGATTTATTCAAAGCGGCTTGGAACGTTCGAGCAAAAGGCCAGATTGGTCCGCGACGCCATTGAGGATCTATTGGAAGCTGATGACGATCTCACTGCAATGTACCTTACCGAGCGGTCCAACGGCATTCGGAGAGACGAGCACGATCATCAGGAAATAGAGATGCTACTTGAGTCATATCACAAAGTATGTGATGAAATAGTTCAAGCTAGCGGAAATTTAGTGACGAATATTCGTAACACTGAAGAGATGTATGGATATATTCCTTCGTCTTAAACGCGCATTGCTAACGAGGGTTGTAGCGTAAAAGCCATTCTTGATGCCAACCGCAACTCTCTCATGCTCTTGGAGCTTAAAGTGAGTATTGGGACTCTAGGCTTAGCGGTGGGCACGCTGTTATCGGCACTCTACGGCATGAATCTCAAAAACTTCATTGAAGAGTCGGACATTGGGTTTGGTGCCGTCTCTGTTGTTTGTTTCGCTTCCTCTGCATTTGTTTGCATATATGGGCTCATGAAACTACGAAAAGTTCAGCGCGTGAGAATGTGGGGCGAAGGTGGGCTCCAAGACCCCTATATGGGTGCATTGGGCCTTCGAGGTCATGCCCAATTGCCAGCTCGAAGAAATTGGCGTTCCGACTCAATGGATGCGGCTTGGGCAGGCTTGCCTATTGAAGGCCGTATGCAGAGGATGCGCAGGGCAAAAGGTGCGGCGGCCACTGGAGGAGCCACAGCATCAGGCATTTATTCAAACAATAAAAATAGTGAAAAGTTGACTTCGACCGACTCCAAGCCAGCGAAAGGCGAGCAGAAAACTGGGGGGCGACAGGTTGAAGGTGACCAGGCCCCCTCTGACGAAACTGATTCTACAGTTAGCAGCGCCGGGGCTTACAGCACTGCGCGATAATCCACATTGCTTGTTCGGGGCGTTATGTGGGATATTTCTCTCCTTCTCTATGTATGTATGTACGTACCTTATTCAAGTGTTATCTGTGCGTTCTGGGGACATTCTGGATTGCTTTTTTATTAGCGCAGTATAATCGGGATAGATAATACGGAGTAACAACAGGGGCTTTTATAGAGGCAAATCTCATTTAACGGTTAGTGAAGGCAATATGACGAGGCACATGACTTAATATCCTTCCAAAAACAACAGCGAAGATTGACAACCCACCATCAAGACCATATACAGAGCTACCTCTTAACAGAATCTCAGGTTCTACGGAGGGTTCCTGTTGTTGCCAGTCCGCCAGTTACTGATTAATGTACGTGACTACCACTTAACTACTTACTTTTCTGCCTGTGCGTGCTAGTTTCGCGGCTTTCGTCTATTCCGGCGCTTATAGGGTCAAAGAGTAAGGCAAAGTTATCTAACTAGAAAAGACACAACTGGATTTACAAATAATGCATTGCCAGTTAGGTTTTTGAATGCCCTGAAAGTAGCACCTAAAGGACAAAATCGCCTGCGATCACCAACTTCAAGGAAATGTACACGACCACATGAGCTTTCGGGGCTCCTTCCAGCCAAAGATAAGGCGATACGAAGTACTTTTTAATTTACGAAAAATATGTGCACAAAACATGTTAGACATTATGGTAGATAAGAATGCTCTTCATCACCATTCTCACCAATACAACGGTTCTTACTCGTATCAATCGCGGCAGACAACGCAGCACGAAGAACCTCATTTTGTTGTTCTAAAGCGATAATCTTGCTTTGCAGCTCCTGGACCAAAGCGGACTCTGAACCCGAAGACCGAAAAGAGGCGAAGCCTAATTGTCTTCGCTCGTCCAACGAGTTCCGAGTAGAAGGGCGGGAATTCACGAAACAGCCGTCTTGGTCACCTCTATCTTTCTTTCGTTGAATTGGAGATACTGTTGTACTCAGGGTGTCTTGGCGATAGCGTCTTCGGGGCCTGCCAGACCGCGATACACTGCCACAGTATGCATATACACCATTTTCGTCATCTGACGACGGTAAAGATGGAGTCAGGCTGCGAGAGGGGATGCCAAGATCTACCGTGTCCCAGGAGGCGTGTGGTATGGTACTTCTCTCTCGGCGAGGGCAATCCGAGGACTGAGAGCTTCTGGGACTAGCTGCCACTGAATACCAGCCTTTCGCCGATTTGGGTGTCTTCTGACCTAGGAATTCCCCCGTGGTTTCATCATTGCTTGCTGGAACGCTGAGAACAATCTGTTTCGCGGAGCCAAATGTTTCCCTTCGAACCTTTGTCAATGAAGACTGAGGACTATCAGATATAGGAGGATTTGCTGGAAGTGGGATTTGGGGAGGATCCCCCGGGCTGCTTCGGATGCTCAGAGAGAGGCGAGGCGCTGCGCCATTGATAAACCCGCCTCTATGCGCTAAGTTTGATTTTGGGCTGACTCCTCCCTCATCCGCCCGATTTGTATGGCTTGCGTACTCAGATATGATTGTTGCAACCACCTCGCCAGTTTGAATTGAGGAAGAACTATGGGGAGCCTCACTTGCACGCCGTTGTGATTCTTGCTTCAAAGCTGAAGGATCCAACAAAGTAGTCGGACTTGTCGGCAGGCTCATTTGTGCAAAGGCATTTCCATTAATAGTATCGCCTTGTGTTATCTTGCCATGTGATGAGCGTAGATGCAGCCTTGCAGGCCATAGAGAAGAGGGTTTTGACTCAGCGATGGGATGCACTTTGCTCTCACCACCCTTTGGTGGAACTGCTTCAGTTGGTGTCAATGGGAGGGACTTGGTTGACGGGTACAATCCCGATAACGAATCATTGTTAGATGGGGCCATGGTGGAAGTTGCTGGTGTTGGCGGCCAAGTTTCGGGAAAAATTTCGCTGTGGTGATCAGGGGACAGGATAAGGGGTGCAGGTCTCCGGGATTGTTTTCGTGCTGGTAAAGTAATCAATGTAGAGGAAGTCTCTGGTTCTGAAAAGCATGAAGCTGATCTGTTTCCACTAGCAGCAGTCTGGAAAGACGAAACAGCACACTGTTCAGGGCGAGGCTGCCGGATGCCAACTTCAACCCGTTCTTGAGGGCAATTTCTTCGACTTGAAGTTCTCGTGGGAAGATATTGTGAATCAATATAGGTTGATTGCTTCTGAGACGCGGCAAGAAGAAATGCTGAATCAGACATATCTTCTGTTTGTTGGAAATTGGGGACACAAACACCACCTCGCTTCTGAGAATCGAATGCGTTACCCAAAATGATTGGGCGTTGGTTGCTACCCGCATCCATTTCAATTGATTTGCCGTTGAGAGTTATGTTGCGATCGCGGAGCCCGACTGGGCCTTTCACTTTATCGGTTATCGCAGGGCTATGGCACGGCTCTGATGCCATGTGCTGTTTTTCCTCTTTTGACTTTGTAGGAGAACGGCTATCACCATCGTTTCCTACACTGTCAGACGCAACTTTGTTCCGGTTTTCATTCGTAGGGCTGAATTCAGAAGAAGACGGCGTTAGTGGTACTTCTAACGTCGGCGGTGTCCACATCGATGTCAAGCTACCTAGACGTTTAGGCAAATCGTCAGATAAATCCACGGCTGGAAGAGTCCCAATGCCAGGATAAAAACATTCACAGTCTACATCACCAGCCGTACTTTTGGAACGTGTTGCTTGTAACAGCAACTGTGGAACTTTCGTGTCCTTAGAAATAGGAGGCGGTCGATTTTCCTCAACTTTCTGTTGTTTATTTTTGTCTTTTCTCCATTTCAAGCCGGGCTTTTGCCATCCTTTCAGACGAGAAAGATCTTCTTGGGATTTCCATTTCTTTGCCTTTGGAGCATCTTTGCTGACCCAGAAGTCAGAAACAGTGCCGTTTCCAAACCCCATGAAGTCGCCTTCCGGGTAAGATCCGTCGCAGTCGGTGAAAAATCGGACTAGCTCAAGCACGTCTTCGGACCGTTGGGGTCGTTGCACCGATCCCGCCGATCTAGGGGTATATTTGCTTGCTTCCCGGCTTTTGAGGGACTCGGTTAATAGGGACTCTCCTGATGATATTAGAGAGGTTTCGCCTCGCTCCATTCTTGCTAGGATCGCCCTGCCTTTATAAGCTGAAATGGATTCCTAGGCTGGATGGAAATTGAGAAAAGAAACAGTGGGGTCTCAGAATTCGTTTGTGTTAGGGAGAAAGTTGGGCTCTTTAATCATGCTGCTTGACCGACAAAGGTTGTTTCCCTATTTGATATCACATAAGTGGAAAGTTACCAAAAGCAGCGGTGAGATGCAGGGGTACGACGCAAAAGGTGGACTTAGGACGGTAGGATGCATTTACGAGTCACATCGAATATTCATTCGGTGCGCTCGCATACATCACACCAAAGACCCAGGTGAGCTGATGAGGACACGGCTCGCGGGGAAGCTCCGAGATAGGCTCACATATGCATTCGTGCCTATGCACGGGAAAACCTCAGATAACTGCACAACGGCATAATACCCCTGGTCTTTTGTGGATCGAGACGCGACCGGCGTTGTTGGGGTGGACCTCAGGAGCAACGCTGAATGGATTCAATCGCTGAAAATCACAATGGCACAGGGCAGACGTTTAACAATCACGTCGTATATGCTCAGTACAAGCACACAATGCGGGCTCTCGCAGATATATACATTCTCTTTGAGCCGCAGCAGGAATTATTTCTCCTGATCACCTGTTTGAAGGTTTTCGAAGGAAAAAGCAAGGACTGGAGTCCTCGTATTAGTTAGCTGCAGGAAAAAGGGCAGAAAAAGCAACGACAAGAAGCCAGACCGGAAGACGATCTGATCGTCTTGTTCTTGAAGCTCCCCCGTCGGGAAAGGTACCGTGACCAGACTTGATGCCCTTGTATCGGTCATCGAAGCTGGCACGCGCGGATCCCCGACCATTTACTGTTGAAATGAGAATCCGACAGCGAGGTTACGACGATAGGGTTTTGAAAGGCTCAGGCTCAGGCGGCATTGTGCGAAGCTCACTCGCTAGGTGCCCAGAAGATTGGGCCTAAGTCGAAGTCCGAAGTATAAAGGGGACCACACAGCCTTAATGCTTTGAGACACCTCAGCACAATAAAGTGATCTGCCCGAAATAAGGAAGCCTGCCCTTTGCTTTTTCACTCTGTCCTCCGGGCTGCTAAATAACGGAGTAGCAACGGACAACCCGTTGTTCTCCATTCACCAAGAGTCGAGGACGTCACAAGAGTGGACAGGTCACAAAATAACAATAGATCGATTCCACGAGCATGAAACGACCCACTGACTTCAAGGGATTGTTCCCTATGTGTTGAGAATCGTCCCAGACTGTAGGCCGGATTCATAATTCCATTGCCCTGTTACGAGGGCGCGCTGTTATTAGCCTTCAGACTGGCCGCGCTTTGGTTGCTCCGGGGGGTTCCGTAGGCTGGTCAACGAATGCCGCTCTGGGAATCCCGAGGCCGTGGGTATTTGCGCCTGTTTAGCTAACTCCACTGCCTGCGTCGCGGCTTCGAAATTCCCGAGGAGGGGCATCCAGGCTCGAAAAGGCTTCACCGAAATCGCCCCTGATATGCCGTGAAACCTTGGGGCGGCAGTCACCCGCAGGAGCCGAGCTCCAGGGTGGCTGCGAGTTGAAAACGGAATAGAACAAGTCAATTGATATCCTTTCAGAAAAACTCGTCAAACCCCTCAGCCGGCACGCGCGGCTTTACCCAAGGGCTCAGATACAGAGAACCATATTACTCAATGCTGGAGAGAGCCAAGCTCAGGGCATCGTGGTCTCCCCGTCTCCCCGTTCGGTGCCAAATGTCGATCAACGTCTAATTCTTGGGTGCACAAATCCATGCTCCTCTCCCCGCCCATTGGCTTCCTGCACTGTGATGATGCGAAGTTCCCTCAATAGGTGCATTTCGTTCGGGCCACCAAACACCGTCTAACAAGCATGCGACATCGTGCCCGTTGGGTTCTAAAGCCTCTAGAGTACTGATGACTTTCATTTGCTGTCCAAAAGAGTTGCCAGAGTAACTAGTTAGTGGTTTAGAGAAGACACCAAGTGCACGCAATGTCATGCTGAACCACGAAATTTTTTCGTCTTTTTGGACGAGAGCTTCTCCGTTGTGTTCCGGATGACTTGATACTGGGATTGGACTGTGCATCAGCCTGCGCAAGCCTTACGCCTGGCTAGCTGACATCGGTGGCGAGAAGTGGCGAATCTTACTTGGTTTGACAACAGAGAGTGACAGAAGCGAAAGTCGGTCAATGGCATGAACTGTATGCTTGGAGATGCGTTGCTATTTATGTGAAGAGTGTCAAGAGCAAAAAAAAAAAAAAAAAAAAAAAAAAGAAATGACAGGATGCCGTAGCATTTCCATACGTGTATGCATGCAATTCCAACACAATCCTTAACTCCACTATCCTGTGACAGAGCATATGCGAAAAATCCTGATATGATTGAAGCTCAGGCCGGGTGCGACATTCCTTTTAAAATACCAATAAATGCAACCTTTGTAGACCACCATGAAACTATATGCGAGTTATCAAAACATAAAATGCAAGTTTCCCAAAGGAATCCATAGGAGACGATATATTGGCTAAAAGTCGGCGTGGCTTATGGAGGGAAAAAACAGATACTCCATAATTCTGAAAAAAAAAATCAAATATGTTCATGTGAAGTTTGAGAAATGCTTAGATGTGACGGGGCAATGCCGGTACTGTTCGCTCTATAAACTCGATGTCATTCATTTTCGTTTTGGGCGGATGAAGGGATCCACGGGTTTCTTTTTGCGTATTGGTGGCGGCCTTTGTGGTCTCTGGGGCATTGCGCGCGCTGGATTGGGTATTCGCTGAATGATATATGTTAGTCCCATCTGAAAAGCGATACTAAATAAAAGACCAAAAAAAGTAGAGCCATGGAACACGAACCATAGGTATATCATTGCTGCCTTGGTCAATGGGACGATTGCGCGGGATGTCCTTCGACGGTATCACAAGGTCCTACAGAGTAGATAGGTGAGCGGTGCCCATACATTTGCGCAGCCATCATTGTTATGCGGCGCTTCGTCACTTACACTAACAGGGGGAGCCACCGTATGTGGATCAAACCTTCTCCCTTTCGGTGGTTTGGTCGTATCTGCTGAAGCACTGGCGCTGTGTTTCATCGTCTTAGACGGTTTCACATCGAGGGCGTCTGGAGGCATTCTTTTCCGTTTTCCTCCTTCATGCGTAAGCTGATCTTGACGGGAATGTTTTATGACAGCAGACGGCTGATTCGAAGGAACATGAATGGTGGGAACTTTGGGATCGTGATCTCCAAGCTGTCTCTCCTTCCGGCGCTCTTCGATATGTTTCCGCATCATCTTGAAGGCGTGCTCTTCTTTCAAAATTTTGTCTTGTTCTGCCTTTGAGAGTACCCGCGTAGACCTGCAAGCTTCAGAGATATGGCCGAATATGCCACACTGCAAACATCGAATTGCACGGCAATTTCTCTTAGCATGCCCTTCTTCATGACACCTATGACAAACTCCTTGGGTGACCGTCTTTGCTTCGTGATTATCGCAGTTATGGGACAAATGGAGTAGACTTCCACAATACCCGCAAGCCAGCTTTTCGTTAAAACCGTTCGCGCCGCCGCCAATTCCATCAGGAAGTTGTATGGGCGCGGCCACGTCACTGTCAACATGCCGCCCACTAGGAAGCTTTGAGGACGGCGCATTACTTCCAGGTCCTGAGTTTGAGGAATTCGGTCTCGGGGGCGGACCCAAAGGTTCCATTGGGGCATCCACCATCTCAATGTCATTTGGTACCAGTAAGTTTTGGGGAGTTTGTAATAGTTTCTGTACGTCGCCGCTGGTGTACAGGTTCCTGTCCTGCGCATCGTTGATCAGGCCTCGCCAGAATTCTCCTTGAGTAAGTGATTGTGAGTTTCCCAAGACCCATAGAGACGATTTTGCACGGGTAAGCCCAACGTTCATACGTCGAATATCAGCCAAAAAGCCAATACCTCGGCTGGAGGCCCTAACGCAAGAGAAAATGATTACTTCGCACTCCCTTCCCTGAAACGCATCGGTCGTATTAAACTCAACTGCGGTAAATATTGCATTGCCGTATTTGTTTGAGAAATGCTGCTTCATCTCCTTTAGCTGGCCTTTGTATGGAGTGATAATTCCGATTTTTCTTGTAAAGTCATACGAAGCAAAATCTGTAATCAAACGGTCATATAACTGCATTGCTACCCTGAGTTCTGCTATGTTAACGAGGGAGTGACCTTTCGGGGCACTTGAGTGCATTCCACGAACATCGAAAAAGCGATACGGCCCAAGCAAAGCTGTATTGTGCCATGGCTGAGTCCGTAGCTTTGCCATATCAGGGCCGTCTTGGAGACGACCGTCGTAAAAGGCAGCGCTGGGAAATCGACTGATTTCTGGGTGCATACGATACTGAGTGTCAAGTAAATGAACATCGTTTGGGTGATTCATTTGCATTCTAACAAACAAACTTTGCTCGTATTGGAATCGAGATGCTTCTTTCGATAAGACGGTTGGCGGCAGTTGCTTTGGATCTCCGACCAGAATGCATTTTGAACAGCCATATTTGAGAGGAATAAGCGCACTTAGTTCGATAGATTGAGCGGCCTCGTCGATGATGACTGTTTCGAACTCAATGCTTAATGTTTGAAACATTTCATGCCCACTACCGCTCAAGGTGGCGCAGAGAACATGGGCGCCATCGATAACTTCTTGCTGTATCTTCCTGCGTGTAAGTTCTGCATTGCGAGCAGCTGCTTGGTTCTTATCTCTAACAGAATCAATTTCCTGGCTGAGCTGTGCTTTCTTTCGCTTCAGCAAATCAAACTCTCTCTCTAGTTCTGGCGGAACAGTCTGGCCTTTTGCACGACACTGATCTAGGCGTTCACGAGTCTCATTAAATTTATTCGATGTTTCTTTGTGCTCCGTATAAAAGCTCTGAAGGTCTCTCTCGTTACCGTTCTTTTGATTGACTCGGTTGAGTTTGGCGTTCACAAGCTCATCCAAAGTGACATCTAAAACATTAGCGTTGATAGCATCACTGCGGCCGAGGCGAAT